AGGTAAATAATGTTGGTTCGGGTTCGGGGGTTTGAATTAAAATAATGGGTAAACTGTTTTTTAGTCCCGTAAGTGACCCCTTATCATTTTAGTCTCGTAAGTGGAGCATGTCGTAAACTAGTCCCATAAGTGAAATTTTGTTGTTGTTTTAGTCCTCCGGCGCCGGAGACACCTGCGTGGCTCTCCGGAGCCACGTGTCCGCCAGGTCAGCGACACCCGGCAGACACGTGGATTTTATTTTTTATTTTTATTTTAATTTTTTTTTTTTTAAAAAAATATTTTTAATTTATTTTCAATTTTATTTGCTTTTTAAAAAAAATTTTATTTGGTCCAATTAAAAAAAATAAAAAAAATAAAATTCACATGTCCACCAGGTGTCGCTGACCTGGCGGACACGTGGCTTCCGGCAAGCCACGCGGGTATCTCCGGCGTCAAAGGATTAAAACAACGAAATTCTTTTACTTATGGAACCAGTTTGCGACATGTTCCATTTACGGAACTAAAATGATAAGGAGGTTCAGTTACGGGACAAAAAAAAACGGTTTACCCTAAAATAATGGTATGGTGAGATATAAATAAATATTGATGTAATATTTTTTGGGAGAAAAAATTTGTATAAAATGTATAAATTTTTCACAATTCTTCAAACCAACACACCTTTTATATTTTATGGGTCTCAATTTAATGTATATATATATATATTTTTTTATCATTCATATATGTCTCATACATCTTCATATTACAGTAAATGTAATAATTCACTAATATCAAAATGTTCATAATTTTTTACATATATTACAAACATATCATTATATATACAAATGACAAAAATGTCAATTATCTTACATATTTTTACTAACAAATAAATATTATCATTTCTTTTTATATTACAAAAATCCAAATAAATACTTCTCGTCCGAGTCGGAGGGAGGATGATGTGTTTATATGAACAAATGAGTCTAAATCAACAATATTTACCTCGTACAGTTTTTACTAAAGTATACTCCATTCGTTCCATATGTATATATCCGTTTGTTTTTTGCACGGAATTTAGAAATATTAGTATTATATTGGAATTTAGTAGGAATAAAGTTGAAATTACTAAATAACCTTATTAGTATTGTGTGATATAAATATAATGATATTTGTGTAATATATTATAAGTTGTAAGGGTATTTGTAATGTTAGGTAGACAGTAAAGTTATTAAAAAAACGAAATAAATACTTTATTATAGAACGGACCAAAATGAAAAAATGAATAGTTTGTTAAGACACAAAAATAGTATTATTTATATTTAAAACATTAAATCAAAATATTATATATATAAAAAAAAATAATATTTCATCTCAAATCAATTTTAAATTACAACCCGACAAAATTATTATATTTCAAAAATTATTACTCCCTCCGTCCCAAAAGAAGTGTCTTATTGAGAGTTGGCACGGGAATTAAGAAATAATAGTATTTAATTGAAAGTGGGTATAAAATAGAATGTAAAGACTAAAATGCCCTTACTTTTTGAAGGATTTTAAAGAGTGTGTTAGAGTAATAATTATAGGTAGTATGGAAAAGTAGGAATAATTTTGTTACAAAGTAGGGATCACGGCTACTAAATAAGGAAATAAGACACTTTTTTGAGACAAACAAAAATAGAAAAACAAGACAAATCTTTTGGACGGATGGAGTATTAATTACTTAAAAATTTTTTGATTAATTTGAAACTAAATTGGGCCAATATCATGCTAATAGACATAAGTGAGGTCCACAAAAAAGCCCATAATCAATTTCAAGCCCAACATATATATATAATTTTTTATTATTTTTTAAAAATCATTATGAAATATATATATATTTTTTATATTATCGATTTTTTCATATTTCATATTAAAAAAATATTCCGAACTAAAATGCTAAACAAATACACCTATATATTTTTATAAAACAATATATCCAACTACTATTTGATTTTAAAATCAAAATACAAAATTAAATATACAAAAACCTTAGATTGAATTCTTAAACTTAAATTCGTCTCATGCAATTTCTTTTGTCTACAAAACATCAAATCTTATAATTATTTTATTATAAAAAATAACAAAAATTAAAACATCTAAATTACAATAAGGACACACTCATTGATCTTCTACAAATACTTTAGAAAAAAATTAATATAACCAAAATTCATCAATTTTGGTCGCAATATAAAAATTCATCAATTTTGGTCTTAATATAACCAAAATTTATAATTTTTTGTCTGAATATAACCAAAACTCATCATTTTTGGTCTTAATATAACCAAAACTTATAATTTTTTGTCTGAATATAACCAAAACTCATCATTTTTGGTCTCAATATAAATTTTTTATCAATTTTAGTCCCAATATAATAAAAACTCATCATTTTTTGTCATAATATAATCAAACCTTATCTTTTTTTGTCTCACCGTCAATAAACCGACGTAAAATGCTGACGTGAAAAGAAATCAAACCTTATATTTATATTTGAAGCAATTGCACATTCTTGCAAGTCCCATCAGGATTTTTCGTCGGTTTGTTGACGGTGAGACTAAAAAAGATAATGTTTGATTATATTGAGATTAAAATTAATAAAAATTTTATATTTGGACCAAGAATGATGAGTTTGGTTATATTGGGACAAAAAATAATAATTTTTGATTATATTAAGACCAAAATTGATAAAATTTTTATATTGGGATCAAAATTGATGAATTCTGGTTATATTATGACCAAAAATAATTTTTTCCCAATAATTTATTATAAAGTTATTACAAATGCATTTATTTAGACGTTGTTTAGATTATTTTTTTTTTCAAAAAAAAAATTCTACTATTATTTATTAATAATATTTTTTTTAAACTCTAAATTTATATCTAAATCGATACACAATATTAATTTTGTATTTTGATATTATTTATAATTCAAAACCATAACATTACTTTTTATTATTTTCAAATTTTTAAAGTTTTTCAAAAATCTTCATCTAAACAGAATCTTATACTTTGATGTATTTTGAAATTTTAAATATTTTTTAAGTGAAAATAATAATTGAATTTGATTGAAAATGTAAATATTAAAAACAATGTTTTTAGAGATAGATTTAATTTAATTATTTGATAGATCATAAATAAGTAAATAATTGCATATAGATGATTTGAATTTAAAATTATATTTTATTATATTATAATAAATTAGAAAATAAATATTGGTTTTTTACTTTTTTAAAATTATTTGATTTTTTGAGGCAAAAAATTTAGAATGATAAAAATAAAAATCTATAACCTTAATAAGAATTTGTTTGTTTAGTGAAAATAGTTCGAAAAGAAGTTCTTTTATATGAGTCATAAAGAATTGTGTAAGTAATATAAAAATAATGAGTTATATAATATATTAATTTTTTTTATAAAACATATATTTGGGGAAATATATTTTTTCAAAAATAAAAAATAGAAAACACACCCTAACAAACTTACTATTTGGAATTAACAAATACATCTAAATCAATAAGGTTGGTTCTTTTTAATTTTTTACAATTCAATTTTTTTTGATTAATATTTTATTTCATAAAATATTTTATTAAATTATTATTTAAATAAAAAAAAATTAAAATAAATAATTTTAAAATAATAAAAAATTATTTATTTTAAATTTGTATAAATAATCTAAATTTATATAAACACTAGGGATGTAATCCTTTTACAAATTTTTTTTTCATATATCTTTCTAAAACAATTTTAATACTATATTATAGATAGTATTTATTATTTTTATATTATTTATATAATTATCTATATTTTATATAAAATAATATTCGTTTAAATTAATTTATAAAACAAAGACATTCTATTATTTTTTGTTTAGTTCATGGATTTTTTTGGTGGGACTGAGATTTTACATGTGATGAGATTTATTATATTTAGGATTTGAATTTTTTATATTCTAAATGACACAATTGTCCTCCTATGAATTTTATTTATTTTGATAAATTAAACCTCTAATTTATTATTAATATAAATTGAAAAGATATCAATAATTTTATAGGATGACAATATATTCGCGTAAAGACCCGACCTATTTATTTGAAATTGAGTTCAATTATTTGAGTACTAGGCGTGGATCCGGGTCATTTTCGGGGTAATATAATAATAATATATCAATTATACATATGAAAAAATAATTTCGAATAGTATAATTATATTAAAAATATTTGTTGAGTTTAACGTATTCATTATTTTATTATAATATTTTTCTAATAAAATACATAAGTTTTAATATACATTGAATCCAGTACATGTGTAATTTTAAATTAAAATTTAAGGATTGTAAAAAAAAATGAGTTTTTCGGATCTATCAAGTCTTTCCGGATATAGTCTCGGTAGGATATAGTATAATCGGATCCAATTTGGTCTCGGATCTAACAATATATATTTGGAATGAATATCAGTTCCGATTAAATCCGACTCATTGTGGTCCATATAATTTTATAATTCAAATAAAAATTATAATAAATAATAATTTTAAACAATGAATTTATTAATTTATTTAAAAAATATTGTACCATAAAAAATAATATTAATTAAATATATAATTCAAATAATAATTAATTTTAAAATTATTTAATTTTTTATATAAATATAATACTATTATTTCTTTTATAAGATGATATAAATATAAAAATTAAAATTTGAAGGACGAGATTTAAAAGTAACAGGGTACCTCCATTGTAAAAAAATCCTTTATTCGTAGGATTTTGAACCACTTTTTCAAATTCCATCACTTTAGATTCCACCCTTTTTCTTTTTTTTAACCAAATATGAATTTCATATTATTTTAAATTCCAGACAGCTAAGGTTCTTTTGCAATTAGCCCCAAAATTATAAGTAGTTAAAGCACGAAAACTATTTTAAAATAATTTATGGGTTCTTTTGCAATTAGCCCCAATTTATATATTTGGATTATTTTCCATTTTATTATTTAATTTTAAAATCACGTTCTCAATCGCCTCGACCTGTCGGATGTCTATGGCGTGGTGGTTTTTCTGCGATCTTTTCTCCCGCGCACAGCGATGTTGATGGCGCTCCTCGACGTCTTGCATATTTTGGTTGCGTATTTGGTCTCAGCCTCTCGAAAGCTTTGAAACGGGTATTAATTTTTTTTTTGTTTATTTTTGGACGTGTTTTGAATGTTTGATTGCTTTTTGTCTGAAATTGGGCGATTGTTTGTTGTTTACATGATTCGGTGCATCAATTGGTAACGTGAGTTAATTTATATATGCTCTAATTTCAATCTGCGTATGTCTATGGTTGAATTGTGTGGTTGTCAAATGGTTTGTTTGCGAAGGGAAATGAGGCGTGCTTAAATGGATACTTAATGCTTTTTTATATGATTAGCATCGCTGTTTTAGCTCAAAGAGGGAATAGGAGTGTTGTATTTGATTTATTTGGTTTCAATTTGGATGTGTTTTTGGTTGTTTAGGATGTTATATGTTATTTTGGATTTGAGTTTTTGAATGACAAATAGGTTTCCGACGAATGTTTTTAGTTTTTAAAACAAAATAGATTTTGGTTGTTGGAAACAGGTTTTGAATGAGTGTTTAGTAAATTGAAAACAAAAACGAAAATACGAACAAACCTATTGATTATTGAATTAGCTAAGAGCGGAAAATAGATTTCCATAAGTAGTTGCAATGACTTTTTCAATGATTTAGTGAAAATATGCATTTGAGAAAATGGCAGTGTTTTAAATGCTTTTGTGCATATGAGAGGGAAAATTGATGGTAATGGTTGATTTGAACATATATGATCAAGGATTGATGAATATCAGGTACCCAGCAAAATTTCAAATCTAAATTTGGATTATTTTAATTCATTCGACTATAACTGATGAGTGAATGCCACTAGCTTATTAACATTATTTGAAAGGATTTTCAAAGGATACATAAAGTTGATGTTATGGTTAGTTTGAATCGAAGGGACTGCAAAGATAACCAAAAAAGAGGAAAGTAAATGAAAGGGTTGGAAATTTCTATTACATTTGAGAACATTTTGAAATGGGAAGAAATTTAAAGGATTTGGAAGGATAAAATCCTTCTTTCTCTCACTACAAGCTTTGGGAATTTGGATGATCCTTTCTTTTCTTTCCTGTTATTTGAAGGGTTTTTGCTGCTTTGTTGACGAGGAAAAAACTCAAGATAAGTGTAGCATGTGTTGTTATTTCGGTTTTCACACTATTCAATATACATTGCATTTCATCTTCCCTGCGAGAAAATCATCAAATTTGAGATCTATTTTTTATTCAATACATCACATACACACTCATTGTTGCCTAAAAAAAACACACACATACGCACTCAATTTTGGCCCTTCTTAGTTATAAAAATATATTCCATATTCATTATTTTGTCCCCTTGTTTAATTTTCTCTAGCAAGTAATGGTTGTTTAACTTTTATTTCTAAGTAAATTATTACCTCATTAACATCAATAAACCCAAAACACAATGGAAATTGGAATTTCCTTTAATTAATCTTGCCATGTAAACTGTAAAGTGGCCATTTGTGAATTTCAGCTCTATTTATAACTTATCATGTTTCTCAGAAAAGTTTAGACGTAGTTTGTGATTGTACTGGTTAGTTTTGTTTTAGCATAGAATTGGTAGGTGTGGAATGATTGGGTAATGCCAGAGTTAGAAATTGGTATGTCAACTAGTTGTTTGATTTAGCATTATGGTCACTTCATCATCGGAATCTAGATCCTGGTTTTGGCAAGAGAACACAATTTAATTCCTTAAATAATCTCGATGTGCCGTCTTCCAAAGCAATGGAGATATTTGCTGACCTTATTCAATTTTCTTGTAAAGAAAACCAATTTGGAAGCTGAATTCTCTGATTTCAAAAGGGTTGTGTGCACATACATACGTACAAGAGATATCTTGCTAGAAAATAATTTGATTTAATTTTTCTTAACAAAAATAAGAATCAAATCCTAAATATATAAAAGTATTCGCATTCCTATTTTCCTTATTTTGTGACACTTTCTAGTTGAAAATGTATGTTAAATCATGTTCTGTATATTTAACAATGTAGTTTATACATATATTTTGTATTATTCATAAATCTTGCGCGGGTGTGTTTTCTGTTTGATATCAAGTTATATTGGCAGGTTGATAAATATCTCTCTCACTCTTCTCTCTTGCTTTTTCGCAGCTTTCTATCTTACATGCGTAGATTGTCTGCATAGCACTGCACTGAACCCCAAATTTGTGTTGATCTATTGATAGAGACCTGCACCTCGGATCCCTCGAAACTGGGGTTGATTTCTGCTCCTATAGCAACAGGCAGAAAATTTGATTGCGTGGATTCGAATTTGGATTCTCTGAAAATGCTTTTGTGCAACCTTTAAGGAAATGGATAATGGTCAGAACAGTGATTGTAATCAAATGGATGGTTCCATGGTGTTGCATCTAGAAAAAAAGGAATCCATGAGAAGCCCCGACAATATTTTGGTTCGTCGTCTGAATAATCGAGAAAGGCAGCGCAGATATAGAGCCCGGAAACGGCGCGAAGCTGATCTTAAGAAGGCATCAACAACTGATCAGTCAATTTCACCGCATCAATATCAGCACATGCCTGCTGAGTTTGTTTCTGTACCTGTCGAAGTTGAGGCCTTGCAAACCCTAACCCCCACTGATTACGTGACTCGCGTCCATTGCCAACGAGACTGGAAGAAAGACGCTCGAAGAGCTCATATGCTCGAGAAACAAGAATCCAGTCCTGTTGTCCAAACCAATTTTGAGGCTGCTGTTGTTATGGAATCGGTTACAAAATCAAACTTAGTGTCCAGCCATTCGACTCCTTCCATTTTCGACAATAATGCAACGCGGAAATTGGTGCCTAATCGGAGACATTGGAAAGCTGAGGCTAGAAACCGGAAAGTTCAAACCGAGCATGGTTAAGGTATTTCTTCTGCATTAAATTGGCTGTGCTGTAGCCTTGCTTTTTAAATGAAATGCCTCAACTAACAATGCAATTTCTTGTAGCTTAATTTAGGGTTAGTGTTTCTTTGCAAGTAGGATTGTTGTTTTCATATTTCTTGATGTGTTTTTAAGATCAAATAATCTCAAAAACCAAATCATAATTTGCAGCTCAATTTTCATTTATAATTGCAGTTTTCTAGTTGTTGCCGGATTTTTTTTTAAAGTTTTATTTATTTATTTATTCTTATAAGTTGCGATTGCTGTATTTTTATAGAAATTTGGATTATTGTTGAGCGTTTCAACTTATGCTTTCCTTGATTACTAGTTTGAACATGATGTTTTGTGTGAGGAAATAGTGTATTATTACAGGGAATTGTGATTGTTGTATTTTTATAGAAATCGGGATTGTTGTCGAGCATTTCAATTAATGCTTTTTTTGTTGATTAGTTTGAACGTGATGTTTTGTGTAAGGAAATAGTGTATTTCTATAGAGAATTGCAATTGTTGTATTTTTATAGGAATCGGGATGATTGTCGAGCATTTCAACTTATGCTTTAGTTTTGTTGATTAGTAGTTTGAATGTGATGTTTTGTATAAAAAAATATATATTTTTATAGATAATTACTATTATTGTATTTATTTTTTTTTATGGGAATTAGGATTATTGTCAAGCATTTCACTTATGCTTTCCTTTTTGTTGATTAGTAGTTTGAAGGTGACGTTTTGTGCCTCGGAATTTTGAACTATTTTTTAACCCCGCTGGTTCTAGTTTGTCCGGCTACAAGAGAGGGACAACATGCTAGGGTGTCACAAGTCCAACCCCCGACTACATTTTGGTTGTGTTTGGTGTGGGGTTTTTGTGGTTTGATTTTTTGTTGTCTTTTTTTATGTATTTGTTGTTCTATTGATATTTTGTAAGAAAAGTGGTTATTAAAACTAGGGAGACGTTGAGAATGGAATTGCAGTAGAGAATAGAATTGGAGAGAAATGGAATTGAGTAGAGAATGAGAATTAATTCTCTTGTTTGATAAAACAGATAATTTATTTGAGAAATCTAAAAAAAATGCAGATATATGAATGACCAAACAAAAATAAATGATTAACCCGATAAAAAAAGAGTTTAAACGAATGAGAATTCATGAAAAATATTTTTGGTAAATTTTTTTTAAAAAATTATAAATTATGTACGATGTTTTTTAAGATTATATTTTAGTACAATTTCTTAAAATATCGTAAAAATAAATTAAATTTGTTTTTTGTAAAATTAAAATAATATAATTTTTAAAAAATTATACAAATTAAATAGTACAAAAAAAAATAAATAAAAAAAATATATATACTGCAACATCATTTCTTTCCATTTCTCTGCATATGGGAGAGAAATGAAAACAGAGAAATGGAAATGATTTATTTTTCAAGTTCCATTTCTCTCATTTCCATTTCTCTGACTCAAACAAACAAGAGAAATGATACCATTTCTATTTCTCTGGCCTCATTTCTCTGTACCAAACACAACCTTAGCGGTGTTAGGTACAAAGAAACTATTTTCTATTTTCTATTTTCATTTCTTAAATGTATGGAAAGAAATGAAATTAAGAGAGTAGAGTATATTTATATATTTTATTTTTTTATATGTAATTTGTACGATTTTATTTATGTTTATTATTATTATTATTATTTTGTCTAACTATTATTATTTTTTTATAATTTTTTATATTATTTAATCTTATAAAATATCATATTTAAATTATTATTAAAATAAATTATCAGAAAAATATAATTAAAAAATATAATCATATTTTTCTTATCTAATTTATTATTTTTTCACCTTTCTCAATTGAATTATATTTTACCAAACAAAAAATATTCTCTACTTAATTCCGTTTCATTTTATGCTATTTCTGTGTACCAAATCCACCCTTATTTGATCAAATGAGATGGGGTATATTTATATGAAGAAATGGATGTAAAAATTTGTATTGATAATTGTGGACACCCAAACCAAACAAGCCTCCAAGGATGTGTTTGGTTTGATTTTATTTTATTATTTAAATAGTAGCTATATTAAATATTTTATAAGAAAAAAAAAATTAATATATTTTTATTAATAAAATTGATTGAAGTTTTTTTTTTAAAAAAAAAAGCATAGACTCATGCTGGTTTTTTAGCTTTTTGCATAACGTGGATTCTTATCTATTCTTTAGGAGTTTAATGGGAAGGAGATATATTCCCTTTCTTTTGGATTTGAGATTAGATTTTCAAATAATACTTTTTGTTTGATATTTTTTGAAATAAAATTATTAGGAGTATATTTTTATTAATAACATATGGACTGAAATATGTTTGAAATAAAAAATAAAAAAATTAAATACAATATCTTAAATTTAGAATATTAGTTTGCTTATTTTCTTCTTCCTTTCTATAGTAATATTTTACTTCATCCATTATGTAAAATTATGACTATTTGATCGGACACAATTTTTTTAAATAATAGGTAAAAATAAATATTTTTTACATGTCCATTTGATCGGACACAATGTTTTTTTTAAAAAAAAAAGGTAAAAATAAAAAAAATTATAATAAAAAAATATATTTTTTTACTATATAAAAACAAAAATAAATTTGAATAACAGTAAAAATAATGATAATTTTTAAAATAAAATTATTATTAATATAATATCTTACAATCTCATAAAAATTAATACATCAAATAAAATAATAACAAAAGAATATCCACGTATACACAAGCACATAATAAATTGCAAGATTCAAATTCTATCTTACAAAAACACAAAGAACTACTTACTAAAAACTTAAAAAAAAAAAACTTCTTACATCTAACAAATCAAATATCATACAACAACAAACGAATTCTCTGAGAACGGCGCCAAAATTTAATTTTCTCTGGAAATTTTGGATACCAACGCTACACGAAGTTGATCTTGTGAATACACTCGCCCTTCCATCCTCGCCGTCGCTTGTTGGATCATCAAGTCGTTCACGACGGACACACTCGCGTGGTGCACGTCGAGATCCAACTCCATAAGTGCGACCATCAACTTCACGGCCGGGTGATTCTTCTTGCAACATTGGACCCGAATCATCGCGTCCCGTCCGATGATCCTAACATCGATATCGATATCTACATTTTGGGTCGGAGCCCGGCCCGATTTTGAAGCCTCCAGAACTTTCCTCGAGTTCTTTTTCACTGACTCGATTTGACTCAGCAACCCCTCTTTATTTATTTCAGAGTCTTGTAGTTTTAACTGTAATTCTTTGATGTAAGTAATCGCGTCTTCGAGCAAAGACGCCTTGTCCATTTTGGACACATTGGGCACGACGGCTCGGAGCGTGTAGAATCGTTGATTTAGCTTCTCGCGCCGTTGTCGCTCGGCTTCCACGTGGTTTAACGGCTCTTCCCGCCCGTTTGCGGGCTTTCGACCCCGTTTTCTCGGGCGAGGTTTTTCGTTCTCGATTTCTCCGACTTTGCTTTCCATTTCTTTCGCGATCGATGCTTCGAGTTCCGAATGATCCGATTCAACGCCAACGGTAATAATGTCGTCGGTCTTTAACGAGACAATGGCGCCGGTCCCGTCGCTATTACTAACCTTCCTCTTCTTACAACTATTCCTACTTCCCTTATTTCCGTCTTGAACCCTATCCGAAACTCCCATCTTTTCGCCGTCGCCGAAATTCAGTATCTCTCCCGACTCCGGCTTGCAGATTCCGCCGCCGCCGCCGCCGCCGCCGTAATCGGAGAAATTCAATCGATGATGTTCTAAATTGAGGTTTTCATTGCCAAACACCGTTTGCTTTGAAGCATCGTTGATGTTAGAAGGAACGGAAATCACATTACCGTTAGTAACGGCGTTATTGTTACCGTTAGCATTGATGGAATCGTCGATCTCCGGAGACGGGTCGGTTAGCCAGAGGTCGGCTGGATCGACATCGGGCCGAGCCCAGAAGCCCGATCCCGGCCCGAATTCGTTGAAATCGAAGAGAAGTTTGACTTCCTTCATGAGATCGGAGTTTTGGAAAATCACCTCAGTAGAGCCGAGCTCGACGACGCCGTTAAATAACGGTATACAGACGACGGTCTGGAGCCCGAAGCCCGAAGCTTGACGGGCCCGGTCGCACGGCGTGGCGGCGAGGCGGTCGCCGCCGGCGACCCAGACCGGAGCTTGGCCGGAGAAGGCGTGGCCGGGGAGGCCGACGCCGGCGGCGAAAGTCTGCATCATGGAGATGAGGAAGAACCACTCGGTGTCGGTGACTTCTTCGTCGACGGCGGCGGCGGCGGCACCGCCGCCGGCGAGAGGGTCGACCAGGGAGTTGAGCTCCCGGAGCACCCTTTTGCGGTGGTCCTGTTCGGCAGCAGACGACGCCGTTTTGCGCTTGGCTTTGTCTTCCTCTCCTTTATAGTAGCCGTCGCCCCACCCTAATACGGCGGCGGCGGCGGCGCCGCCTCCGCCGCCGTCAACAGCGGAGGACTGCCAGAAAATAGCGTATGTCCATGTCTCTTGGGCGCCTTCGATCAAGCTGAGGAGACGCTGCTGGAGGCTTTCTTGGGTTAATAGGGGCGGCGGCGTGGCGGCGGCGGTGGAATTTTCCGGCGGCGGCGGCCAAAAGGAAGTTAGATCGGAGGGTATTACGAAATCATCCCCGGCGGAGGCGCCGCCGTGCCATGGAGTGGCGGACGGCGGCTCCGATGAGACAATCATGACAGGCTCTATGTAAGAATTAGGGGAGAGTGTTTTTCCATGATGAGAGAGAAAATGTAGAAAATGAGGAGAGAGAAAGGGATGGATGCAAGTGGCGGGGAGGAAAAGGATGGGCAAATGGCAATCGATTGTGAATTTGGGTTTAATTTGGGAAGAATTTGGGGCGAATTTAATGTGAATTTGAGTGGGGGCAACGGATTCTAACGGTAGAGGTAGAGCTGATCCGACCGAGCTGCTCCATTTGTAAGAAATAGTACTAATAATTTCAGGTAATTACAGATACAGTCCTCTATTTTCGTAAATTGCAGATTATCTACCTGTAAAGTAAAGTACGTCATATTTAATATAATAAAAAGATAATTAAAAAAATCCACTTGTTTGTCCTTTATGGTGACCTGTAAATAATGATAATAGATAAATAATAATAATAATAATAATAATGATAATAGATGGTGGATATGCTGAAGCATCCGCAGGGCACTCCTGAATTTTCAGTGGCTGAGCAAGCATAAAAAATATTCTGTGTTTTTTTCAAGTTTTTATCTAAAAATATATTTACAATTTCTTTTATAGAAATTTTAATATAAATATATGTTTTTGTTAATTTTTTTTACCTAAAAATATATTTAATTGTTTTAATATTCATTAATATATATATGTTGTGTTATATTATCTCTGTCTCAATTCAAAATATGTTTTTACTATTTTTCGTATGTTCTATTTTAAAGCATTATTTTTTTTTTATTTTAAGAAAAATAATAATAATATAATAACAAAATATTATAACTTTTACTTAAATTATGTATATCATTATATATATAATGATTTTATACTCCCTCCGTTCCAATACAATAATTTTGTTTACTATTTTTGTCTGTTCCAAAGCAATAAACTTATTTTCATAAATAACTATATCACTATATAACTACCATTACTATTTCATTATTATTATAGTCACTATCTTTTATACTAATACACTCGTAAGGGAAAAAATGTCTTTTATCTATATTTTTACATATTATCAATATAATATCAATATTCTTTAAATCTCGTACCTAACACAACCAATACTATAGTTCCAGGACGGAGGGAGTACATAAAATCAAATGACAAAAATATAAAAAAAAAATAAAAATTTACACACTCCTACTAACTAACAAAATATTACTCCCTCCGTCCCAGGTACTGTGTCTGCTACACTGTAGACACGGTATTTTAGGAGGGGTGTAATTAGTAGATAATTAAGAATGTATTAGTAAAAATAATTATCCTATAATATAAATAATTATAAATTAAGATTAAGATAACTAATTAGTTTAATTAAAATTAAAAAAATTAAAATGAGATTAAAGTATGTAATCATTTTTCAAAAAAAGAAAGTGACATGGTACGGACGGACAGAAATGACAATATGGACATGGTATCTGGGACGGAGGGAGTATTATTTTTTAATTTATTGCAAAACCGCAAAAAAACTCATTTGATTTGAAACAAAGAAGTATTTTTTTTCATTACCTATAAAAAAAAAATATTATATTAATGTAGAAAATACATCATTTATCGTAATATTTTTATACTTTTTTTATCCCATAACAATGTGAATATTTGGGTTGATATGAACATTAATAAATAATAGTATTATATTGATAATGAGTGTAAAAATATTTTTAAGACCAAAGCACTTTTATTTTATGTAATTATTGTAAAAAAATAGGGATAATTTTGTAAAAATATAAAGAATTAGTTCCAAAAATAGAAAAAATGAGACTAGAATACGCTATATAACTTACATTTTAAATAAAATCATGTACTATCTATAGCCAACTTTAAATCTATCTCAAGTGAATGCATATATTTGTCTTTTTAATAAATAATAATAAAAGGAAAAAATAATAATAATATTTTATTTATTAATAAATTATCTTAAGATAATTTTGATGATTTTTATTAAATTAATTATTTTCATTTTATAAAATTTACTTTTTCATCTTATTTAATATACATATTTTATTATTCTCGTCTTTACGTAATATAATATATATTTTTTAAAAATATAGATAAAAAAATAAAAATTCGATTTTTTAAAATAAAAAAATAAAAAAATTAACATTTTTAAATAAGAATAATTTTAAATGATAATTTAAATGAAAAGTAAAAATATACTTGAATAAATATATTTTTAAAATAGTATTTTTATCTTGCTTACCAAAAAGCTCACGAATTAAAACTCTTAATTTGAAACCCTAATTCAGGAGATCGAACGAAATGAGTAACATGGAGTGGGAGATGGTGGAGCTTCACCGAAATTCCGGCAATTGGGCAACAATGGTGGAAGAAATTGCGAGATTAGAGAAGAGGATCTTCCCCAAGCACGAGTCTCTTGCCACTTCATTCGAAGCAGAGGTTAAAAGGAAGAACAGCGGTTTGCTTTATACTCACGTTAGAGGCGAAGTCGCCGGATATGTGATGTACTCTTGGCCTTCCTCGCTTTATGCTTCCATCACCAAACTTGCAGGTAAACCTGAATTTTGTACATCGATTCTTAGAATGCCGTTTAGAGTAAATCAAAATCGATAATTAGATAACGTCCGATTTGAATTTGAAATCTGAATCGAACACACTCTGTTTAGTTCACACAATAATTTAATAATGATTCTGTTTGTAGAAGGAAATTAAAGATTTCTGGATTGAAGTTTATTTATTGGGTGAATTTGCTTTCTGGATTCCTCACATTACTTGGTTGCATTCTGTGGATTAGTTCTTAAAATTTAAAAAGTGATAAACATCATCTTTTATGCAGACAATGTGATATATCAAATATGATGATTCATTTGGCACTTCTTCAACTGATTTCTTCGACAATTATTGTTAATTCTCCACCTAACTGTTTCGTGCTTCCATGGAATGAGGATTGAAGTTTTTTGACATATGATAATTGTTTGCATTAGTTCTTAACCTTACAAAAGCGACGAGATCATCTTTCACAGAGTGAATGTTTTATATGATGATTCATTTGGTATTTCTTCAACTGATTTCTCTTAGAATCATTATAAATTCTCCACCTAACTGTCCTGTGCTTGAATAGATTGAGCATTGAATATCTTAGCATCAGTGCATGTGATATTGTTTGCAGCAAGAAATAGTTGGAGAAGTTTTCTATGGGCCCGAATAACATGTTGTCGTGTTAATATCATCTCGCCACTTTGTTTAGAGTATGGAATAACATTTTACGATCTAATCCTGGTTTATTTAACATATTTCATCTGTCTTGATGCTCTAGTGCATGTACTTAGTCTCTTGAAATTCCATTAGTGAGCTTCTTATGAATGGCAACTACATTTAAATTAACTCGACCCAAAATGAATGTCAAGTTATTACTTTTTCTGCCAGTATAGAGTGCAGTTCTCTCGACTTGAATTTCATTGGGGCGTAGGGTTGTAAACGAATTGAATTAAATCGATTCGAAAAAAATATTCGACTATTCGATTAATTTCGAATCTTAAAATGATAACTCGTATTCGATTTGAAATAGTTTTCAAATTATTCATTTTGATTTCAATATTATACATATATTTGGTTCAAAATGTGATTTCCATTTTTGTTTTATTCGACTCGATTCGAAACTATCGATTAGAACTTATTTTATTTAAAATTTTCAATAATAATATTAAAAACTTGATAAAAAATATACATATTTATTATTTATTATTTTTTCACATTGGAAAAAAGACTTCTTGTTTTAATATAAAAGGCTTCATTTATATTGTATATATTTATACAAAATTTAAAAGAATTATGATTAATAAATTAAGTTTAATTTATTTCAATTGGGAAATACATAGTATGTATATTATATTTTATACTATCTATATTTTTTTTTATTATCGAATCGAATATTTACAAATAGCGAATCGAATATTAAATTTTTTTTTCGAATTCAAATCAAAATTATTTGATTAATTTACAACCCTACTTGGGCGTTGATCTATGCACCTGCTTAATTTGTTTGAAAATGGCAGCACTTATACCTTTATTTCGAACAATGTTTCAGTGAGAGAGAAGTATAGGAGACAGGGCCAGGGGGAAGCACTGCTGAAAGCAGCCATCGACAAGTGCAAAACTAGGAACATTCACCGTATATCTCTTCATGTAGATCCCTCAAGAACCGCAGCGATGAATCTCTACAAGAAATTCGGCTTCCAGGTAGATAATTTAATAGAAAGTTATTATTCATTAGATAGAAATGCGTATCGAATGTACTTGGATCTCAACAAAGATATACAAGCATGATCGATAATTAACTACAACGTGCATTTACAAAGTAAAACACAGACTTAGAAACCGGAGCTACTAAAATGAATTCATGTTCTTTTTGTACGTGATTAAAATCATGCTCGGATAATGGAACGATGAAATAGTTTTCTTTATTAGGCCTCTTTCAGCACTTTTTATGGAATTTTGCTACTGCATTCGGGTATATGTTGTTAAAAATGTTGATTTAGTTAAACTATGTCGAGCTGAACTTTTAGCTAGAATTCTGATATGTTAAATTTACATACTGAATGTTAAACCGGTGATCAATTGTAATATCGATTTTGAATCATCTGATCTAAGTTTAGGACAATCCCGACTGATCCTGTCCGTGTACCAGTCCAATATATATGCATTTGTGGGTGATACCCGATGCATTATCTACTGCTGATGCTTTTTAGTTTTCGAAACCTTTGATTTAGCTGACATTTGAAATTGATTTAGCATATCGTGTTGTTGGTTGTTCTGATGCTCAACTTGTTCGGACCGGTTAAGAATCTTTCGTATTTCTTACATGCTTGCGTTTGTTGATCTTAATTCAGTTGTAGTTGTGTTCTTATCTGTATTTGTGCATCTTATCTGAGTCGAATTGGTGTTTGGTAGCAGTCTAGTATTGTTCCTTTTTCTTTTCTTTTTTTGTTGGAAATTATTATTTTTAGATAATCGATAAGAAGCCGTTCCTATGTTGAGAGAAAATTAATCAGCAGATACGGACACACGTATGAATTATACTCCCAAAACACATAGAGTATAAACAAAGAATACAAATTATGCGGTCCCGTAAGGGATGACCTTGGTTCACTTAGGGTGTGTTTGTTTGGGGAATTGGATTGGATTTACATTATTCATCCAATTTTTTTCACCCAAAAACATCAAATCAAACACCTATTTTTTATTTTTTATATTATACTGAAAATCAATTTTACATTCAAAACATCGTATCAACACCTATTTATATCACATCATACAATTATTTAAATTCAAAATTTTTACTATTAAAATCCCAATCCAAAATCCAAAATCCCCAACAAACACACCCTTAGCGTGACTTGCCTTGTCGGATATCACATTTTTCACGACTGATATCACTGTTCAACTTTAGGGTATTACAATTTAAAATGCTAAGAAGTTTGGGTATGCATATCTATCATTGTATATTGATTTAATTTGATGAATATTGTATGCATGACTTTTACTTGTTTATTTTTTTGAAAAAAAAAATAAATATAAAAATTAAAAATCATTGTGCTTTGGATAAATTTTTGTATGTATCGTCTATATACAATAGAGTTACACAAAATAAATCACTCAAGGGTGATGAAGTAATTTTTCTCAAATTATAATAAAAAAAAGTTAAAAAAGTATTTTGGTATTAGTGTATGATTACTTTTATTATAAATAAAAAGTGAAGTAGTTTTTAGTGGAATATAAGAAAATAGTAAAAAAATATTTTGAGTTGAGATCGATGAAATATTAAAAAAATAAAACAATACAACCTAAATACAACTCATTTGAGATACAATAGTCTTTTTTATCATTTTTGTTCGTCCCAAAATAATAGTCTTATTTCCATAAATAACCATATCACCATAAAATTACCTTTACTTTTTTTATTTTATTACACAATTGCCACTACTTTTTACACTAATACATTCACAAGGGCAAAAAAATCTTTTATCCATACTTTTTATCCACTATCAATATAATATTAATATTCCTTAAATCCCATGTCAATCCAATTAAGACTATATTTATGGAACGAATAAAGTATTTTTTATTTTTTTTATAACCATCCTATCAAATTACTATTTAAATAAAAATAAATATTAATATTAATTTCAAATCAATTTTAAATCACAACCAAATAAATATATACTTTTTAATATCAAATATTAATTTAAATTTTATATATTTACTAAAATATATTATCTCATTATTAATATAAATAAATTTGTGTATATATATATATATATATAGTGTGATCAAACTTGAAAGAGTATAAGTTTGTTCACTCAACATTACGACAATTCTCGTTTTATATTACAAAAAAGACAATTTTATATAAATAAAATAAAAAATGTTAAATAAAACATTGTGATTTATTTACTTATATTAAACTATGGCTAAATTGTACTCCCAATTGAAAGGGTTATTTATTTATTTATTTTTAATTAAAAATAATAATATTTTATTAATTATTAGAAGTGTATAAGACATTTTAATATTTTTGTCTTTCAAATTTATGTATAAAGTAATTGTGTGCATAATGGTAATTTCAATAAAAATTAAATGGTATTTTGGTATGAATATTTAATTATGTTTTTTAAACTATTTTTTTTGTTTTATTATATAATTAAGTCTATTTGATTTATGATGTTATATGCTATGTAGTTAATTAAGTTAATTTATATTTGTTAACAATATTTTGATTAATAAATTTTACGACAAAAAAAAAAATATTAATTGTTATGAGACATACAAAAAAAAAATAATATTAATTGTGGTGACCGAGACGAGTATTAAATACTCCATCCATCCCACGTAATTTGTCCATATTTTATATTTTTGTCTGTCTTACATAATTTATCAATTACACTTTAATTACATTTTAAATTTTATAAATTTTAAAAATTTAATTAAACTATTTAGTTATCTTAATGTATGATTATTTTCACCTATACATTTCTTAATTACTTACTCTCTCAATCCCACATAATTTGTCATTATTTTATATTTTCGTCCGTGTATCATAATTTGTATATATTTTCTATTTTCATCCGTCCCATATAATGTCATTTTTTTTAAAAAATAATTATACACTTTAATCACATTTTTAATTTTATAATATTTTAATCTTAATTAAACTATTTATTTATTTTAATATTAATTTATAACTATTTTTATTATCTAAAAGTTACTTATTAATTATAATTTACGTCATATCTACATTCATAAGTACATATTACTAATTATACTTTACCTAATTCTTGTAGATTCATATACTCCCCCCCTCCTATATTTATCTATCCATTTATTTTTTACAAAAAATTTTAAAAATATTAATATCATATTGATGCCAGTAGAAATAAGATAAAAAGACTAAATTACCCTTAGTAATATATTGTAATATAAAAGTAATGATATTTGTGTAATATATTGTAATTTGAAAGAATATTAGTAACATTAGAGAGATAAATTGATACTAAAATTATTTAAAAAAGAAAATTGATAATTTGTTACCAAAATAAAAAAAATATACTTCATCTGTCTAATAACAAAGTATCCAATTTTTTTTTATTTTAGTCTATCTTATAACAAAATATTCATTTTATTATTTTTTTAATAATTGTAATATCTACCTAACATTATAAATATGCTTACAATATAATTACACAAATATTGTTACTTTTATATTACAAGATACTAATAAAATTATTTTAATTATTTTTATTTTATTTTTATGATTTTTTAATATAATACTAATATTAAAAAAAATAAAAATAGATACGTAGCTGTGGGAGGAAGCTAAGGCAATGGTAGGGCAATGTGTGGGGTAGTAATTAAAAACAACAAAAAAACCGGTAATATTTAGTGACTTCCAGAATTCTGCACGCATCACTGTTCCCAAAAATGTTCTATTGACTCTTCGCTCGTCCTTCACCTCCGTCTTCCCAAAGCCATTCCCCACCTTAATCGCCGTCGTCTCCCCGAACTCTACTCTGATAGCAAAATCAGGATTCACTTTTCGATTTCCGATCAAAAATTCCATTTCCGGAGCACTTAAAAAAGTGTAAGATTCGAAGAGTTTGCCGAAGTAATGTCTCGAATCGCGCGCAGCTGCGTTCAATCGCTGCTGAAGTTGGTGAACTCGGGGTTAGGGATGGCTGGAATAGCCTTGATCATGTACTCGCTTTGGATGCTGAGAGCTTGGCTTGCGGACGAAGAATCCTCTGAGGCTCCTATTCCTTGGTAATTTTTAGCACTGTAGTGTACTCTGATTGAAAGGGTTAATTTGTGCCTTTAATTATGCTTATGCGAGTTTAGAAATTATCAGTACAGCGTGAAAGGAAACGAGCGTGTTTGAATGAATGCAGGTTTATATACACCATTCTCGGAGTTGGGGTTATTGTTTGTGTGATCACTTGCTCTGGTCACATTGCTGCTGAAACTGCTAACGGTTGTTGTCTATACATCGTATCCTTCCTTACTGTATTGTCGTTCAATCTCTGCCTGGGGAATTGTTGATCATCATTTTAGAGGACCGAAAGTGTGTTTGTTTGGGGGTTTGAGTTTTGAGTTTGTGTTTTGAATATTAAAATTTGGAATTGAATTTTTTGATGTTTTCAATGTAAAATTGTTTCTTAGGATAATATATAAGGGTTTGATTTGATGGTTTTGGAAGAAAATAATTTGATAGTAGAGAATTTAAAGTAATCTCCAAACAAACACCATGGCTGGAACATTGTTATACATGCTTTGTAAGAGTGGAACGAAATGATTTGGGAGGTTATGTTTGATTGATTTGGTATTTAAGATTTTGGGATTGTAAATTAGCATCCAATCAAAGATTTGCATTTTCGATTTTAGTTTAAACATATGAAATGGATAATCGATATTCTGGTTTCATTTGTTTGTGCAATTATCCTAATCCAGCAAGAACTACATATACTTGGAGATGTGTTAAATTTACTGTAGATTTGTTAGACCAAATACACAGAGGCCTCTTTTTTTTAAAAAAATAAAAAATAAAAAATCTTATTCTTAAATTTCCGGTGAACCGATAAAATGCTGATGAAATTTCTATCTGCAGTGCATTAATTTGATAATAGTCTGCAGCATAAAACCCTTTGGTATCCTTAGCGAGTGTAGTACATGGTATTTGTGTTTCTTCTTTTCTTGGTAGAGGCTGCTGTCACTGCTGATGTTTTCTTAAATCATCACTGGGAAGAGGTAATTTTCTGGAATTAGGTATCTTGAACATGCACAAGCATCTTGTAAACGATTTGACCTTTATCAGGACTTTCCAGAAGACCCGACCGGAAATCTTGATAATTTGAAGAGCTTTATTCAAGAGAACTTTGACATTTGCAAATGGGTTGGCTTGGCTGTGGTGGCTTTGCAGGTGAAATCCCTTAGTTACTTGCCTATGTTTTTTTTGTATTATTCATTTATTTTTAACTCCCGCATACGGAGGTTTGAGTTTTTTATTTTAATAATATTTAATGTGATGTTTTGTGATATATATATATATATATATTGGGAAACAGGAAGTCTAGATAAAAAGAAAAGAACTGTATAGAAACTCAAAGGAAACACACGTATACGAATGTACCTAGATTCATCTTCATGTATGAAGTAAATTTTTTTTAGTATTATTTTATTGGACCCTAGAAGCACCTGCTTTGCATTTCTATATATTTTAGGCATATATGACAATATTTTTCCGCCTTACATCTTCCCATTTTTTTTTCTTCTAATTGATGACATGACTATCTCCGTAGAATATGGAGTTATAAATCATTTGCAGCTGCAGACTGGCTACTGAAATGAATCTTGATTTCATTATACTAAATAGTATTGAAATTAAATGTGCATTTAGGTTTGTTACAAACTGTACTTTATTGTGGCTTTCATATTTGTTCTAAGGTACTGGAACATGGTTTAGTTCAATGAGATTGTTAGTGTATAATTACATCAGGTACTTCACTAATTTACTGTTATTATAGGATGCAGATCAAATTACTAACAAATTAGACGAACCGGAATGAAAATCAATTGACATGAGGATATATGAAGCTGGAGTGTCCGGCTTCTTAATCTTGCTAGTCGATCTTATGGTAATAATATCCATTTGCTTGCAGGGAATTAGCCTACTTCTGGCTATGGTTCTTAAGGCTTTTGGACCACATCCCGAGAGATACTACGAAAGTGACGATGATTACCTACCAGATAGGGTGCCGTTGCTAAAAACTTATGTTCCCTCACAATCCTATGTTGTTAAGGAGCCGCCCAATGGGATGAAAAATGATGCTTGGGGTGTAAGAATCAACAGCACGGTATGTGTCCCTTTCAACTAATGTTTGGATGTGTTTGTTTGGGGGTTTGAATTTTTGGTTGGGATTTAAATAGTAAAAAATTTGAATTTGAATAGTTGTATGATGTGATATAAATAAGTATTGATACGATGTTTTGAATGTAAAATTAATTTTTAGTATAATATAAAAAATAAATATTTGATTTGATGTTTTTAGGGGAAATATTTTGTAGGAATAGTGGAAACTTGAGCACTACTATATTTTCATCGAAACAATTGTAACAGCTAACAGCGGTCTATAGCTTCTCTTTAGTAGTTCTGTTGATATTTTAGCATAATTTTTTTGACAGCCTCTACTATGATTTCACTATATTTTACAAAATAATTTCCCGTTAGAATATGAGAGTTAGGGAGTGCACATAATCATAGTGGATACAAAGAGATTTCTACTTCTAAACCATTTTACAGAGCCCCTTGAGATTTTCTGTGCATACCCGAGAGACCAAATTTATAAGAAATGAATATATATACGCTTCCATTACATGTTTAGCGTAATTTATGAAGAGTTTGAAGATTTCAGTGATGTAATAAACTCATAATATAATCAAATAAGGACTATATGTGGCTGATTAGTAGAGTTATTTCTATTGGATATTTGCGATGATTGCTATAGCTCATTGGTTAATGATGATCGATATCTGTTCAAACTTTTTGTTCTTTTTCCTATTCAGGCGAACCGGTAAAGAAGCCACTATGTATTTTATGGGAGCCAAGTGCATTGAAACAAACTCGGACATCAACCAATTTAAGGTTTGTGGATTAATTTGATCTTTGATTGATTGATTTTGTTATCCGGGATATGTTTATATACTGTAAATGGCTTCATGTAAGTGTGTACTCGAAGTCTTGGACATAAAAAATATTTTGAAAAAGTCGAAGATATTGAAGTAATGATATTGTTCTCTTGCAAATTATGTGTATTGTTTGAATCTTAATTCTCGGCATAGATATTGCTAGTGGCGGAACCAGCCCCCGAACTTTTGGGGGCTGGAGGCCCTCGAGCTCCTCCATAGATCCGCCCCGGATATTGTGGCATTATTAGCCTATTTGCTGTGTTTGCGTTTGGATTTTGGGTTTTAGTATAATATTTCTTCAGTCCCGTGTATGTTGTCATGTTTACTGTAGACATGTTTAACAAAATTAAGGGTGTGTTTCTTCTGGGGGTTTTCAGGGAAATTTGGGTTTGAATTTGGTTTTTATTTGAATTTTTAGGTGAGTTTGAATCTATGTGTTTCTTTTGTGTTTAGGTTTGGGTTGAGTTTGGAGAGTTTTGATGTGTATTGATTTAATGGTAATAAATATAATGATATAAATGTGTATTAGTATTATACCTACATATATATTTTTAAATTTTTATTTATTTGTATTATAAAAAAATTTAAGCTATATAATATGTGGAACATACGGAAATGAAAAGTGTGAGATAGTACGTGGGACGGATGGAGTATAAGAAATAAAAATTAAGTATTTGATTTGATATTTTTTTAAAAAATTTATTTATTTATTTATTTATTTTATGAATAGTAAAATCTTAAAATTTATATAAAAGAACACACGACATTAAAGAGTTTTTAGTTTTTTTTTTTAATTCTATTTTTTGGTTTGAAACGGCACCAAAGCTTGTATAAATTCGACCATAAAACAAAAACAACGGAGCACACTTAACTAAAAAATGCAAAACTAAAATCTTATGTGTTGTTTGGGGGTTTGGATTTTGAGTTGGGATTTGAACAGTAAAAATTTTGAATTTAAATAATTGTACGATGTGATATAAACAGATGTTGAATGATGTTTTGAATGTAAAATTGATTTTTAGTATAATATAAAAAATAAAAAATAAGTGTTTGATTTGATGTTTTTGAGGAGAAAATTTTGGATGAATAGTAGGATTTTAACAAAATCCATCAAACGAAACAAAAATGTTATTTATTGAAATTCCATTCCGGATATGATACCTTTTTCGACACTTTAACTTATTTATTGAAATTCCATTCCGGATATGAGATTTTTTTCGACACTTTTAACTTATTTATTGAAATTCCATTCCGGATGTGAGACTTTTTTCGACATTTTGAGTAGAATGTGCATTTTTATTTTATTTTATTTTCTCAGTTCAATTGGTCCTGGTCGATGCATTCTAGAGTGATTGATGAAAGTGAAACCGAAGGATTTTTTATGAAAATAAGGGGTTGTCTGGTCTAAGGACTTTTCCGATGAGATTGAGATTTTGCAGTAGAATTTATATGTGATAGGATTTATTGTATTTAGATTTGAAATTCTATCCTGTGTTTGGTTGGGGTGTTTGGTTCAATGATTTTGATTTTTGATATTTTAAATAACGTAATTATTCTTCCACGAATTTTATTTATTGTGATAAATTAAACTTTACATCCATTTTTTTTACTAAATTTAGTGTATTCTAATAAAAAAATTTAATATGATTAATAATAAAATATATAATATATATTCATACAAAATATATACTGTAATATATAATCTATACACTAAAAAATACGACAATTTAATTTTTTTTATATACTATCGACATTCTTTCTCATATTTAATATAAAAATAATTTAAATTAAAAATACAAAATTAATACACCGTTAAAATAAATTTAAATTATTAATTGATATTTTAAATTATTAATTTATTTAAATTATCATTACTAAAAGAATTAAATATATAAAATATTTTTATAAATAAATATATTATTTATAGTAGTATGCTTAAATATAATATTATATTTTATAAAACTAATAAAATATAATTTAAATATAGGGAGAGTTGATTTTCAGTCCCTGTTAGTGGTGTTGGATTTAAATTCAGTTTCTATTACTAAAAAATTGACCTGCACTCCCTCCTTTTTAATATTGGTTTAATTTCAGTATCTATTTTTTATTTTTCCATTTGTCAGCCTAGTATATATTTGATTTACCTTTAAAATATATTCAAATACTCTCAAAATTATTTTATATACTTATAATATATTCCACTCTACATATGCTACATTTCGCTCTACCTAAGTTGTTCCACCGGTATACTTCTGTTTACCTTATGTATACTTTTGTTTGTGTATTTTAAAATAATTAAAATAAAGATAAAAAACAAAAATTACAATTACAATCACATTTTATTGTGGAGTAAGACGGAAAATTATACCTCTTTTTCATGCTAAGATTGTAAATAAATCAAATAATTTTGTTCGATTTGATATTTGATTCAAATTTATGATTCGAATTTGAATATATTTATTTTATTCGATTCAAATATGAATGGAATACAAATAAAAATTTTAATATTCGATTCCATATTCGTAAATATTCAATTCAATAATAAAAAAAAATACATACATAGTATAAAATGTAGCATACATATATGTATTAAAAACTAAATTTATTAAGTATAATATTTTAAAATTTTATATAAATAAATAAATAATATAATTAAAATTATATCACGATATTTATATTTATGTTAAAGTACGAAAATCTTTTATGTGTCAATATAAAATTTTGTATTTTATTATCAAGTTGTCTTAATATTATTGTTATATTTTTAATTTAAAAATCTAAATCGAATAACTTTGAATCGAATCGGATAAGACAAAAATGAATCACATCTTAAATTAAATATTTAATATTGAAATCAAATTGAATATTCGGAGTAATTTAAAAATTATTTAGAATCGAATACATATATCATTTTAAGATTCGAAACAAATCGCATATCGAATCGAATAGTAGAATATTTTCATGATTCAATAGAATATTGCAATATGTATGTGTGTTCATAGTTGTGTGTTCATTTCCATTTTGTAATGTATGCCTATATTATTAAAGTTGGATTTTATACTTTGGCATATTTTAGAGTAAATAATACTGCAATATTTAAATTTTATATGTGGAATTGATGATCTTAGTAACTTTATTCGGAATTATCTAGGTTTTTGGGATTAAATTGGAGGAAGTAAATAGAGTACATGTTGTTTATTTTTGTCTATAGGTTATGGTAGTTCTCCAATGTTATTTCTTAATAATTCTGCAAATAGTTAGAGTTATGCATGGAGTTTTTATAAATTCGCCGAAAGTATAATGGGTTGCTCACGATATACTCCCAATAAGAGTATATATACCGTCATAATATTCATGAAAATACCCCTAATTAAAATGTATACGCTCATACGTGTTTGTCAATATAATCATAAAATGTGTGTTTCTTTATGTTATTCTTATATTTTTGTTGAGCTACATAGATTACCTTACATATACCTGAACGCAGCTCATCTCTGGCTCACGGTGAGAGATGATCTTGAATCCATAAGATGATGCTATCAAAGTAATACGCTATATTACGATCATTTGGTCTAAATGTTTGTCTAGTGTTACGCTCATGCAAACCTGACGGTTCATCTTTAAAGGGGCTTAGGTAACGACTACAATGATGTGAAAACTTATCACGGTAAAATTGCTGACTGAATTTTAAAAGGTCCACCATCTAAAGCGTAGACTTCATTTCGTAATTTGTATTTGTATGTAACGTTTTTAAGCGGAATTGATGATCCCAGTTATTTTTTTTGGAACTGTCTCGGTTGTTGGGATTGAATTGGAGGAAATAAACTGAGTATTGTTGTTCATATTTGTCTGTAGGTTACGGTGGTTCTCTTATTTTATTTCCTAATGCTCATGTGAATAGTTAGAATTGTTCTTGGAGTTTTTATAAATTCAATTAAATATAACTGAATGCTCATGATGTACTTTCAATAAAAACATATATACCGGCATAATACGCATGAAAATACCCCCAAATAAAATATATATGCTCATACATATTGTCAATGTACTCATGAAGCGTGCGTTCGTTTACGATTGTTCCACAATCCAAATTTTAATGACACGCACTGCTTTGAGGTGGTAAATTAATATTTTATGATTGTTTAACTTTATCCATACCTAAAGCTAAGTTAGATGATATAATGGACTTAAAAGATAAGTATTAATAGTCTTACAATTTCGACGGCAATCTCATGGAAAGTGTGACATGATTTGTTGAATATATAAGTAATGCTTGAACTTTTCAACAAAGTATAATAGAGGAAAAAAAAAAGGTGTGCCCTCATCGAGTTCCTTTATACCCTCCATTTTCAGAGAATTGACTGCCTCTATGAGAAATCAATTACACTCAAAGATACCTAGTACTTGACACATAATACCTTAGAAACGATTATATATATCTCTATTGTCAGTGTTTATACCCAGTACGCATAGTTATGTAACTACATACACTATCAACATGTCGTTGTTTATTTGTTGTGTACCTATATTATGATATCAAATACTCCGAAAATACGTACTTATACCTTAGTAACCTCTACTCAAAAAATCGATCATATTGAGTATCATATACTCACTTGTAAACGGTAATTGATGATTAATTCAACATGATAGTATTCTTGCAACTTCCAGGAAAGTATGAAATGACAAACACCACACATTTACAAAAATAAAAATGGGGAATATTATCATATATACACAATAAATGTTATAAAGAACTTGTTTAAAATATTTTTCATTATTAAGCTACATTCGTGTTGCTATGAAATTAATAAATAGTTGATGCAATCTAAATTCACATTGACGAAGTAACGCAAGACAAATGTAGTATTTACTTGAAACAACAAGTTGTAATCTACTATTAAATTTTGGTTTGTGACGTGGCCCCTCCGTCAAAGTATCGAATGAAATCAACCACATTTATGGATATCTGCTACTACACGGATAATATCTAAACAACCACCATTCATACCTTGAATGTTGGTGTTTATATATAGAGCACATACTTACATACCTGCATCAAATATCGACATACCTTGGCGCAAATCTTACGTACCTATAATATTGGTGTCATATGCTTAAGTAATGAGTATATATACCCTGATAACCTGTGCTTGGGAAACTGACCATTTTCGGTTTGAAGTATTCGTTTACTATAGGTAACCAGTGATGAATTCATCATGATAGTAGTTTCGCGACACCCTGAATTGTTTGAAAAGGTAAAAAAACACATGTTTAGTATATATGGCTAAACAAGTTAGTTAAATTGTATGATATATGTACAATAATAGTTTCAACCTCCATTTGTAGATGGTTAAACAATTCATAAATGACTAAGTTGAGTTATGTTGATTGTTAGATTACATGATTGCTACCACAAATTAAAAATATTTGGACATATTACATAGTAATTCACATCATAGCACACACAACAATATTCGGTCATGAGCATACTTGCATGAGGCATGACTCGGCTAATTTATTTATGTATAGATGCACCTACACAATTTAAATGTAACAAGTGATTGTCTTTCCTTTGTCATCACATCTTTGGGTGGATAATCTATTGGCATGGGTTATTCATTCTTCAATTTGAGATCCAATCTATTGGCATATAAGGTCATCTACGTAGCTCAAAAACTATATATCGTGTATTGATTGAAAATTACGATAATAATGTAAAAAACAATGAAATTTATATATGTCAAAACTTGTATGATTCTATATACTCTTGTTCATTGTTCATATACTTCCATTTAAATTTTATATATGTATGTCATAATTGTACATTCCTTTATAAATATTTCATAAACCTCTATTTGCTCGATAGTAACCACCTTAATATATCAATATACTTACAAATAATAGTTAAATGACCACAAAAAACAAACGTGAACTCCAACACATACAAACATATTTCATAGAGAAGCACAGTAGACCATAATAACATTGGAATTGTTGAAAACAATTCCTGGAAAGGCATCCACTGATTTTGGCAGATGAATTTCAACAACCCTCAAGTCGACCTAATGCAATACCATCAAATATTGCCAAGCATGCCGGGAAAATAAGATCCAACTTCACACGAATATTGTTCAGAAAGTCCTTACCTGCAACAAAGGTGAGAGTGCTATATAGTTACAATTTATAAAGAAAATCAATATGAACAATTACAATCACAGTTGCAACAAAATTTTAATTCAATAGTTTTCGAAACAAATTAATGCCAGTGAAAAATTATCTATGACTAAAATCTCTCATGCAAATTCACCAAAAGTTTACCTAATTTTCTTCTAACATCATCAATTTGGGAACTTTAAACCAATTCAATTGATGTAAAAATTATGAAGATGACCACTCTAAGCTTAGACAGTTATAAAAAAATTAACAGGGCAACAAGTCGCATGTACTGGTTGTTTGCTATTCTTGCCAAATATTAATAGCCATATGTATAAATCTATCCAACTCATAATCGAATTAACTTAAGACTAACTTATATTGGCATAGATAAAAACATCAAATTCTATATACATCAAACAAATCGAACAAGCCGCAAATCAATGACACAATCTACTAAGGAATTTCATCAAATAAGTTTTGTAGCTACATGTTAATGTATTCCATTAGAACTTATATTTTTTAAAAAGAAAATTTCATGAAACTAACAGTTAAACTATCAATTTTTCCCCCTCTTCTTTAAAAAAAAAAACTAAAACTCCATGTTAAATACATAATACAAATCACTCCTTGTCAAAAAATTAAAAAAAAAGAAAAAAGAATGAGAATACAAAAATACATAAGTAGCGGAAGTATATCCAAAAACCTAAACTAAATATAATTGCATTGAAACTGAAATAAAACAAATAGAACAAAAGACAAACACAATATAAATTTGAGAAATAGGAAACCAAGAAACAAAAATAATAAATAAATAGAAAAATACTTCCTTTACGATTGCATATATTTTAATTGATGATATCGAAGACAACCGATGATGAAGATTGTCCAGCCCAACGGTTTACCGCGGTACTCTGCGCATCGGACAATTTTAGGTTCCATCAACGCTGGATTGTTCGTCTCCGGCAGCTTGTTGTCGTCTTTTCGACATTTAACAGATCGACAATGCGTTGTCTTCAGGATTGGTGGGTTCATTTAAATATTTTTCCTAGGCTAGATTAGATTGCTATGATAACCACCGGGATTCCTTTCAATACATTTTATGATTGAAGTGATGTTGTGGCTATGAGAAAACCAGTGATTTTGGGGTTGAAGTAGATTTCGCGCGAAGCAAATCACAGAAGAAATGACAAATATGTAAATGAAAGAGATGAGGATATAAAAGACTTTTCACACAATCAAAGATAATAATGGAAAAAATAAAGAATGGGGAGTAATTTGCAATTGAAATGTAAAAGTAAGGGTTGCAGTGTGATAAATTTATAATAGGGACTAAATCACAAGTTATTTTAGTGCAAAGGGATTTAAATCCAATTATCACTTAAATATAAATAAATATTTATATATATTTAATATTAAAAAAGAAAAGAAATATAATTTTTTGATGGAAGGGTATAATAGTAAAATGAAAAATACAATAACATGCTATTTTAAAGTAATAGGGGGTATACTATTACTAAAAAATCTTGCATTTGTAGGATTTTAAAATCTCATGCACTTAAAATTTTATTATCAATTTTATAACCAAACATGAATTTATTAAGATTTTAAAATCCAAATCCTATAGAATCTCACCAAATCTATCAACCAAACAACATCTAAGTGATTGATATTGTGGATATTTTTTTATTGTTATTTCTGTGATCGATGATATTATATAAATAAAAAATTAAAACATACAAAAATCACCAAAATATATAAAAAATTAGTTAGATCAACTAGGTAGATATATGTAACCATTAATTGCATTGTCATTTAAATATATTTTATTTAAAATACAACTTTCCCTTTGATTTTAAATGTAAACATCAATATTATACCCATTTTCATGGCATAAAATTGGCGGACTTATCGAGAGAATCAAAATATATATATATATATATGATGTTTGAATATTAATTATTATATTATAGTATAAAAAAATATTATAAATTTTTTTTTAATGATAAATAAAAGAAAAGATAAACGTGTCGTGGAGAGATTATCTAATTTTGTCATTATAATACAATTTATTTATAATAAGTAATTTTATTTAAATATGTTCTATTTTTTATCTACTCGCGTTTAAAGCAAAATGGCATAGTTAACGGACGGAAGGGAGGATACGAACAAACCCTAATCCTCGGCCAAGGATCCAAGTGATGGCTGGCAATGGCGATGACTTCATCCAATCCTTCCTCAGTCGCTGTAGCTATTAGGAATTCATTTGTTGAGGCAGACAGACTCTTGTATTCATCATCTTCTTCGTAGTCCGATCGCTTCGTCTACCTTGTCGGTGTAGGGCTTCGTCGTCTCCGCCTTCGTCTTCGTCTTGCACCGATCGGAGCTTTCCCCGGAGCGTCGGATTGGCGAGGCCGGTGCTTTGGCAGAAGTAGGCTGCAAGTTATCGATAGGCTTGGTCTCTTCCATCGTCTTCTTCAGCTCTGTACTAAGCCGCTAGTCGAATTCCAGGTACGAAACTAGAAATAAGTTGGAGAAAATCATAGGAGGATTTATGCATATTTTGTCGATTTCTTCTTGTTGAAATATTGGTATTCTTGTTTAATTCGAAGGTGAAATTCCATAGCCATGAATCCATTGACATTGGTTAAGCGTATCCAAAATATAAATAAAAAGGAAGCTAGTCTTGGAATATCAGAGGAAGCATCATGGCATGCTAAGTATAAAGATTCTGCTTATGTTTATGTCGGCGGTGTTCCATATGATCTAACTGAAGGGGATCTTCTTGCAGTGTTTGCTCAGTGAGTTTTGTGATTTTGGTTTTCAATTTATTTAACTTAATTTGCTGTTGACAATTCATTTGTTTTGTTAATTTTGCTCGTAGGTATGGGGAGATAGTTGATGTTAACTTAGTGAGAGACAAAGGTACTGGAAAATCGAAAGGATTTGCATTTCTTGCTTATGAGGATCAGAGAAGCACAAATCTTGCAGTAGGTGGGGTTTTCGTCGTACCATTTAATTTTTGTGACGAAGAAAGGATGGGTTTGAGTTTTCTCATCAGGATATTTTGGTGGATTTGCAGACAATTTAAATGGAGCTCAAGTTCTTGGAAGAATTATTAGGGTTGATCATGTGAATAAATACAAGAAATTGGAGGAAGAGGATGAAGAGACTAGGCAGCAGAAAAGGGAGGAACGAGGCGTGTGCCGTGCGTTTCAAAGGGGGGAATGCAACAGGGGAGATAGCTGCAAATTCTCGCACAATGAGCAAGTAAATTTTCGAATACTTTGGCTGCTGTTTTTTTTAAGAATTTACATGTTTATTCATGTAGTAATTTCATGCTTCCCGACTGTTAAGCCTGTTTAAGTCTTTTGGCGAATGTGTAGAACAATATTTAATTTTTCGTTATACAGATAGTTGTGACATAGGTTTGTTGTTGGATGTTAACAATGTCGATCATGGCAGCTTTTGAACTACTAAATTGGTGTTGGATAGGCCAAATGTGTGATAATAGCTAGTTAAATCGTCTCTGCATATATCTTTTGAATCTCTGATGATGGATAATCCATTTCTTCAAAAGGCTGTGTTTGTTTGAGAGTTTGGATTTTGAGTTGGGATTTGAATAGTAAAATTTTTGAATTAAAATAGTTGTACGATGTGATATAAATAGGTGTTGATGTGATGTTTTGAATGTAAATTTGATTTTTAGTATAATATAAAAAATGAAAAATAGGTGTTTTGATTTTATGTTTGTTGGGGGGGGGGAATTTGATAAATAATAGATAATACGAACACACCCAAAGTTTATAATGCCTTTCAAATGCACCTGCCTTGGATTAGCCTGAAACGAGTCTTGCTCAAACAACTTGCTATGTGAAGGGTGAAGATTTTTTTTTTTTCTTTTTTTTTTTCTGAATAACAAAAAAATGCTTTTAGCAGGAAAAGGCTAGATAATTTCACTTATATAAGACCTAAAACTTTAGTTTGCCCAAATGCAATGTTGAGGAGGTTCTTTGGCGTTCTTAATATGAAGTTAAGTAGAATTCAAAAAATAAAAGGAGGATCATAGTATGGAAATAAGAAATGCCAAAATTAACCTTTATTTTGTGAGAGGTAACTGATTATCTTTCTATTGTTTAAAATAGTACACCAACACGCTTTCCTTAACAATAACGAAAAGTACGTAATTACGTTAAGCTAAGCTACTGTATAGTTGATGTGGGACAATATTTCCAGAGTTCTAAATGTCTGTTTCTGATGGCCTAGTCATGGTTTGGTGGGGTTTTATGTTTGATTGTTTTGAATGTGTGATATACAGTTTAATCCTTTGATTTAAATAGTAATGAATAATATGCTAACGTGTACTTTGGTCGAGCCTACAACCTAGACTTAACTCCTTTCAATTCCTCTACTTCTGTTTCCAGTTTTGAATGAATAAGTCGATCCTCCAATTGTTCGATTACATAGCTCGAATAGGCTTATAACGATTATGAGCCATCAATCATCATTCGTTACCGGACCTGCTAGTAGAAATGAAATTAGTGTGAACTAGACTTATCTGCACCACTAAAATTGGCGACAAGAACCTTAGAATTCACCTTACTTACCTTCTTTTTAACTTTCCACTCATTGTTAGACCTTATGAAAACCACACCTTAGTATTTTTCGCTGTTGGCCGTTCCCGCTTGGCAACTTCTTCCTATTTGTCCATGTATCCTTCTATAGAGCCGTTAAGAATGCTAGAATTCAAGTTTTCTAAATCCGATAAAGCCTGTCAGCCACAAAGCTTGCTTGTTCATTTGTCATAGATGATGACATGATGATTTTATTTATTTTTGGTGTGTGTGCATTGTGCAAGTGATAGTAAATTTCTTAGGAGTTAGGAGAATTAATGTAATGTCCTGTGCGTAGGTGTTTTGAACTTATTTTACAAGTTTAAATGGCATCCAATTTCGTTTCTTGTAATCCCGTTTTAATTTGGTGTTGATGAAAATCCATGTACTAACAGTCCAGTATATCATAAATAGTCCTGTTTTGATGCTTAGTTCCTGTGAATGTTCGGTGGAAAATTTTCTGCTTGCTGTTTTCGTAAAGCCTTTTTTGTGGAAGACCCCTTTGATCTTCTCAAGTAACCAAGTTTAAAATTTTTCATAAAAAACTTCATTAAGTTGTTTATGAATGTGGAAAATTCCCTGAAATGCTTTCGAAAGCATTTAGACAGGGACTTTTGGAGTTTTGGGGTTTTAAAAAAATCTGAGAATATAGGTGTGTTTGTTTGGATTTTTGTATACTTGTTCGATGTGATTTAAATAGATATTGATTTAATGTTTTGAATGTGAAATAGATTTTTAATATAGTATAAAAAAACGAAAAATCATTCTTTGATTTGATATTTGGAGACAAAAAAACACAAAATAGTAAGAATCTTGGGAGAAATCTACAAAACAACATTATCTGAAGTGATTGTTTTGTGAGAAAAAAATATATTTGATGTGATGATTTAAAAAGCGTTACTTTAGATTAATAGTATCAAAAGATCCAAAAAATGGTCTGTGTAAATAGAGCCTTGATCTGACACGTCTAATTTTTTCAGTTCATCTGTTCTATATGTATGCATGATATTTCACTGCCTTCCTTGCGACGAAGATTTGCAGTCTCGTGTTTTTTCCAGCTATCTAATTAACGCTTGTCCTAAACGCGCTTTATTTGTCGAATTTAGAGAGCTGCTAACACGGGATGGGGTGCCAAGGAAGATAAGGAATCAAATTCGAGGTGGGGGCACGACAAGTTTAAGGATGGAAGAGGTGGTAATAAAAATAGCAACAAAGATTCACAGTATTCTCGAGCAAGAGGCGATGAGACTGCCCGGGATAATAGGTACCGTGAACCTCAATTGGACACAAGAGATGACGAAAGAAGATCTGGCAAGAAAGAATCGGACAAGGGTTATTACAAACCAAAGGATGTTCGAGATGCCTCTACAACTGATAAAAGGACGAGGCAAAGTTACATTTCACCGGATGCCAGGGAAGAACACGACCGTAGAAATGAGAAGAAAACAAGAAAATACGACGACAGGCACAGCAGGGAAAGAGACAGTCGATCGTCACACCACCATCATCGTGGAGATCGTGATGGTGATGATGAACGAAATCGATCGCATCGACGATGAATCTGGAGCTCTGATTGATTTGGTAAGTTTGTACAATTTTTGTTGAAATGATCGAATATTTGAAATGTTTTGTTTCTACCTTGAAGGATCGTTTTATTTCGACGACGACGTCGACGTCGGCGGTTTGCTGTGAGTTCATTCGTTGTGAGAATGTAGAATTGGGATGATGTTTGATTTGCTGGAGATTGATTGATCGATCATGGGCGTGTTAAAGGTTGATGAGAGGAAGGTGAGCATTGTAATGTAACTCAGGTTAATTGTTACTATGGTTAGTTTTTGACTCAAGGTAGAGTATGAGTTTCCCGTGTTGATTTGCTGCCTTGATAAAGATGAGATTTTGTCACCTTTAGTTTTTGGGTTAGTGTGTTTAGTTGTTAGTATTTAGTTGAATTTTAGGTTTGATATATATATATATATAATATTCTTTTTGGTCCCATTTAATATTATAATTTGTAATTTTGGTCCAATTCAAAAAAAATTATCAATTTTGGTTTCACTCAAATAAAAATTTATCAATTTTAGTCCCAAGATGGTTAATTAGGATTGAACATAGTTATGTTCCTGCTTATGTTTTCGGCAGGTTATTGATCATTTTTTCAATATAATTATATTGCAAGTCATATTTATTATTTTGGTTAAAATTATTTGAGGAGTAATAGTAACTTGAATGTGATTTTATGTGAGAAAGTGTGGAATTGAAATAATGTGACGTCTTTAATTTAAAAATAAAAATAGCAAACGTGTATTGTTTTATATCTAGATAATTATGCATATTGTTTTATAGAATATAAAATTTTATAAAATATGTGTAAATGGATATAGATATGTAGCTATAATATTTATATGTAATTTATAAAATTAAGGGTAAATTATTTTTTTTGTCTCGAATTTTTTAATATTTTAATTTCGTAATTGGAAGTTATCTTAAAATATTGTGCTAAATTTAGCACCAAAAAAATTATATTTGGACCTCTCAAAAATAGGTTTGAAATTTTTAGGTTCATACTTGGCCGACATGGCAATGAATCGAGCTGTGTCTGAGCCTATGAAAGCCGGGCCGGCTTAGTTTGTGAGAATTAATATTTGAACTCTAATGTTTTTACATATACAATAATTAAAGAAATTTTGACAAAAAAAAACTGAGTTGAATTCGGACAGGCTGTATAATTAAAAAAAATTAGGCTATTATTTTTTTGCTAAATTTATGTATAATTTGTTTATAATAAATAATTTTATTAATTATAATTTTAAATAATAATTAATTTATTTTATTATTTTATTATTTTTAAATAAAGTTTTTCTTATAAATAAAAAGAAGGCGGATGTTTGGGAAGAAATGGTTTAAAGTTCGTAAATTAGATTCAGATCATTTAGGTAATGATTCAAATTAATTATATTATATTATTAACCCAATTAATTGAAAATTTTATAGATACAATATAAAATTAATTTATTTACTTAATTTTTAGATTGGAATTAATGTTGATTTATTTTAATTAATTTATTATTTAATTTATAAATTTAATACTCTCTCTGTCTTAAAGATATCATTTTTTATTTTTGTCATTATATTATTTTTTAATTTAGTAATTATATTGTTTATCTAATATAACTAATACCTTTACAATTTTTACTATATTATCATTACTTTTATACCATACAAATGTATTTTTGTCATTTTTAGTAAATCAATGTAATATTAATATTAAAAAATCTACTTGCAAAAATAAATACTACCAATTTTATGGAACGAAAGAAGTAGTTTTTTTTTTTATTGTATTTAATTTTTACTTAATTTATACAAATTATTTATTAAAATTGATATTTTAGAATAATTTGTAAATTTATTATTTAAAATCTCTCATTTTTTTTTTTATAAAAATATAAATTATTTAAACCGATTCGCGAAAACCAACCATGAGGGTGACAGACAAGTAGCAGCTACCGACCTGAAGGCCTCCACGCGCGGGAGCGTGAAGGGAACATGAAACAGCGTGCAAGGCTGAAAGAACCCATGCAAGGGACACGTGTCGCCTTCTCAAGCATTTGTCAAGATTCACATTTCCAATCAGTCTCCAGATTCTTCTAAACCAACGGCTCCCATCTTGCCATCTCATCCAAACTCCATTCTCCTCTACGTTTTCCCTTCCTTCCGTAGCTGCTTCACTCGTCTCTGCTTGCCGCTCACGTCCATGGCTCAATTGCTGCCGCCGGTCTGCGCTGATACGCTCAAATTCCGCACTCCACCGCAGATATTCTGTTCCAGAAATAGAGTTTTAATTAGAAACGGGGTGAATTGGAGCAGGGAAAGGGGAAACAGCGGTGTTGGCGGAAGAATTAGGGCTAACTCCTCTCAGGATCACGCGGCTGAAGCTGCAGATGATTATTATGCTGTGTTGGGACTGGTAATTTGTTTTGCGTAGTAATTGTGTCGAATTTGTCGGTGTTGTTAACGATCGGCTTTGATTTTGTTCGAGATTCGTTATTTTCTTCTGACTTGCTGAATTGGTGGTTACTGGTTAGTAATTAGTTCTTATTAACGCAATCATCGATTGATTTTTCGTAATTTTAACAGCGATTAGTTTGTGTTCGTCGAGCGGTATAAACAATCGTTCGAACATAGTAAGAGTTGTTTTTTGAATGGTAGGGTTTTAAGGTGATTTGTTGAACGGCAGAATGTTCTTTAGAATCATGAGGAATCCATGAAGTATGAAATCTGTTGAATAGAAAATTTTGGCGTAGGATTCGGATTGTATTTGTATAATCCCCTACTTGATTACATGTTTACATTCCTAATTTGATACTGAATCTTGATTTGATATTGTTTTCCAGGAACCAGATGCTACAACAGAGCAGATAAAGAAAGCCTACTATAGCTGCATGAAAGCTTGCCATCCCGACTTGAGTGGTGATGATCCAGAGACGACGAACTTCTGCATCTTCGTGAATGAGATTTATGCCGTATGTAATGTGCCACTGCTGCTGCTTTGATTTTTTTTTTTTTTTTGAAAAATGAATCATTTGTGGAATTTCTAAGGGAATGCTTTTTGTGTTCAGGTCCTCACAGATCCTGTGCAGCGAAAGATCTATGACGAAATTCATGGATATGCTGTGTCTGGGATCAATCCTTTTCTCGATGATTCCATCCCGAAGGATCATGTGTTTGTTGATGAATTTACCTGCATAGGTATGTCAAGATTTTACAGCTCAAGTTACATTGTTGTCCTGTTCTTATCTCATTGGCTTCAATTGTATGGTGTGTGATGTTAAAAAATGGTGTTACAGTTAGCGTAGAAATGTTTTTGCTTTATAACCAGTGAGCATTGCATGAACAGCTAAATTAATTAGTGATAGTGAAGGATCAGTTCTATAAACCATGAAAGTAGAATTTATTTGCTTATACGATTATGTCCACACATCGTAGTCCTTGTCCTGGCACAATTCCTGTGTGCTTCTTGCTTGATGGAACTATGTTGCCGCTAAAATTGTTTGTTGTGTAGACTTCTTTAATATTGATCCCCAAGTAAATGAATGCTCTATGTATGATAGAAGAAAGATCAAAGTATGTTCATGGTGCTTACTATCTTCATTTAAAAATTAAAATACAAACACGACACCTGCGCAGCGGGAAATTCTTCTCTATACAAGTTTTCGGATGAGGTTTTTGAACATAACTTAAAATATCTATGGTTTCTCAGAGCAATGGGTCAATAGTGAAAATCCATAATACAGTAATTGTAAACATATTATTTGGAAAGGGAATGGTCGAGGAATAAATAGATAGTTTCTATATGCAGGTTCATTGATCTAAAATATGATGATGGCCTCAGCTTCATTATACCTAGGATTTGACAACTTCTCATTTTCTTTGATTTCTTTGTTTAGGCTGCAAGAACTGTGCCAATGTTTGCCCAGAAGTATTTTCCATTGAGGAAGACTTCGGAAGAGCCAGAGCTTATTGCCAGATTGGAGTTCATGATTCAGTCCAAGCAGCTGTTGAGAGCTGGTAGGTTATGCTCCATTGATGGAGTTCTACAAACAATCTGTGGGAATGACATGTCCTGAAATTCATAATGGAAAAAATGAGGAAATATGTTTTCATCACCACCTCCTACTTATATTTGAACATTTTTCTTCGTGAGAGATAATTGTTTTTGTCAAGATTTCTTTTTAAATTCGTAACAGCATCTTGGGAATTTTGGATAAGTGTCATGAAATTTTGAGGCAATGATAGTATAATAGAGCTGTCTGATAGGTTGTTATCCGTCAACATTTTCTTTGCAACTTTTATTCTTGAAGTGATTCATTTGGGAATAACAAAATTGGTTCTTAACACTTTTCCAAATCAGCTTCCGATGAAGAAGAGCCTCTTCAAGATTGATTTGAGTTAGAGTTAGCGAGACTTTGCAAAGTAGTTAAGTTTTGGTGATAAGGATTTTGTATGACGAATCATTCTCATGATTTGAACATTATCAGATACTATTGAGGATAAATCTATGTTCCAAATGTTGAGTTTACCATTTTCATGCAGCTAAATAACAGGTTTGTTTCCATTTCAGTCCGGTCAGCTGTATTCATTGGACTTCTGCTGCTCAGTTATCGTTGCTTGAGGATGAAATGCGAAGGGTAGAAAGAGTGAACGTAAGTATACTTCTCATGTAATTTCTCACTTTTTAGTGGACACGTATCCTTGATGTAGGTGTGATATGTGTTCTTGTTCATTTATATATGATGTTGCTCGTCAGGTAGCCTTGATGCTCTCCGGCATGGGATCGACCTCTGTGAATGTGTTCCGCCTGGTAATTCACTAAGTCCAATATATTGATCTGCTTTTTTGTCTCTAAATGGGGAATGGCTAAAAATGTCTCCTTATATGTAATCTTTGATTTAAATAGTATGAAAAATATATTCTAATTGCAATTATCTAGAAAACTCTCTATAATTCAATCATTTTTTAAAGACAATAAAGAGTGTGCTTACTTGTGGTGTTTTGAGTTGTTTAGAATTTGAGGTTTTTTGGATTGAAAAATGGTTGGATGTGATATTTTAGTATTGTGTTTAGGTATTGAAAAAAATAATTTTCTTGTAGGATTTTTATTTTCTATTTTTTAAAATTAATGGAATATGTGTTATATTTAATATTCTAATGCTTGTTTATATAATTGCTGCAGGCAAGCTCCCGATGGGAAAAGAGGCAAGCTAAAGTCTTGGTAAGAATTTTACTTCTGTTGGGTGAATTAGATAAAAACCATATAAATTACATTTCTCATCTCAGCCTATGTTCTTAAGGAAAACGACTCTATTACGTGTTATTATATCACACAACAGTCTTCAAATTCCACCTTTTATGGGGTGAAAAAACGAAAGAAGAGAAAATTACTATAGTTGGAGGGGAATGTTAAAAGAATTAATGAAAAATTTCAATAGATCTGCTTTTAGGTAATGTGATTGTTTAGCAGTATATATTGCACATTTTATTTCGAACTTCGGATGCATTTTATCCGAGACGATCATGATTGGAGCATTATATTGCAGTATGCTGATCATCTCAACTGTGTACTTTGTTCTAAGCTAAACAACTGCAAACTATCATGGAAATTACTCCCTCCCTCTCACTCCAAAGGGACTTTTTGGAGTTTTGTAGTAGATTAAAAAATAATAGTATTTTATTGGTTAAAGAAAGTGTGTAAGAGATTTTAACATTTTTGCCCTTTTGATTTTATATATAGAGTAATTGTATGTGTAATGATATGTTTATAATTTAGATAAAAATTAAGGTTATTTTGATATTAGTGTATGATTACTTATACTATAGGACGAGACATACGAAAATAGTAAAAAATGTAATTTGAGTTGGGATAGACGGTTTTTAAATTCTTCATTTCCCTCCCCCAATACTCAACTTTTGTTACTTGTGGTTGTCCCAACTTAAATAATTGACGTTTGTGTTTTTCGTAATCTAAGATATAGAGTTGCTTAGCTGACCACTTTCTCCACAACATCTATTTGTTTTAATACAAATTAGCATCTGTGAACTTGTGCAAGTAAAAAGCATCTCTGTCTGTTGCAGCAACAAGCGAGAATAAGGATGATGAGGACACAAAGAGACTCCGGTAAAAAAACAGAGTCGTATTGGAGCAACCTATGGGGCAATGCCAGAGACAACGGAACTTCAGGTGAGTTTATAATCTGACATTCCCATAGTTCTGTGATCAAGTTAGTTTGGGAATGTCTTTCAAGTTCATTTCTCGGATTTTTGTTGTGAGGTTTGAAAAATTGTTAAGAGTATTATAACGTGAATTATCCCTCCATTCCTTAACAATCTATCTATTTTTTCATTTTAGTCCGTCCCATAACAAGTATCTATTTCATTTTTCAGTAACTGTACTATCTACTTAATATTACAGATACCCTTTCAATTTACAATATATTATACAAATGTCATTACCTTTATATCATATAATACTAATAAGGGTAGTTTAGTCTTTTTACCTATAATACTAATATTACTAAAACTTCGTGCAAAAAGTAAATTGATAGATAGATATGGGACGGAATGAGTATTTTGTATGTTTTTGTTATTTTTGTGTGTTTTTATTGCTTTTATTGTTATGTGTTATGTGTATACGATTGTATTCTATCTATTACTCTTCCGTCTTGGTCAAAAGTACTTTTTAGGCTTTTGTAGTAGATTAAAAAATAATAATATATATTAATTGTACGTATAATAATATATTTGTAATTTATATGAAAATTAAAAGTATTTTAATATTATTGTGTGGTTACTTTTATTATAATAGAAAATTGATATGACAAACAAAAATGATAAGAAAAAAATACTGACTATGGAGCAGGAGCATCATGCAGGAATAAAGCATTAAGTGAAAACACATTTCTTGTTGTAAATGATACTATAATATAAAATATACTCTCTCCGTCCCATATTTATCTATCTGTTTGTTTTTTGCGCGGAGTTTTAGGAATATTAGTATTATATTGAGATATAGTAAAAATAAGATAAAAAGACTATACTAACCTTATTAGATTATATGGTATAAAAGTAATGGTATATATTGTAAATTAGAAGGGTATGTGTAACGTTAGACAGATAGTACAATTACTATAAAAGAAAATGAATACTTTGTTATGGGACGGACCAAAATGGAAAAATTGATAGATTGTTATGGAGGGAGCGTTAACAAGTATCAAAAGATGTTTTGTTCTTTCTTTCTTAGTAGATTTTGGATATGAAGTGAATAGTTAACGGTTGATTTTGCAGAAGAAGAAGTGGAGGAGAGGACGTCGCGAGCGGCTGCTGCCGCCCGAAGGTGGAGAGAGTATTCCCGGAAAGGGGTCGGTAAGCGTCCCGATTTCAAACTACCGGAGGAGTCCATTTCTAACAAGGACTAGCCGTTGTGTATATTCCATTGCACTTGTTCTTAGTCTGATTCTTTCTTCATGCCATTGATTATATAATGCAAAAACAGTACATAATGTTGTTATAGAATATATGTATATATGTAATGGAATGTTGTGTTAGGCATCAAAGAATTCTGTCTTTGATTATTTGATATATAATGTATTTCACCCTTTTTTTTTTTTTTTTTTTTTTTTTTATTCCCTGGTCCTTTTGCTATGTTTTAGATAGAGCTGGAAAAAATTAACCTGATTCCATCTTAATAGTTGAGTTTGTGTTGAAATTTTTTATTTAATTAATAATTGGATCAAATTCGTTTAACCAATTTAATTAAATGGCTCAGGTTAAAGTATATATTTTCGACTTGAAAATAACTCGTCTAACTTGTTTAACTAATATTATTTTAAATTTAAATATATTTTCTAAATTTTATCAATACAATTCAATATTTATGGTTAATTTTATAAAAATAAACAATATCGTAGTGTTTGTTAATTTGATTTTTGAATATCGGTTTCATGATATGAATAAATAATTTTTTACTTTAATATGTCTATATATTATGCATTTGAAAATTTTGTTAATAGAAATTGTAATTTTAAAATGAAATTTAAAAATTTCAGAGTTAAACGAGTTATACAAGTCGGCTTCAGATTGACTCGATTAAGGTTGCAAATATCAACTCATTTAATTAAATGACTGTTCCAAATTTTGTAACCGATTTAAAGTTGATCCGAACATGAAGCCGACCCGATCTGATCTGTTTGTCAGCCCTAGATTTAGATAGAGAATTGTTTATTTATTTATTTGTGAAAGAGTTGAATATTAGGTTTCGAAATTTCTAGTTGTTTTAAGATTATTTTTGGGTGGGTTCTATCAAATTTGATATGGTTTATGAAATAAAGTTTTCTTCCTTTTTTTCTTTTTTTTCAAAAAAAAATATTATTTTTGTATATATATATAATATATATATATGATAATATAGAAACAAAATAAAAATAGAAATGAAGTATACAAGCATGGTTTTTTTAACAACTAAACAAATAATTATTTTAAAATATTAAAGTAAAATTTACAAGAAGGTATCTAGAAAGGATTTTAAAATATTAAAGTAAAATTTACAAGAAAGTATCTAGAAAGGATTTTAAAATATAATTGTATTAAAATAAATTAGGCTGGGGCTAGATAGAGTGGCTTGGGTCAGGGTTTGCGCTGGTCCATGATGGGTGAAGTAGTTAGTCCGGGCCGGGCCGGGCTGAGATAGATGGGTTAGGGTACCATAGACTGGGCTATAGTTGGTGGGCCAGTTAGAGTGGGCCGAGCTGGATTTATAGGGCCAATTAAATGGGTCGGGCTGGAGTACTTGGGTTAGATTGAAATGGGCCGGGCCAGACTGATTGGGCCACTGGGTCAAAAGAATGGGCCTTCCAGAGTTATTGGGCCTGACTGGAACAACATGGGCCAGAGTGGTTGGTCAAGGATAGATTGGGCCAGACTGGACCGGTCCGACTGGTGAACCTGACATGAATCGGCTGGGCTGATGTGGTTGGGCCAATAGCGGAACGGACCGGGTTGGGCTCTCATATTTGGGCCGAGTTGAAACTAGCGTAAAATGAGGTGGGTCTGGTTGGCTGGGCTTATTTTATATAGAATGTGGGCTTCCTCATGTGAGGAGCCGACCGTCATATTTTTCTTATTCTAATTAAACTATTTTAATAAATTCTGCTTCCATTTATTTTGGATATTATTAACAAATAATTAAAAAGTGTATTAATAAAAATAATTTTTATTTAATAAAAATATAGAATTCAAATCCAAAGTAACTAATTTAACTGCCTGTGATCGGCAACAGAAGAGATGTAACCATAAACTTGTCATCCACGTCAGACACTCACTCTCACCCTCCATTTTCATTCCCTTCTTTCCTTCCAGTCCGAAAATTCCTATTTTTGGTTCATACTCTCTCTCTCTCTCTCTCTCTCTCTCTCTCTCTCTCTCTCTCTCTCCTCTTCTTTCTTCTTCTCGTAATTAATTAATTAATTAATTAATAATTAGTTAAGTTGTTCTTCGTTTCATTGAATGAGGAATTGATTAAGCTTGCAGCAGTTTTCATGGCGGCTCGTAATTTTTCCAATCCGTTCGACGATGACGACGACGTCGACGTCAATCCTTTCGCGGTAATTAATTTTATTACACACTTTTTCCTAATTTAATTCAATTTAATCTGAATCGAATGCTTTTTTACATGATATATTCTCTCGAATTACAATGGCGATTTCCAGATATGGAATTTCTGGTGTTGATTTGTTCGAAAGGGACAGGTTTTCATAAAAAAAATTTCAATTGTTCGATAATTGAAGCTTCATCGATGTATTTTAGATTCACGATTCAATTTGTTAGTGCATCGAGATGTGTTTTTTTATTCATTCATCTCGTTTTCTCGATGTTTTGAAATTATTTTAGAACACTGTTCATGAACAATATATTTTTCAATTATTATTAGATCGGATATATATATTATATTGAATCAACAATTATCTTCTATGTAAAATATTACATCTAATATATATTTGCGTCGTATCCAATTTTTTAGATATGTTTTGAAAATGATATAGAGTTTTAATTAAAGGATATAAGAATATAGATTTAGCGATTTGAATAGAGAATTAATATATTTATAAATGTATATATATATTTTTTTAACGGTAAAAAAATTCAAAAATATAAATAAATCTAATCTTATGCTTTATTTAAATTTTTACTATTTCAAAACTGAATTTATTTATACACAATTATCTTTTTTGTTTCTTATTTTTTATTTTCTTCTTCGATTTTGGACAATTTAGACAAGAGTTAAGTTCAGTATGTAAAATTTGTTGGATCAAGAATTGTAGGATAATATTGGTAAGAAACTTTTTAATTCACTAGCTTAAGTTCTCTAGTTTCCTTTACGTTTTTGCGATTGTTATGTCATGTATATACGTCTTTATTTGGACAATTCTTTCGGCCTCCTCTCTTTGGGTATCAAAATTGTCTGAAATATTACATATTTACTACTAGAATTCGATAAGCTATTAAAACTCTTTTCGAACTATTTTGAGATCGGACTGATATAAACGTATATGATGAGTTCTTTCATTTGCCGTTGTAAATATGAGAGTGTCATTCAACAAGTATGTTCTGTTTACTTATAAGATTTTATCTATAATTTTACTATTTCAATTTTATTTTTCTTTCAAAAATATCAAATCAAACACCCAATTTTATTTATTTTATTACAATAAGATCTAATTTTACATTCAAAACATCACATCAATATCTATTTACATATTTTTATCGCATCCACTAAGCCTATGCATACTTCTTTTGTTCTAAGTTGTAATCATTATCGGTTACAATGTAATATTCTTACAACATTATACTACAATTAGTGTGCTGAATTTTATAATTCAACGAGATAGACTGTACACGATATAATTACATATAACACAAGATACAACGATAAGTAATATATAATTTATATTAATATAACACAAATATAATATATGAACCGACAACAATACATACTACAATTATCTTAGTACACAATATATATATATATATATATATCCATACAACATATTCTAACTATACCCACTAGGTTTAGTTGTGTTCTTTTAGTGGTTATTATTATTATCACTACAAAAGAATAATATATTTGTAACGAAATTTAGTCCTTAAAGTTCACGTAGTTAACGTAATTTCATCACTAATTCCGTCTCTAATGTCATTAGTAACGGAAAATTTGGATTTAAAGACCAAAAAACCTTGTTACAAAAATGATATTTTCTTGTAGTGTATTATTATTATATATTTTTAATATTTTTATTTTTTTTATAACTCATTTGGAATTTGCTATTTTAAGGTGAAATAATTTTTGAATAGAATTCAATTATGATGTTTTTAGAATGAAATTGAGGAATCAATCTCTTTGGTTGCACTATTCATTGTTTTTATTATTATTATTATTTTTTTTAAAATATCAAATTAAATATCTAATTTTATATTCAAAATATTGTATTACTTATTTATATAACATAACAATTATTTCAATTTAAAATTTTATCTCAGGACCAAAACCATGGGAAGGGTCAGGCAAGCCATGGCGGAGGAGCATTTTACATGACAGTAAGCTTTCTATATGTTGATATATATATATATATATATATAATACTTCGACTTTGCGGCATTCGACTAAATTTAAGCATTTTTTTCTTTTTCCTTCTGGTATTTTTTTTTTTTTTTTTATCTTATGGATGCATTATTTGTGTGCTGAGATTTTCAGAATCCAAGAAGTGATACCCCTTCGAGCTCGAAGCTCTCTCCTCTTCCTCACGAGCCAGCCGACTATAACCATGGCGCAACAGTCGACATTCCTCTTAATAACTCAAAAGTATATAGCGACGTATAAATTTAATGTTTGGTATAAAATCGAGAGTTACTCGGATGATTTTTTTTTCTTTCTTATTTTTCATAGGATTTGAAGAAGAGAGAGATGGAGCTCCGGGCTAGAGAAGCCGAACTAAACAAGTGGGAACAGGTCAGATCGATATAATGTGACTTTTTTTTTCTTTTTAGATTTCAAAAAGTATTACAAAAGAATTCTCTTGAAGTTTAATTTTTATTTTTATTTTTTATTATTATTATTTTTTAATTTGTTCTTCACTTAATGGCCTAGAGTTGCTAGCAAGCTTAAAATCGAGCCAAACTTTTCATTATGTGCTCAGTCATTAAGGTTTGGCTCCTATTTGTTCGTTTAGAGTCACGAGTTGAAAATATTATTTAATCTCATTTTGTTAAGGATTTTTTTTTTCTTTTTTTTTTTTCGTTGTATCTAAGTCAACTCAATTAAAATAGTTATTTATTTCTTTATTCATTTAAGTTTAAAATTTAAAAATCAATTCAATTATTTAATCTTTTGGTACATCACATGTATAAAGTGTTAGAATGCCTTTGTCTATTCTATTTTATATAAGTGCTATGTTAATATATCTTATATGCTATCAATTGTAGTATGTGCTATATGGATTTTCATGATGTCCGGTCAATTTTTGTATTGTATTTGTATTATTATATAAAATATATATAATTTGACGTCGAGTTATATTTCATGTGTTGTCGGTATATATTTTGTGTGCTGTAAAATTTTATATATGAAAATTGGAGTATTAATTTATGCTTTGTTTAGATATGATTTTTTTTTTTTTAAAGTTACAAAAAAAATTTGAGAAATAGTAAAAGATTGAATATTTAATATGATATTTTGTAAGAAAAAATAAATAATATTTTATTTTTTATTAGTTTTTTGAAAACATCACAATGAATAGCGCCAATAATGGTTTTGGGTTATATATATAATCTATTTTCAATACAATAGTCTTATTTATCATTTTTATCCGTCCAAAAACAATAGTTTTATTTTTATAAATAACAATATCACTATAAAACTATTTTTACTTTTTCATTATTATTACATAATTGTCACTACTTTTTACACTAATACACTCACAAGGGTAAAAAAGTCTTTTACTCATATTTTTTTTTAGCAACTATCAATATAATATCAATATTCATTAAATCTCGTACCCAACACAACCAAGACTATACTTCTAGGACGAGTGAGTATCAAACATTTGCAAACAAAATTCGAGCTCATTCATAAGCATAACAACTCATAATTTGTATTTGTATAAAATTCATTTACTTTAAGAAACGACTATTTATCGAGCTTGAATGAGTTGAACTACCGAACAACTCATTCATTTTATAGTTCTACTTAAAACTCGAATCGATATATTTTTTTTGCGTAGTATAAAAAAAATACGTTATTTCTAATCAAAGGAATGACTTTGTGATGTTGTGTAGGAACTGAAAAGGAGAGAAGATGCCATCAAACGATGTAATAGTTTTGACTCGTACATTTCTTAGATACACATATCCGTGCTATTAGCATTCTCTTACAACATAGGCCTTTAACACATTGTTATACTTTCCGGTTCCTATTTTAGCCGGAGGGCTAGGCGAGAAAAAAAATTGGCCGCCATTCTTTCCCCTTATCCACAACGACATTGCGAATGAAATACCGGTCCATTTACAGAGGATGCAATACGTCGCATTTACAACATTCTTAGGTATTATCGCCAATCCTTCTCCTTTTTTAATATGTCTATATTCTTAATAGTTTCATAGATCGATATGATACAAGTATTATTTCCAAGAATTATTAATCGAAGGATCCATAATTCGTAGTTTTTCGTATGCAGGTTTGATACTATGTCTTCTATGGAATTTTATCGCAATTAGCATAGCATGGTCGAAGGGAGCAGGTTCGTGTCGCGGTGTATTAGATTCTAGAGTTATGTTCTTTTTATTTATCTATTTATTTATTTTTGGTCTTTTTACTATGCAAACTCATAATTTCTTATAAAAAAATATACATAATTTTCTATATAAAATATTACGTCCAAAATACTATTTCACATAAATTATAATAAAAAATCAAAATATAGAAATACAAAAAGTACACACCTAGGAGTGTTTTCGCTTGTGTTTTTATTAAATATATATTAGAAATAGATACAATATCTTTTAAGAAATAATGACAGATTGAATGTAAGCATAAATAATATGTGTATATGTACAAGTACTGCAAGAAAATAATACTTTTATAACAAAAATTTTTCATTCTTAAATTTATTTTTTTCTGTTACTAATAACATTAGAAATATAATTAGAGATATATTTTATTAAATTTCATTCCTAAAGTTCTTGTAGCTAAGGCTATCCGTCCTTAATTTTCGTTACAAATGCGTTTCTGTTTTTGTAGTGAAGTGATTCACACCCTAGGGTTTCTTTGAGATTTTTGTGATCTGTAAAAATGGTGATGGATTTTATAACATTCTCTTCGTATACGTATACGTAGATCCAACTATATGGTTTCTCGCTATCATTTATCTCATAACCGGTGTTCCATCAGCCTATATGTCGTGGTACCGACCTCTTTATCGGGCAATGAGGTATCTAAAAATAAGCTTCTTTTTTTGCTATTTTTGACATTAAGCGCACATCTTTTCTCGTACTTTGATTTTATATTTTGGTATTTCTTGATTTCATTTATAGGACGGAGAGTGTTCTCAACTTTGGATGGTTCTTCTTATCTTACATGGTAAGTATGTCTATATGAAAAGGAAAAATTGTAAATTTTGTCTTGTGTATATCAATATTTAACATTTACACAATATATATATATATATATATATAGACACCCATTCATAATTTGATTAATTAAGTTTCAATCATTTATAATTTTAGTTATAATTGATCATAAATTCGAATTAGAACCAAAATTGTGAATAAACAAGCTTATTCAAATAATGAAAACGATAGAATATCAAATAAAAACGATAATTGATTGTACATATTTGACAAAAATTACTCTTTCCTCCCGTATAAAATTTATCGTAATTTGACTTACTTGCCTCTTCATCTTTTGCTTACGTACGTAGGTCCACATTGGCTTTTGCGCATTCGCCACGGTGGCTCCTCCGATGATTTTTAGAGGGGATTCTCTAACGTATGTCTTCTTTCGATATTCACTTTGCATGATAAGTTATTTTGCTATTTTAGTCTTCAATGTGAAAAATTAGAGATATATAAAGCTTATGTTCTAACGTAAATATATAAAAGATTTTGTGCGTTGGGATGGACTTGTGACCGTGTCCAAACCTCTGATACCTCCGCGTCTTATTTGCCACACATGGTTCGCTTAAATATAATTTGTCTTTTCAAACATAATTTGCAAACTATTAAGTTTAGCGCATTAAAAAAGTAGTGATTGTGGGTTCAAGTTTTACATGTTTAAACTTGTTCATTTGTAAAAAACTTCAACTCCCATGCCTATGTAATATTTGTTTAATTTTTACACATAGATTGAACAATATTTATATTTTATATATGATAAGTAGTGTGATAAAAATGTATAGACCAAAGTAAAGTTGTAAGTACAAGAATCCAAACTTATAACAATAAAATAGTGATATTGTAGTAATTTAGGGAGAAAAATTAAAATTAGGGATATTTTATTATTTACGGGGAGATCATATTTACTAAATTAAAATTCAATATATTGATATAAACCAACCCACAATAGTAACATAGATACATCGTTATACAACATCAGTTAACACTGAAATAAAAGCAATTTAAAACGACAAAAATACGCCTTAAATCCAAAAAATTTTACCCAAGTCTCTATTCAATTTGCTGATGTTGTTCCATTTGGTCTCATCGGCAGCGGAATCTTGCCGGCAATCGGATATTTTACCTCGGACGCTCTTATGGGGGTACTAAAAACTGTTAAATACGGATATTCTTCAAGAATGTATGCCCATATTTCGATTAATGACCATTTTTACTCGATTTTATTTGCAGGTACTTTACCTTGTGGGCGCTATACTCTTTTGCATCGAAGCAACAGTTAGCGTATGGGTTATTCAGGTTAAAAATACGAGCTTATATATATATATACATATGTTTTTGTATGTATCTATGTTGTTCGATCTTCTAACATTGGGAACAATTCGATTCCACAGGAAGTTTACATGTATTTTAGAGGAAGCGGGAAAGCCGCAAAATTGAAAAAAGAGGCTAAATCAACGATGATGTCGGCACTTTGAGATTGTCCGGGAAAAAATTGTTAGTTTCTTGAATTCTTAGGTCGGATTATTTTGATATATGTTGTTACTTACACACATTCGAAACGATGTGCTTTTTGTTTACATGTTTGTTAAAAATTGCAATTACGGTATATATGCTTTAAACCAAATGCATGAAATACTCTGTATAAATATTAGGTAAAATTTTTAAAAATTATAATATGTGGTTTGAAAAATTATATCATAAAATTGTATAGTTTTTCATTGTTTTTTAAAAAAATATTGTACAAAATCTTTTAAAAATTATGTGAAACTCCCTTATCGGACAAAAGAATAATACTCCACCCATCTAGCTAGAAAGTATATATATTTCTATTTTGGGATGTCCAATTACAAAGTAATCATTTCATTAAATATATATTTTTTTTACACAAATATCTCTACTTTACATCACATCATTACTTTTATATCAAAAAAATAAATGCAAAAATGCCATTATACTACTTTTACCTACCCACTATAATTAAACTACTATTATTTTTTAAACTCTGTGTCCAAAATAAATGTATACTTTTTGCTTGGACGAACAGAGTATGAACCGATCGAATTTTACAAATAATCTTGCCTAAATTTTAAGAAACCATATTAGCATTAAGTGTTGCATGACGTCAACCAACATGATATTGACCTTTTTCTTCTTTTTTTTTTTTTTTTTTTTCTAAGTCTCACCTCCACTCATTCGTCATCGTCTATATACAAAATTTGTAAAGATTGTATATCGACGAGAAAAACAATAATTATTTTTTGGATATGTGAAGACTACATAATAAAAAATTGAATCCAAACCATAAACTTACCATAAAAACATATTAATTTCTTTTACAAAATATTGTACTCCCTCCGTCATGACATAAAATATATATTTATTTTTTTTTTAAAAAAATAGATTAAAAGATAATAATATTTTGTTAGTTAGTATAAATGTATAAAATAATATTGATATTTTTCTCTTTACAAGTATAAAGAAATAAATATTTTTTGTAATAATTAAGAATATTTATATATACATATATATATATATTACTCTACTATAATAAAAAATAAATAATTTTTAGGGGACATACGAAAATTAAAATAAATACATTTAGTTTGAACGAGAGAATAATTAAATTAAAATTGAAATAAAATTTTTAAATCAAAATAAAAACCAAAATAAATCCTTAAAAGCAATGAAAATTTGATTATTTAATGTAATTGTTGAATCCAAATCCAAAAAAACCAGATAAAACAGAGCATGGGTACCTTAGTCCCCGTGACAAATCAGCCCTCAAACACTCAAGTCCTCATGCATGTGCAAAAGGGGCCCAAAGGACGAGGACTAGGATTCGCCATGGCCAGGGACCCACATGTAAGAATACACCCTTAGGGTGTGTTCGGTTGTGGGATTCTATCTCAAAATTACTATTTATTTTTTTTTAAAAAAAATATCAAATCAAACACTTATTTTTTATTTTTATATTATATTAAAAATCAATTTTATATTCAAAACATCAAATCAACGTCTACGTCATATCACTATTTTAATTCAAAATTTTTACTATTCAAATATTAACTCAAAATTCAAATCCTCAAACAAACACACTCTCCACTGTGGGCATCTCAAAAAAAAATGTACCCCTAAATATATATAAATAAAATTTTTTATTTATAATAAAATATAAATAATTAAATAAAATAATTTTCTAATATTTTTAGATAAAAAATAATATAAAAATATATTTCTAAATTTTTTAGACATATAAGATTTGAACTCAAGATTTCAATATTAAAAATTTGTGAGTGCACTATCAAACTACTATCCTTTATAATTACATATATCAAATATATTTTACATATAAATGTTATAAATGTATAATATAAATATATATCAGGTCCCTTATTTACCGTGGGCCCTGGGTGGGCGCCCCTTCCGTCTGGGTCCAAGGCTAGTCCTTACTCGGAGAAGATAAAAACTCTTTCTTCTCGTTTTTCAAAAATTTTGGTAAACAGATTTACAAAGATGCAGAGTCTCGAAAAATCATAAGTCCTTAGGATAATTCGACCTTAAAGACTGCCTAGCCCTCGCGACGGTCTGGCCCCTAATGGCAATTCGGCCTCCAAAGAACTCCCGTTCTCAAGGCCGCTTAGCCCTTGGCCCTCAAGTCGGCATTAGTTCTCAAGGCCACCAGCTTCCAGCTCTCGTAACGGTCTAATCCCCGGGATTTCTCTAAACCCCAAGATCTCCTCGGGAGGACTATCTCTCAATGTGTTCGGGTCTTTATGATTATTCGGTCCTCTTGGTGGTTCAGTCTCTACACCACTAAAAAAATCCACGTTTAGAAGAGATCAATGACAATTAATGGACATAGGATTAAACATAAGATATGACTGAGAACAGACTTGACCAACGAGGACATAATAGAGAAGTTGAAAGAACCAATCCCTACAAACTAAGAAGCGGAAGAGAGAGAGGTTGTTCATAGTTTCAGGGGCTATAAACAAACATTAGGATACACATTTGCACACTAGATTCACTACGCAAAATATTTTATCATTTTTAAAATTAATTTTTTAGTTTCACAACTAGACTTCTTTTATCATTTTAGTTTCATAGTTGGAGTTTGTCGCAAACTAGTACTGTAAGTGAATTTTTATTTTTATTTTTATTTTTATTTATTTTTTTATAATTTTAGTCTTCCAGCGCCGAAGATGCCATGTGGCTCGTTGAAGGACACGTGTCCGCCAAGTCAGCGACATCTGACGGATATATAAATTTTTATTTTTACTTTATTTTTAATTTTCAAAATATTTCTTGAAAATTTTTAATTTTTACAAAAAAGACAAAATAAATAAATATTTTTTTAAAAAAAAATCTACGTATCCGCCCATGTGTCGTTGATTTGACGGACACATGTCCTCCCCGAGCTATACGGGTGCCACGTAGGCATCTCTGGCGCCGGATGAATAAAAGTGTGAAAATTTTTCAATTAGGAGAGTAGTTTGCGACATGCTCCAATTACGAGACTAATATGATAAAAAAATTTAGATTCGAAAAAAAAAAATCAATTTACCCTGCATATATATTTATCTAGTTAATGTTAGGTCTTTAGCTTTACTTTTGTTGCACTTTATTTTTTCAGTTCTTTATATTAATTTTAATTCTTTAGAGTTTGGCTAGGTCTTGAATTCGAGCGTCGCCATATGCATATGCAAATTTTGGGAGATTGTTTATATATTGTCCCCAAAATTGGATCTCTTTCTCAACACTTTCCATAAGAAATTTTTTGGAGTACTTTCGGTTTTTTTTTTTTTTTTATTATTTTTTATTTTGTATATACACTCAAATATCGAGAATTTTCTCCAAATATAATTCAGTTGATTTTTGAACACATGTGTATATAATCAGGATAATTTCAGTCTGAACAGAGGCTATTATTGAATTCTATGTTTGAAAGTTCCAATTGGTTTTGTCTGGGCTCACATCGATTCCATGGCAGCAGCCATTGTTGAAGGCCTTTTGTCGAATCAAATGGCGGTCCAGTAGTTGGGCTTTAAACGCCCAAATCTTGTTTCCAATTCCTCATCCTTTGCATATTCTTCGAATTAATCGCTGTGGCCACCTAATTCCTTCTCAGAATTCCCCGGATTCAACAAATAGAATTGTACATTTTTACAGTTATGGAAATTCTGAGAGCTGTTAAAGCCCCAAAATCAGGAGTCCCGTTGACGGATAATCGATACAGTTATATTGATCGAACGAGAAAACCCCCCAGTTTTCGTTGTCAATTGAATTTCAGTTCCCGACGTAGTTTCCATCGCATTGAAACTCGGATATTAGTATTGCGCAGTAGCAGTTACGATGAAGTCGGCCCGATTGCCCAGCAGACTTCCGAGGATAATCCGATTTCTGTGGACTTGGAGCCGATTTCCAGTGAATCTCAGTTCGATCGAGTCGTAGCTGAGGCGCAACAGCTCGAAGAATCAGTAATCATTTTGTGGCAAGTCCTTTGTATATAAATACATATATATATATATATATATTCCTTTACATTGCACGGCTAGGTTTGTTTCATTTGTTGCTTTCGCCTGAGTTCTTGTTAGGTTTTGCCTAGGGTTAGTTGCTTTGCTTGGCATAATCTAATAATGGTGGATTTCCGTACAATTGTGTGTTTGTTATTTGAGTTTTAGCTGATTTGTGTGTATCTTGTGAATTCTGTTGCCTTTTAATTCCAAATATGTGTTTACTCTTATTCTTTCGGATTGTATGTTCTCAAAAAGGAATAATTGTAGGGAGGAGATCATGAAGATAATAAGTGTTCTTATGAAAATTTCAGATACATAGGGTGTTTGTTTGTTTTGGTGTGTCTTTGATTTTTCCGATGTTTTCGATTTGAATTTTTTTAAACCATCTGAATCTTGTGCTCAATTGTGATTATCTATCTCAATTTGTGCCCATCATCTTGCTTTTTCTGAAACTGGTCACTAGAACTCTCAAGCATTGTAGCTCCATCGCTTACAAAACTAATGCTGATCAGCAGAATTGATCTTCAGATTTCTTATATAGTTCAAAAAATTTGTTATAACATATAAGCGTCCAATATATTTACACTGTAGTTCAATAGTTTTATTGTATAGTTCGACAGTTTTTACTTTTGTGTCATTTCATATAGCTTAATAATTTATAACTTAACACGGTGCTAATTCTTTTATATGGTTTTAAATATCTTGTATATAGTTCAATAGATTTCTTTTATATCACTCAATAGTACACTTCTGAAATAAATGCAGTACATGATCCAATCCCTTTTTCAGATTTAAGATAAGTTTTTAGATATTGTTCTGTTTCTTCGAAGGAAACACTATCTTACATTAGATTACATTGTGCAAAAGCATGATTTACAATTTGTGCATTTAATATTAGTACTGGTTTAGGGTTAACAAACATATTTGGGTACTTTGTTCATGAACAACCGAAACACAAACACCAAAAAAATGTAGAATGTTATTTCCGGACATAAACAAACATTTTGTTATCGGGTCACTTTTATTATTTGAAGACCATAGGCCTTTTCTTGATCACAGAATTGATGCTGGAGGAACTATACCCGTGTGAACTTCGCCCCCAACTGAAGGTGTTAATGGCAACAATAATCAGAAAGATATTAAACTCTTAGATCGTAGTGACTGTTAACTTGACTCAATAGAAAGTGAACGATTTAGTTAATTGAGTTCACAATAATTCTCTGCTTGTTTTGAAAATGAAGGTGTATTGAGGCAGTAAAGATTGTTTGAATTTTTTCTTGGAAAAATGCTCGAATAGTCAGGCAATCAATCTTAAGTTAAGTTCCAGTTTAAGCACTTTGCTCCTGAAAAAAAAAAAAAAAACAATTCCTTTGGAATTTTGAAACAGGGAAGTATTTGGAACACGATATGAATGATCGACTTTATTTTTTACCTGGCAACTTCAGATGCTGAGTGTAGTTTCTGTATTTTTATTTCTATTTGTGTGGTTTGGCCGAGCTTGATAAGCATTTGAATTTGTAGGATGGCAAGCTGGTGCCGTAAGTGTATATATTTGAAGCCGAAGCTGGAAAAATTAGCTGCAGATTACTATCCCAGGTCAGCCATAGAAATGAAATTTTTCTTTCTTCCATTGCTCAACAATCTAATCTACAAAGGGTATCATATTTTGGCCCTTTTCTTGTTGAGCTTCACTTTTACTTGTGATCGAAGATCTTATCTTTGGTTCAGCAATTTATTTTCTCCTACATTTCTACCGGTGCATTTCAGAGGTATCGTGTTGATTAAACCTTTGAATTTTACAGAAGCTGGTGTCCAAAAACGATTTTTACTTGGGATCACCATTCTTTTTTCTTTTTTTTTTGGGTAATTATGAAACATCAATTGAAGAACTCTATTCAAACATAGTTCATGTTTTATCGAATTTACACATTGTGTCGAGGGTGATATTTTCTGTGTAGTGAGTATGTATCTCAGCAGGTATTTACTTCTTGTTTAGAAAGTGAAATGTTGTACTCCCCGACTAGATAGAATGATGTTCTGAATTTCATTCATATATATATATATATATATACTGATGCTAATTAGATATGTCATCCTTTCAAATAAAGGTTCAAGCTAATATTGAAATTTGTTAATTCTGATGCTGTTTTTGCAGTGTAAGGTTTTTCTCCGTTGATGTCAATAATGTTCCCCATAAACTTGTTGTTCGTGCTGGGGTCACTGTGAGTAGCTAATCCTTCTCCACAATTAAAATGTCTCTTTATTTTTAATAGTAAAAGTTTGAATCGAAAATACATTTTGGATGCTATTTTTATATTTAAAATAGGTATTGAATGTGATGTATTGAATGAAAAATAAGATTTGAGTATGATATTTTAAATGAAAAATAAGTATATGATTTGAAGGTTTTTAAAAGAACGAATTTATGTTATTGTCGAAAGAAATAAATTTGAAAACACAAAACACACTTTCTTTGGATTCCTCTTTTTCGTCACTATGGGGGAATGTTTTCTTGTGTTTTAAGATGTTTTTGGCCGTTTTCGATTCAAATTTTTTTTTTTCGTAGAAAATAGTCGCTGGACTTCATGTTCTATACGGAGTTTATGTATAGAAAATGACTTTTTGGGTTTATTTTTCTCGGCTTTGTTCTTTCAAATTTTTTCCCACACGTTTTTTTGAAAAAACTTAATACACTACATACATTCGTTATTTTATATTTCCTACATAATTCTTTATACCTCTGATAAAAATTTTATTTTCCGAGAATCTCACAAAACAAACATCCCTTCGTTTCTTTTTTTTTAATCTTGTGTAATAAAAGTAACAATAAGCAACACTTCGCTTCATTCGCTACAAGAATTTCCTTTACCTTTCAGTTTGCACCTGTAACTTATTTTCATCTTTCAATTTTTTCTGCACATATATATATATATAAATTGGACACAAATGCGAGCAGAAGATGCCGACAATACAGGTAAACCTACTTCAATAGCCTGTTTTTTCAAGTTTATAAATCTTCAAATTATACAGCTACATATTTTTTTCGACAGCTTTGGAAGGATGGTAAGAAACAGGCAGAGGTGATCGGAGGCCACAAAGCACATTTCGTGGTGAATGAAGTTCGAGAAATGATCGATAATGAAGATGGCATGTAATTACCATTTCTGTTTCCCCAACAATACTCAGAAAAGTCGATGACCGCAGAGCCGTGGACATTCTACGCTCGAACAAAACAACTTGTTGTGCCTCTCGTCGTTCTACAGCTACACAGCAGCCGATTTTCGGCGTCGTTGAGCTAAGGATTTTGGTAATTTTTATTTTTATTTTTGTTTTATTTTTGTTTTATTTTTACTGTAATTGTTACTAATTTTTACATGGAAAAAAGAGCAAGGGATTGTCAATAACAGGGGAGGAATAGATCTTGGTTAGTGAGTATTGTATGTTTAGACTTCAGGGAGATTCACAATTCTGTTAGGAAATTTTCAAAAAATGAATTATCAGTCTACATACTCATATCTATTTCTATTTTTTTTTTTTTATCTTGCTCAAATATATTTATATATTAAAATAACATAAAAAGTTATTTGCGATTTATGAAAATTGCATATGTTATTTTGCCTATATTTAATATATAAAATTTTTTATTTCTATAAATTAATCTATATTAATTATGCATATATATTATATTATGTAAAACTTTATTGTATAAAAAATAATAAATACTACTTCATCTACTTAATATCTTAATTTTCCAAAACTTTTTCACATTTTTAATAATTAATAAAAAAAAATACCACAAATTCTAAAAAAATGTATTTATTTAGTATTTATAGTTATAGATATTTCTTTTTATAAGATATATAAAAATTATAAAAATATTTAAAGAAATAATGTTTTGTTTATTTTTATTGACTTTTAGTTTATAAATTTATTCTGTCCCAATTATTTTTTATTACTATTTTAAACAATACTTTCGTATTATAATAAAAATAATTATACATTAATATTAAAATATTTTTAATTTTTATATAAATTACTTACATACTGTTACTTTAAAAATCAAAAAGTATATTTATAGGAATGAGTTCAATTACAAATTAGTAGTATTATTTTTATTTTTTTTAGTAATTATATATTCCATTTTTTCTACTGAGGATCTTTATTTTATCATCAATTTATTATTTTACACCAAAAAATAAAATAAAATTATTTTTACACTATTTTTAACTATTAATTATAATGAAAATATTATTATTTTTTAAAATCGCGTCTAAAGTAAATGTAACTTTTATAATAAAAGAATGATGTATATTCTAAAAATTTAAGTTTTGAATATGTTCTGAAATTAAAAAATATAAATATAAATATAAATATTTATATAAATAAGTATTTATTTGATGCAATATAAATATAAATATAAATAAGTATTATAATATTTAACAAAAAATAATTTTTATGTGTTTAATATAAAAAAAATTATTTTATTTTATATTATTTTATTAACTTTCATGAATGTTTGTCAAATTGGGCTTGGGCCCATTCTACGGCCTCAGCCCATCACATCGGCTCCGTGTTCCCCGTTCATCACTGCTATCCGTAGTTCAATTCACTACTGAAGTCTCCGCTCCTTCCTTCCTGCCTCGCGACCATGGCAGCTCGCGCGCTCTCCGCAACTTCCGTAATTACACTCAAACACAACCAATTAGACTCCAGTAGATCCACAGGAAAGCCTTTGGCAGTACATGGAGGTCTAAGAAGCCAATGGCTGGGGTCTATTCCCACGGCCGTGTTGTCACTCCATTCTTCGAATCTTAGGAATTTCCACAAAGAGCGCCCTCGCGTTAATGCTACAATTTCGTTCAGTCTTCCCGCAGCGTAAATTTCTGATAACCTAATCATTTTTCGTTATCTAATTGCTGTTAATTTTAGCATTGATGCTTGATTGTTTGAGAAGTTGTTTAGCCGTAAGGGTGTTACCCATGGGTAAACTCTATTCTTGGATTTTTCTTCGTAAATTTCTGATAACCTAACCATTTATGCCTGCTGAGAAGATCTCAGATGTTAGTGTAATGTGAAATGTGATTGTAAGTGATTTTTATGTTAACCTCAGAGCGAAATTTGTTTAGGTAATAAGATGAATAAATCACATCTGCATAGAAATAGTGATCTGGTTTATATGTTTGGTATTAATTTGAAACTTTGACACAATTATTTTTTTGATTTGGAGAATCTCGATAGATAGAAGGTTTGGAGCTTTAGAACTATTTGGAAATATAAAAATGTCATATTATTTGATGTGATGCTTTTTTAAAAATATACTAATAATAGTGTCAAAAGTTTTGAAGTGTCTAAATCTTTGTATTGAAATAGTATTTGATATGACATAAATAGATGTTCGATGTAATGTTTTCAACGAAAATTTGGGGATATTCTTTTGATCTTTACTTAGATTGAAGGTTTGGAGTTTTTAAAATATTTGAAATTGATTTGAAATGGGGTTTTGATTTGAGTTTTTGTTTAAATAGTATTTTGATGTGATATTTTGAAATGGGATTTTAATAATAGTACCAAAAGTTTCTAAAGTGTCTAACTATTTGAATTGAACAATTCATAGCTAATGCTGTATGATGTGATTTTTTATTTATTTTTGTTTCATTGTTTGTGTTTTGATCTCATTTTGGCACTATTTAATCTGCAAAATATATATTCCGGTCAAACAATTCATATCTAATATACTATTTTACCCAAAAAAATTTAAATGCAAACCTACCCAAAATGCGTCCAAACACCCTTAGCTACAGAAGTTTTGGCAATTGAAGATGTGAATTAGCTGGAATGAGTGAAAAATAAGATATATGGCACATCATTTTTACCCTCAACAATAAAGAAAGCTCGCCCTCGAGCCCTGGGCCGGCCATTGCTACTCGTTGAGTCGGGGAGGATTAGATCTCATGAAAGATCCGCTTGTTATCACGAGCTGACGACAGCCATGCAACACCTGTATTCGGAGAATGCGTAAGGGCTGATACAACAAAGTATTCAGTCTATGTTTATTCTTCTACCTTTGACTTCTTTTGATGCTTCATATTAAATCCATATATGCATAAACATACATCTATCCCTCAAAGACAAATTAATACAACATTTTGTTTAAATGGAGTTTAAATTCTGCGTATATGAATGAAGAAAGTGGTATTATGTGCTAAGTCATTGATTTTATAGATGAAAACTTGCAGAAATCCCGACAAAGTTGGTGGCACTGACAAGATTCCCAAGTGAGTTCCAATTTTATATCTATAAAATGTCTATTCCTCTCCAATTCGGGAACTTTGGAATTTGATTCAACAATTGTTAGTTGTTCACGGCATATGTATTTCTTGGTGCCTTGTGCACGGGGTTGTGGTGTTCGATTCGGTTGAGTGAAATTTAGATGGTCATCAAAGGCAATTAAGTCTTTTGCAATGGCGGAATTGGAAGCAAGGAAGCTCAAATCTCCGACAACAGGCACAGAAGCTTTACTAATGGGGATTTTGATCGAGGGTAAAAAAAAGTTTCTCTTACTGGAGTATTGTTTAATTGGTTGCACTTTGTTAGCTGATACAATTTCATATCTTTCATGGAAATTTGCAGTTGTTTTTATTAATTAATTGATTGATTGATCAAAGCCATCAATGTAAATGCATACTTGTTTGAGAGAATTAAGATTTATATCTTGTGATTTTTATTGCCAGGAACCAGTTTTGCTTCGAAATTATTGCGAGCAAGTGGAATTACTCTTCTCAAAGTGCGCGATGAAATTTCAAAGCTGCGGGGAAAGCCTGATATGTACTACTTCAGTCCTGAGCATCCTCCACTGACTGAAGAAGTTCAAAAGGCCATTGATTGGGCTATTGATGAAAAGATCAAATCTGGTGAGATATTACTTTATGGCCGGTCAATATCATGCATAACTTCTTGGCTATAGATCTCCTAAATTTGAACAATTTCTGTTTAAAAATAGTATTCTTAGGCCCTATTTGGTTGGAGCAATTTGGATTGAAAGTACTCCCTCTGTTCGGTAAAATTAGAGCATTTGTCCGACACGGAGATTAAAAAAAAATGAATATTTAATTGAAAAAGTGATAAAAGTAAAAGGGTAGTCGGGGGTATTTTGAAATTTTAGAAAGAATTAAAGAAAATGAGGAGAGAGAACGTAACTCAGGCAGTAACATTTATTTACAATAAATGTCAATGGAAGATAATAGTTATATATTGATTTGTTAATTTTGCCAAAATTACTAAGTAGCTAAATTTAGCGGACAAACTAAAAAGAAAAGTGAGAGTAAATTTGGCGGACGGAAAGAGTATTTCAAATGATTCAATCAAATTCCTTAGTTTTGTTTGGCAATTCCATGGATTTCAAATCTTCAAAATTGGATGTGGATTACAAATCCACCCCTCTTAAAGGTTTCAAATACTTTTTATATTGTGTCATCTTATGTTATGGAGTTGGGTAAAGTGAAAGTCTATATTTAAAAGGGGGAGAAGCACCATACTCACTTACGATAATTATTATTTTATTCCTTATTATTTCTCTTATTATTTTATTTATTGTTTAATTGTTGATTATGAGTTGGGCTTGACCAGTAAGTCCGCCTATATATAGGGAGCATCTATAGGTCATGTTAGGTTAGACGGTCATTATTTAAGTTTTGATTACAGAGCAAATTGGTTTTCATCTGTGGTACTCTATTTCTTTTGATTCGAATAAATTCTTTTTGATAACGCTAAGTCATAACATCTTAAATACTTTATGCAATCAAATGATTGGTTTCAATTACGAAGTATTTCAAATCCATTTATTTAAAATTCATTTTCAATTCCAAATCAATCCTACGATTAATTGGAACAAGCTAGCGAAGCATTTTACTCTCATACACATGGTTGATTCATGGCCATCTGTTACGATTTTTCCTAGTGAGATTTGTGTCTTGAGACCTACCTTTTGGTCTGTTGGTGTAATGTGCCATTGACAGCGTATTATGAAGATTCTTGGGCTTTGTTCTTTTAACAAAAATTTTCAACACATTTCCCCCAGAAAATTAATATATTACACACTCTCTTCATTTTTATATTATCTAAAAAATTCTCCATACTTCACATAGAAAATATCAAAACACAAAAACACACTATTGGTTTGTTTGTTTTGTATTTTGGTTTGAATTAAATTTTCTTTATGTGAGCTATAAAAAATTGCACAGATAATATGAAAAAATGAATGTCAATAATATATTAATTTTTTGGGGAAATGTATCGGAAAATTTTCACAAAGCAAACAAACCTTAAGCTTCTCAGTTGATGTTAATTGCATATTCAAATATTGAATTTTCAGTTTAGGGGAATCAGATCTCCACTAAGTTGGAGGATCATGCTTGGCTCGATTCATATCGAGAATCTTAGATTGTCCTTTGTTTTTCTTCTATTTTCAGCTCTCTTGTTTGTTTTCATTTTCAGTTTCAATATGTTTAATTGAAATCATTCATAGTCATGTTTTTGCAATTCTCAGACTTCTGTCGATATCTTGCTGCTTAGATTTTGAACACTGTCGTATTTCTAATGTTTCGATGTTTCTTCTGTGAAACTCTTATGGTGATCATAGTTATTACTCTTCTCGAAACTGTGTGATTTTTTTTTTTTTTCGAGAATGTAGGCGATGGTGAAGAAATTACGACGACACATCTCCTCCTCGGATTGTGGCACCAAGAAGACTCGCCCGGCCATAAAATCTTAGCAGCTTTCGGATTCGACGAAGATCAAGCTAAAGTCCTGCATTCTTTGATATCTAAACCTGGATTTGTGGAGATATAAAAGTTTCTTTGCAGGTTGAAATTTAGCTATTGTTTGCGACGATATTCTCAAAATTTGAACATAATCTACAATGCAAATTTGCAGTAATGGTCATACACTGCTCTCTTTGCATTCGTCACAAGAGTTTTACACAATATATCTACTCCCTCTGTTCCACTACTCTCTTATAATACAAATATACAATAATATTTGTCGATTAATATTAACTACAATGATGCAAAAATCAAATGACAGACTTCTTGTGGGCCGGAGGGAGTTTATTTTTTTGATTTTATTATTATTATATTTTTAATAACTGTGGTTTCTGCAAATATTAATTAAAAGAAAAAAATTCTTACATTTTATCTAGAGTTGACGATGGTAGGTTTGAATTTTTTTTAATTAGTAAAATCATTCAATCTTAATCTGAATTGAAATTATTACCTCAAAATTTAATTATTGTGTCAAAATTTAATTATTGTGTCTTGTTAGTTTTGTCCATTACAGTGTATTGCATACAGTAAATTAAATTGGATTCAATCAAATTAATGTGTTTTTTTTTTTTTTTTTAATATTATTAGATTAAAATTATTTTAAAAATATAATAAATTACTTAATATTAATATTAATATTAATCCAGAATAGGATATGGTATTATGATATGTTTCTTTATTTCAAATTTATCTGTATTTTTAGTTTTTGACAATTTTTTATTAAAAAAAAAAATTGTGTGATATATTATTTTAATATCAAATTCAAATAAAAAATTTTCAAATTTAATCAAAGAACTCAAACTTTTGAGTTGGTTTTGGGCCTTAGTATGAGTCCATTAACTAAAACTGGGTATGAGACTAACAATTGAAATTAATTTGACCTATGTTTTATTTATTTTCTTTCATATATATATAATTATATAAATCAATTCAATCTTAGTATTATTTCGTTTTGGTTTAAAATTAATTTAAAATAAAATATTAATAGTTTATATTTTACTTTTTGCGTATTATTTTTTTAATATTAGTTGCTGTTTATGTACGCCTATAAATGTTATATTTATGTTTTATATTTTTGAAATTAATATTAAAAATATCCTGTATAACTTTTTGTAAAAATATTCTTCTATTAATATTATAATGCATTAATGAAAATATTTTTGCAAATTTTTTCTTAGTGTGTATTATGTTTGGATATCATAATTAATATTCAAATATCAAGATGCAAAAAGTAAACGAGACTCTTAGAGTACAGAGGTAGTATTATATAAAAATATGACAAATCAAAAGAAAAAATTTAATATACTGTTATTAGTATCTTATAATACAAATATAATGATACTTGTATAATAAATTATATAAATAGAAAAATATTTTTAATGCTAAGTACGAACGGAAAATATAAATATAAGCTTTAGAAGTAGACGAAAGAAATATTATTTTTTTATAAAATATAATATTATAGTAAAATACTATTTAACCACTCCTGTTTTTTGAATATTTTTGTTGTAAATTTTAAATTGAAAAATAACAATTGAATATAATAATTTGTATAAAGTTTATATATTAAATGATTTTTCAAGCTATGAAAAAATCTCATAGAAAAATATGGGAAAAAGTATTTGAAATTTTGGACAACAAAAAGTTATGTTTATTTATGTTTCCAATTAAACATAAATAATTTTAGTATCATATATTTATACTAAGGAATGTTTGGAAACTATCCCCACTTGTGATTTTCGTAATTTGTTGAAAATTTCTTTAATCCTAAAATTATATATAATATACTTGTGGTTTCCAAAATATTGCAAAAAAATCCTTTCTGTTAGTACTTAACAACAATGGTAACTCACGCACCTAAACTGCAATTTTTAATACAAAATATGATATAACACAATATAAATTTACAAAAATACCCTTCTGAATTTTATTAAATGTACCACCTTGTGTTTCTTTACCCTCTTTCTCTTTTTCTTCGTGGTTCACACTTAAATCAATCATTTAAAGAAAATTTTTGCAAATTTTTAAGAAATTAATATCTCAGAACATTCAGAATTTCATTATCCTTAATTTTAAGTTTGTTAAACATTCCATTAGAAAATTGTGCTCTTTGAGCTACCAAATATTGGGGAAAAATCAAGTTTAAAATCGATCCTTAAATTTAGAACACAATTAATCGAATAGAGATGAGAATGTCGTAAGTAATTGCTCACTGTCGATTTTAGGGAAGCCGAAATAATACGTGGTTTCGAATATTTTTGGATCGATGTAGTAGATGGGAAGGACATAATCATTGACGTGTTTTTGTATTACAATAATGAAGAAAAAGAAGAAAAAATGAAGAAGAAGACGACGATGACAATGACAACGACGATGATGAACTCGTTCCTATTATTTCTCTTTCCAATTCCAATTTCAAATCCAAATCCAAATTTTCAATTTTAATTAGATAGATCATATGGTGATTCTAACTCATGTTTTCTCACCATCCGTTTCTCACTTCACTACACAATCTTTTCCCCTTTGCAACTGTTTTCCTCCAACATTTGCCAACACAATCTTGCGTATCTAACCTCGAAATCAATATTTTAAAATCACAAAAGACGCCATTACAACAATCCTACAAAGTGACAGTGGCAACGACACAGAAGTAGCAAAACACCATTAAAATGAGGGAGCGAAGAATAGTGTAGGAAAATGTGTGCCACCGAAAAGATGGTCTTTTCTCTTAATTTATTATATATGTGTGATTGAAGTTAGGAAGTCAGTAGAATTAAAGATTTTAGATAATTCTAATTATTCATTTCTTGTAGCACTGCAATTAAATATTCTAGTAGGGGCAAAATTGTCCACATGCTAAAATTTATCAACGTTAATGAGATTTAAAAGTAAGGGATGTGTGTGCAGTATTTTGAAAATCACGAGTAAATTATATAAAATTTCATAATCAGAAAGAATTTTCAACAGATTATGTAAACCCGGGGAGATTTATGCTATTTTTTCTTTTGTTTTTGTTTTTTTAAAATAAAAAACATTTTTAATACGGTATATATTATTGATGCACAATATCAAAACCTCTAAATATATACATGTAAACACAGCGAAGTTATTCACTCAATACTCATACATCAATTCTTTAGTTAAGAATTTGTACATTGCTCAAACATTTATAGTTTTGCTTTTGATGAAATCTACTCTAATAAACTACTCCATCCCGTCCCAATATATATATATATATGTTAATTGGTGATATTTAATTTTTTTTTAGTTTTAATTTTGGTTTGAATATTAATTTAAATTTGATATTTTACGAAATAAAATAACTTTTTGTAATAGAAAATCGCGAATGTTGAATAGTAGAAAAATAAGGAAAAATTTAAAGTGAATATAACGGTAAATATTTGAATTTAACTAGAATTTTGATATAATATGTTAGATACAATAGTTTTAATTATAAAAAAAATAAAAAAATGATTTGATTGTTTTGTAGAAAATGAATAAAACGAACTGAAGTCCGATTTCAAGATTGAATCCAAATTATTTTATTCCTACTTCTACTTTTGACTAATATATATATATATACATACATCTTTCAAAAACAATCCAAACATGCCCTAATCAAATTTTAAAACTTTATGAATATGAAAATTAACTTTTTTAAAATATTAAAACAAAAAAAAAAAAAAAAAAAAATTGAACTCAAAAGAGAGAATGATGAAGAACAATGAAAATACTAAAAGATGACAACAAATAAAAAGTGATGATTGAAATTGGAAAAATGAAGACATAGATAATAGAACAAGAATATACACATAGATATATTATCTCCTTCTGGTTTTATCTAATGGTCACATTTACTTCATATATTAACAATACTTCATGTAATATTTAAACCACATTTTCAATATTTTTTAATTATTTTTGTTGTAATTTTAATTTTTTTTAAAATTGAAAATTACAATTGAACATAATATATTTTATGAAATTTATATATTGGATGGTTTTTTCATGATATAAAATCTCATAGAAAAATGTGGTAAAAAAAAAATATTGAAATTATGAGCAAAAAAGAGATTATGTTTATTTATGTTTCCAATTAAACATAAATCATTTTACATGGAATGTATCATATATTTATAATAGTAATATCTTGAAATTTTCCCATTTTTTCCATTTGTTTTTAAATTCATGATATTTTATTAAGGAATATTTTTATGATATTTAATATACATATATTACCGATGATGAACAATATCAAAACTTCTAAATGTTACATGTAAACATAGCTAAGTTATTCATTCAATAATTGCATATCAACTAGTTAGTTAAGGATTTGTACATTGCTTAAACATTTATAACTTTGCTTTTGATGAAAACTACTTCAATAAACTACTGCTCCCTCCGTCCCATAAATATAGTCTTAATTGGATTGGGCACGAGATTTAAAGAATATTGATATTATATCGGTAGTGGGTAAAAAGTATGGATAAAAGACTTTTTTGCCCTTGTGAGTGTATTAGTGTAAAAAGTAGTAGCAACTGTGTAATAAAAATGAAAAAGTAGAGGTACTTTTATGGTGACACGGTTATTTATGGAAATAAGACTATTGTTTTAGAACGGACAAAAATGATAAATATGACTATTGTATTGGAACGGAGAGAGTATTATTTATATGTTTAATTGTTGTTAAATCTTAAATATAACATATTTCAAACAATCCTCGACTCTAATTATATTTTACTTTACTCTTTTCTTTTATTTTTTGCAAAAATAGTAGTAAAATATTACTTAAATTACTAGCAAAGAGATTTCCAACTATTTATTTAGTTATGGTTTTGAAATTGATTTGAAATATAGTATTATTTTGAGTTTTTTTAAAATAATATTTTAATATAATATTTTGTGAGAAAAAATAATATATTTTTATTAAAAAACAATACAAAATAAAATATCAGACAAACTCATATTTTCCTTCAAATTATTATAATTATTATTTCTTCGTTTTTTTTTTTTATATATAAAATCAACATTAATCCTTGTTCGTTCCTCAAACTATTTCAATTCTGTTTTCATTGTTACATTTTTTTCTTGCCCAATTATTTATGTCATCATTTTCCACTTTCTATCGTCCTTTGTTATTTGTTGTCACTTTTTATTGTTCTTATCATCTTTTATCATTTTCTTTTCTGAGTTTAATCATTCAATTTTAATATTTTTAAAAATTGATTTTCATATTCACAGTGCAAAATAATTTTTTTTAATTTAATGGAGGACCTGTTTGGACGGGTTATATATATAAGTCAAAAATAAAAGTATGAACAAAGTAATTTGGATTCGATCTCAAACTCATCCTTCAATTCGTTGTATTCATTTTTCTCAAAACAATCATATCAATATTTTTTATTATTTAAAATATAATATCTAACATATTACATCGAAATTCCACTTTACTTCAAATTCTTACCGTTATGTATTCATTTTACATTTTTCCTATTATTTTAACCTTCAACATTCACAATTATCTATCACAAAAAGTTACTTATTTTAAAAAACAAAACTCCCTCCGTCCCATTGAAAGGTTGTCATTTTCCATTTTTGTCCGTCCCAAAACAAGATTACAATTTTCTAATTTAGTAATTGTATTACTTACCTAACATAATAAATATCATTCCAACTTGCAATGTATTACACAAATGTCTTTACTTTTATATTACACTATACTAATAGGGGTATTTTTGTCTTTTTTACTACAATCCAATATAATACTAATATTCAAAAATCTACGTGCAAAAAACAAACGCCACTATTTCACCAGGACGTAGGGAGTATATCAAATTTAAATTATTATTCAAACCAAAATTAAAATAAAAAAAATTAAAAATCACCAATTAACACACATATATAAGATCTTAACGAAAAAAAATGTCGAAATTCTTAATAGATATATTTATAGTAATGGCGGCGGTTTCAATGTTGATTTAGTCAAATGACAAGTCAACACAATAAGCAAGCGAGATAGTGCATATGTATATATAAAACAACATAATTATGTATTATAGAAGTATATGTTATGAAATTTACTTGTTGTGTTGTGTTGTGTATATACTTTTATTTTATTGAACTCAATAATATAGCATTACACAAAATTATATTATATAATATCAAAATATGTATTGTATCTTGTATTCTCATGTATTTAAAATATACTATAATGTTCGTTTTATTGATTTGTGTTGATTGAATTAAATTAGCATCACGTTGATTTAATCCAACGAAACCGAAGATATTACGGTAATATATATTGATTGCAGCACATTAGATAAATACATAAAAAATAGATATTAAAAAATATTTATGGTAATATATGATCGGAGGGCAAATCGGTCCATTTCAAATTTTGGATATGATGATGTCCAAGAAACCTTAACTAATGGCAAAACCTAATCCAACACTCACAAATATTCTCAAATATCAAAAAAATTAGACAGTGATGTTTTTAAATAAATTTAATTTTCTTGATTAGAAAATTTAATTAGATATTTAGAACTTGTGAAGAATTGTGATAGTAAGAAAAAACAAATTTATATATGGGTATGGTTATAGTGGTAATGATATAGTATGAATGTAATAAAAAAGTGTTGTATATTATTATTATTATTATTATTATTATTGTTGTTGTTGTTGTTATTATTATTATTATTATTTATGATATTATATATTGTACAATATTAGTTTAATATGTGATATTGTTCTAAGATCAATAGTGACACGTGTTGTATGAATTATATATTACAAGACATTGTTAGCATTTGTATTATATTAATACGTACGTAATAATAATCTGCATCAGTCAACATATATAAAATAAACGATCTCATCCTGATTCCGTCAAATCAATATCATACTGATTATATTGATTTAATTGTTCCAGTATATGCCATCAAAGTAAGCAACGTACATTTCTACATATTTCTACATAATAATCATATGTTGTTAGTATTATAAGATATCATATGTTGTGTTATAACATAATATACATTGTATTATATTTATAAATATATTGTCATATATGTAATACGTACTGTTTACATATATGATATATGAGTGATGTTGATTCGGATGTTGATTTGACCGAATCATCATTAAATTCGTTCTCTTAACATAACACATGTTATCGGTTCATATTTGTAGCATATGATAGATAAAAATATATTGTGTGAATATATTTTGTATTGAAATTCATGATAGTATATATTGTGTGGAATTATGTCATATTATCAATTTATATGCTGCGATTATATTATATTGACATAAATCATATATTGCATGTTATATTATGTGTTATCTGTAATTGTATGAAATATTGTCAGTATTATCCTTAATTATAAAATTTATCACAGTATCTACTATCATATTACAATACAATAGATCAAGTATAACATATTTTGTGTATATTCTCACTATATACTATCAGCACAATCTTAATTAAATCTAATCAATACAATAACCCCTTATATAGATAGATAAAGATCCCTAAAAATTAACCCACAAATCTAGGTGGCAAGAACTTACCTTTTCCAAATCTTCCTACAAAACTTGATGTAACAATATTATATATTTATATATATATATATATCTTCAAGTGAAGATTTTTCTACAAATCAAACCTCCACCGGTTACCTATATAATTTCCTCAACATAATAAGAACCCTAAACAAAAATCCCTCAACTAAATAAAGAAGAAGAAGAAAAGCCCTAACCAAAACCTTCAACAACAAAGAAGAAAGACACAACAAGGTACAAAACCCCCCAAAGTCCACTCTCCCTCTTCATCATATTTAATTTATTTTTATTCAATTTTTCCCTAGTTAATCAATCAATCCCTTTCAATTATTTATTCATCACCTGCTGCTGCTGCATCAGATTCAGCCCTTTTTATTTCAATCCAATTTCAAGAAAACAAAAAAAAAAAAAATTAATAATAATAATTTCAAGAAAATCCGCCATGGATGGACACTCCCTCCCTCCTCCTTTCCACACTCGAGACTTCAATCTCCACCACCAATTCCACCACCCCATCGACGACGCCGACGAGCACAGCGAAACCAGCGCCCTCAAGCGCCACCGTGACGTCGATGATATCGCCGCCGACGACTCCCACGGCGGCGGCGGCGGCGCCTCCGCCGAAGGAGAACTCTCCGCCAATCGCCGCCCCCGTGGCCGCCCCGCCGGATCGAAGAACAAACCAAAACCCCCGATTATCATCACCAGAGACAGCGCCAACACCCTCCGGACTCACGTTATGGAAATCTCCGACGGCTGCGACATCTTCGACAGCGTCTCCACCTTCGCCCGCCGCCGCCAGCGCGGCGTCTGCGTCATGAGCGGCACCGGCGCCGTCACCAACGTCACCCTAAAACAGCCGGCGACTCCCGGCGCCGTCATGACTCTTCACGGCAGGTTCGAGATCTTGTCCCTCTCCGGATCCTTCCTCCCGCCGCCGGCTCCACCGGCGGCCTCCGGCCTCACCGTCTACTTGTCCGGCGGCCAAGGTCAGATCCTCGGCGGCAGCGTCGCCGGCCAGCTCATCGCCTCCGGTCCAGTCCTGATAATGGCGGCTTCCTTCAGCAACGCCGCCTACGAACGGCTCCCCCTAGAAGACGACGAGAATCCAGTCCAAGGTCAGGGAAGCTCCCTCGGCTCGCCGCCGCCGCCGCCGCCGTCGCAGAATCAGCAGATTTTAGCCGATCCGAACTCTTTGTTTCAGGGAATTCCGCCGCCGAATCTGATGAACTCGATTCAGATGCCTAACGACGCTTTTTGGGCGACGGGACGACCGCCGTTCTAGATCGAAATCAAATCAGATCAAATCGAATCGAATCCATCCATCGATCGATCGAATGATTGATTGCAAAATCTTGGTAATTCTTCTGCTGCACTGATCAATCGATCGTCACTTTGGGGGGATTAATTCAAGGATGAAATTACAAAATTAGGGTTTTCAGATGCAATTTGGGGGTTATTTTTCATTAATGTTTTTCACCAATTTTAATCTTTTCTTTTTTTATTTTTCTTCAATCATATAAGTTGACCCAAAGTTTGTAGCTTTTATCAAAGTGCTTATTGCAGACTCTTTCTTCCCCAATGATCAAGTCCAACTTTTTTCACAATTTCTCACCAAAATTATAAAAAAAAAAAAAAAAAACCCTAATTTCTTTTAGGGTTTTAATTCATCATATACTATTTTAAACAACACTGCCGGCTTTAATTAATTAGGTCTATAACAAATCTGGGCAATAAATAAATTAATCAACACCCATATTATATAACTATATAATTGCAAGCTAGAAGAAGGTCTTCATTAAAGCCATGGCTGGCCAAAAACAATTTTCGAGATGCTAGCTAAGAGGTATGGGCTTCACACACACACACACACAGACATACATACACACATACATACACATACATATATATATACATATATATATATTCCCTGGAGCATATAAAAATGGAGAAGTAAGCATAAGTACACGTGAACAGTTGTGAGAAGGTGCTCCTTTTCGAGGAGATAGACTGTAAAGGGAACAGCAAACAGCACAGCAAAGCACAGCACATTACAAAGTGCCTATGAGCGGTTTTTGCGGGCTTCTTGGAATTGAGGTTTGTAGTGTTTTTGGCAATTAAATGTTAATTTTTTTTCTTGTAGTTTGTTGGATGTGTGTAATAAGAGAATTTCGAGGGTCAATGGGGCATTGGCAAGATCGATCAGATTCTTTGAACTGAATTAAGAAGAAGACATATACACGAGACTCGACTCGATCATCATGACTTCTTGCTTCCTCTTAGTGCTACACACCCATATGTCCCCCCCAACCTTGTTTTTCGAGCTTATCTGAATCTAATTTTGCAATAGGGTTTTGAAAGTTTTGGAAAGTTCTAGATTAAATAAAGAAAATTGAATAAAATATAAGTATTTGATGTGATTTTTCGATTGATAGTATCAAAATTTTCAAAAATATTTATAGAAAGAATGCGGGTCGTCAATGGATCGGCCATTGTAGTCATAATAATATGAGTCAAAAAAAAGAAGGGCACTCTTGAGAAATTATTGAGTTGAGTAGGTTCGATAGAGTTCAATATGATGACAAATTTATATATTTTTAATTGTACAATAGATAAAGTTTGAATTAAAAGATAGAAAAAAAATCTAACAAGTTGAGCTCGAATTAAGTTGAAGTCGATAAAGTTTGAATTGAGTTTTAAAATGAGGTGCTCAACTTGACTCGACTTAAATTACAACTTTAGACTTTAGTCCTCTCTTCGACCATTGTATGTTGAAAAATTCTCTAATATGAAATTAAGGCAAAGCAATGTAACACATTCAATTAGAAGGTTTAATTAATAAATGGATACAAAAATAAAAATCTAAGCGACGAATTACTAAAACATATGTGCACATAAAAATCAAGTTTCGAAGCTTTGAAAGAGATTATGTATCTACACTTGGACCCCCTCTCCAAACAAATAGCCCGTCGTGCTTTAATTAATAAACCGGGCTTTCTACATTGAAAAACAAGAAAAGTCGCTAATGAACAATAATATAACACTCCTTCAATCGCGAAGGTTTCAATGTGTTATACGATTGTGTATATATTGGTTATGAAAGTCAACACGAGTCCTTTAACGTGTTTTGTTCCCACTCAGTATTTATTTGGGGATTTGGATTTTGAGTTGGGGTTTGAATAGTAAAAATTTTGAATTTGAATAGTTGTATGATGTCATAAAAATAGGTGTTGATGTGATGTTTTTAATGTAAAATTGATTTTTAGTTTAATATAAAAAATAAAAAATATGTGTTTAATTTGATGTTTTCGGGGGAAAAAAATGGATGAATAGTAAATTTAAAATCCAATCCCCCGGACAAACACACATGGGAATTGCAGTTTTTAAAATTAATTTTAAAGTTGTTATTAATGTAAAATTAAAAAATATATATAAGTACATGGTGATTTTTTTGTGTCGTGAAATCCTCAACCTCCTACAACACTTATTCTTTATCGTAATATTTAGTTATATTCATCATCGTAAGTTTTTCTTTGATTTTTTTTTTTTTTATTTTTTTGGTTATGATCGCCTTTCTTCAACTTAAGAAGACATTTTCGATGCAATTTGATCTATCACTAGATCTAATATTTATTTTTTCTATTGGGCAATCAACTAGTTCAATTAAGTATATCTTGCAATCGGAGATTGGCTATGGTACCATCGATGTAATAACCTAGAAATCAATACGAGTTTTGAGAAAATCGATATAACTAACTATTAAGAAGGACACAGTGTTCCAGAGAAAACGGGCGGTGGTGATATTTAGATTTGACAAAGATATATACCGGAAAAATTGGGTGAGGCCGAGTTCGTTGAAGTTAATGAAAAAAAATTTGTTGCTCGCTAGTGAACTAATATCTAAAAGTGGATGCGAGGATGCTTCGATCAGCAATGGTAACTAACTCTTAAAGAATTTGGTCGTGAAATACCGGTAGCAAGTATTAGTTCGCACTTGTTATTTATTATTTCATCTGTCTCGGTCAGACGTATATATTTTATTATTTTTTATTTGTCTCACACCAATATATGTATTTCTTATAATAGTAATAATAATCATCACATTAATACTAAAATATGTTTTTAATTTTTATATATATATATATTACGAAGTTATTGTTATTTTATACTACCTTTGTCCCAGATCTATTCATCCCACAATAGATTATTCGTTTTTAATTTTTAGTAAAATTATAAATTAAATTTATAAAATCTTAGACATAGGACACACTCGAATTTCTTTATTTCTATTTCATCTCAATAAATAAAATTTTTTTATCTATATTTAAAACTTTTCATTTTCAATAAAATCGATTTAAGTTAATTATAAATAAATATATTTATTATTTATTTGTATTATATATATGTTTATTATCTACAAAATAATATTTATATAATATATATTTTATTGAGATGTAATGTTAAAAATATTTAAATACATATTCTAAATTTCTTTTAATCATATATATTAATTTCTATTTTAAAATACCAACAATACTACTAATATAAAAAATAATAAAATAAAATTATAATTTATTATTAATAATTTATTAATTTATAGTATTAGTTAAATAATTGTGTACAAGACAAACCTTCCCTTCCTTGTACAGTTTCTGAGCTTTCTATTTTTGGGTACAAAACTATATGAAAAGTTTTGGCCCCTCTTCAAATAAATAAATTAATAAATACAAATGTTACAAAAGTACTCCATATATGTATGAATTTTTGTGTTTAAAAATTTTTAATTTAAATTAAAAATTATTTCTTCAAAAAATATTTAAATAAAAATAAATACAGACTTTAAAAATTAGAAAATATACCCATATATGAGTGTGTATTGTTTTGTAATAATATATATATATAAAAGAATATTTTATTATGACAGTTAAATAAAATAAAATAATAAAAATAAAATAAAAAGTACATACATTTTGTGGTAATAAAAGAATGATTGTAAGCTTTCTATTTTTTTTGCATTTTGAAGATATTTTATGTTTGTATTTATTTTTTTTTAACTTACAAAACTTTGAATAGAAATTAAATTGTGTGTTATAAAAGTATGTGCATGTATGTACATATATACTTTTAAAAAAATATTATGTATTATTAAATATGTTTGAGATATATAATTCGCTCAAATCAGCATGGATCTGCGGCCATAAAAAAAAGTTTTTTTTTTTTAATGATATGGGAATCCGCAGCTTGGGAATTCGCAGCTGCTGCTCGAAAGTTCGCACTGTTTTAGTACATATCTTTTAGCCGTACATAAGTTAGTCCGGACCATGTCCGGCTTAACATTCTGGTATGAGTCGACCGGGATGTTAAATCGGGAGTCGTAAATATGACGGGAAATCGTAAATATGACGACTCCCATAAAACAAGCATCCAACCAAATAAACAAATCGAAGACACCGTGCAATCGCAATCGCAATCACAATCACACGTGAAAATCGGAGAAAGAACGGGATAACGTAATTACTTATAAATACAACCCGACTTCCTCAGCGTTGCGTTGGAAGCTTTACAACACTTCCGGTCGAAGATGAGCCTCGAGCAGCGGCACAACATATAGATCGCCACCGTTTCGAGCGTCAAGAGACTTTTAACAATGTATAAATATATAGATTTTTTTTTTTTTTTTCTTACATAGGTGCGCACCCGTTTTCCTCAAGTCGCGCCGTCGAGCAATAGCCCGTCTTCCATATGCAGTGTCCTTAGCCGTTTCTTCGCAAATAATGTCACAACAAATGTCGCCGCAGCCGTAAGGCAAAAGCCCGCAACTGTGCAGATAATCTGAGTCGCGGACAAAGGCTGCTCGGCGGATGCGTTGGCTAATGTCTGTATAAGGATTCCGCTGCATTGATAAGAATTCGATTGTAAGTAAACGCGAACAAAAATTACACAAAAAGAATCGGCACTTTGTTGATTCATGACGATTTGCCCCAGTCAGCGCATATAAAACACACATACATTATTACATGCTTTTATTTAACACAATATATATAAAACACACGTATTATTATATATGGTTGGTTGTAAGAAATATTTACCGTATTGAAATCAATTATAGCATGTACTATATGAGACAAATATCATATGGGCATCGATGCCATGATGATCCCATCAGATCAGCATGGTCTTAATTTGACCGGAAGCATAGGTTGCAGATCATGTATTCGGCCTAGTCAACATAGTATTAATTTGACCGGATCAGCATATATCATATGAATGATCAGCATATGTTTATACATATCTCAGCATATGATGTGTTATAAAATAGCATATGCTAAGTTATAATACTCTTTCCGTCCCGGCTATGGTATCTCATTTACTGTAGATACGGGAATCTATGAGATATATAATTAGTAAATAATTAAGAATGTATTAGTGAAAATAATTATCATATAATAAAAACAATTTTATATTAAGATTAAGATAAGTAATTAGTCTAATTAAAATTTAAAAAATTACAAATTAAAAAAAAAAGAAATGAAAATGAGGACGCCGTAAATGGCACAGAGGGAGTATAATATATAATTTATTATAAATATGATAAAATATATATAAATATATGTTAGTCACCCCTATAACATATGTTAATCCGGTCAAATCAGTATAATGCCGAATCAGCCGTTGTTCCATGCCCCGCATAGTACAACATACGTTATGTTATAACACAAATGATATCTCATAACACATACGTTGTACTACGTAAAAATATATGTTTGCCTTTATGAAATATGTTTTATCCGGTCAAATCAGCAATGCTGATTTGCATCGGATCCGCGCCCAAGTCATATATACAATTCATGTGTTATATATTTGTACGATATTGACATATATAGTTTGTTGTCAGCCCCGAATGTGCTAGCTTAGTAACAACAGCCATTACACAAGGGCGTCAAGCAATCTTAGATCGTAGCGAAAATGTTTGTTGTCTCGGAGAAACAAAGAGTACTTACGTGTAAAGCGTGAGAAATATTTCCGGGACGACTCCGACAAGAGTCCCGGCCAAATAAGGACCGTACTTCACATCCGTAGCGACCGCACAATAGTTATATATAATGTACGGAAATGGCGCGATCCTAATCAACATAACAGCTTGGGACTGATTGAGAAAGCCTCCCTCGCCCGCTAACCTTATTACTGAAGCGTTCTTGGGGTATCTATCCAACCAGGCCTGTAAGAAAAAAACATCTTTAGAAAACAAACAAAAACAAAGGCCGTCGAGAGACAAAGAAACGAGCACCGTACTTGAATTCTATGATAGAAAAGTGATCCTATAAGATATGGAACAGAGACGCCGATAGCTACCCCAGCTATGGTTAACAAGAATCCATATCCATATCCGAAAGTCATCCCGGCCACCCACATAGACGGCGACGAAGGTAAAAGGAGTGTCGGGAATATCGCCAACGAACCGAATATTAGAAACGCTAGCTTCGTTTTGCTGAACGTTTCTATCCACCTTATCGTCGGGATAATTTCCTGGAAAGAATATACCGACAAATTTCAATTCGAATAACATATAAGCAGTTCCAAACTATTTCTAGACATAATTATGCATAAATGCAAAGAAACTAAAATTTGACACAAAGCAACTATGATCAATTGATTGCAAATTTGACACAAGGCCATAAAACTTCCTGAAAACCATCTATTTTACATCACATTGTGGACAAATTGAAGTTCCTATTTGGTTGTTTAAGCTAATCGAAATACCATATTGTTCGGGATTGATCTTTTACCAAAAGGACAAGAAAAACGAAAGAATTGTTCACAAACAAATTTCGAGTTAACTCAACCAAAATCAACTCATAATCGACAATACACCATCAAAGGATTTCTCATATTCACGGGCTCTGTTTCTATCGATTTTATGTACAAAACATCACATCCAACGACTATTTCACCTAAGAAATAACACAAAACAATCTTCACCATCAACTAAAGTCACATTTATTTGTATCAATCTTCCATTCGAAGTCGAGAAATTCACAAATTGCAGCTTATACTATCTACATGAGAATCTGTTGCTTAAGTTTAACTTGAAGATTGCCTACAATTCTAGAACAACCACCAAGATCTTCCTTATTTTCGACGAAACCGATTCATTCCATTGGAAATGGTTCGAATTCAATCTGTTTAACAAAAATGATTTCCCAAACCCTTTCCAATCCATCTTCTCACATCAAAATTTACAACAACAAATTTAATCTCGCAATGCATCATCAATAAACTACAAATCCCCAAATTGATCAACAAAATCAATCACAAAAAAGTTCGAACAAAACCAATTTCATCAGCGCAAATTAAGAACACAAACCTTATTCATGATGAAAGGTCCAATCCATTCGAAGAAAACCACAACCATTACCGCGAAGAACAACGCCACCAGGACCAGCTTCACCACCGACCACCACCACAATCCTCCTCCTCCTCCGCCATCCCCGCCGCAAGAACACCGAGGCGTCTCCACCTCTGGAATCGCTTCACCACCACCGCCATCGCCGCCGCCATCCTCCAATTCCACGTAATCTCTATCCAGCCTAAGAATTTTGTCCCCAGCAATGTGAGTCATCACACACCGGAATCAAAAACCTAATCCACCCCCCTTTGTTAGCGTTCCTCGATCGATTAACAATCCAATTCAACTTCTCTTCGAGATTATGAACGACGACGATACAGAAATGACAAATTTGGGTGTCCCACCCGATTGAAGGGTGGCTTAATTCGGTTCGGGATTTCGGTGGAACACTCAAATATAGCCGTTTCTGCTTCTACCTGCAATTCCCCAATTTCCTTGTTTAGCTTATAAATTTCGTCGATTGAAGGATGAGATCGAAGAATTGTGGGGCTGTGAGGAGCGAGGTGCGAGGGAATAACGGAGATTGCACGTATACGGTACGGTCTTCACTCACCCCAACAATCTTGCTTTTGTTGCTACTTCCCAGACGAGGACCACGCGAGTCCTGGACTCGCTGAAGAACCCAGGCTCCCGCTTTATTCTTAATGCCTTTTTCTTTTATTTAGGAGTATCTACTCGTAACGGTGCGTTTATCCTAATTTCAAATAATATTTTATTGTTAGTAGGTGGTAGTTTACTTCGTATTTTTATATTGATAATAAAAATTAATATTTTATATTAAATTATTATTTTTAAATAAATAGAAATATAAACTTGTGTTCTATTCTGACACTTTGTTTTTTAAAATTTAATTTTTTAAATTTTAATTAAATTAATAAGTTATTTTAATTTTAATATAAAAATATTTTTATTATAAAATAATTATATATTCTTAATTATTTCTGTCTACAGTAAAATGAACATCACAGCGGAACGAAGTATTATATATTATGTTAATACTTGTATATTATATTTTTCTAATAATAATTAAATAAAAAAAATTAGTATTTAAAATTTTTATTAATATTAAAGTAAATAAAACTATAGCTGTGTTTATATAAAAGAGTGTTTTCATTATTTATTAGTAGTAGCTTTTCCCTGCGACGATCGCCAATTGCCGGTTTCTTCTCGAGCTGTGAGTCCGATTCGATTCGTAAGATTTTCGCCGAGTTTGTAAAGTTTCGACATGTTTTTGCAGGGATGTTTCTGGAAACTTCTTGGGCGGATCGATCCCCCGGAACCTCGACAACATGACGTACCTAATACGCCTCGACGTGCATCGCAACCATCTCAACGGAAGCATTCCGTCGACGGTAGGATCATTGTCGAACTTACATTTCCTCGACTTCTCGGAGAATTCTCTCGCCGGTTCGATTCCGTCGACGCTCGCGAATCTGAAAAAGCTATCGCATTTCAACGACTTCTCCGGGACCATACCGTCTATCCGAAGAATCGAGCTGCATTTCTCGACAATCCGCACTTGTGCGACCCTCCGTCAAAAAACTCCTGCTCGGGAACGGCAACGGTTCGCCTCCGTCGCTGCAGAACGAAATCTGAGCATCTCCGCAATCGTCGTGGCTGCTTCGATCGTAGCCGGCGTTTGTTTCATAACTCTCGTCAACATAAAGGCTCGTCGAGCGGACCGGAAACGTTGTTACAGCAGCGATCCCACCAACGTCGACCGACTCATCGAACGTCATCTTCGGAAAAAGCCTCCCGTCGAAGTACGACGATTGGGAAGCTGGAACGAAAGCCTTGCTCGACAAGGAACGCTTACTCGGCCGAAGCTCGATCGGGACGGTCTACAAAGCCACGTTCGATGGCGGGACGACGATTGCGGTGAAGAAAATCGACGCGCTCGGAAGGATCCGGAACGAAGAAGAATTCGAGCATGAAATCGGGTGTCTCGGGAATTTGCAGCACTTGAACCTCGTCGCAATCCAAGGCTACTATTGGTCGTCGACGATGCAGCTGATCTTGTCCGAATATCTCCGTCGAGTAGTCTATACGACAAATTACACAGGCTCGGGTCGGGAAACATCGATTTCGATTGGTCGAGAAGATTCTGTGTCGCAATCGGAGTCGCTCGAGCTGTCGCGTACCTCCATCATGATGCGAAGTCGCCGATAGTGGCTGAACTACATGGGGGCTAGGGGGTCAGACCCACCGACCCTCAAAATATATATATTTTTTGATGTAAAAAATAATAAAATAATGTATTTTATAGTAATTTGTTTCTCCTAATCTTTTTTATTTTGTAACGCAAAAAATCATAAAAATTTTATCAGTTTGTTGATTTATACTTTTTAGTCTTTAAATTTTATTTGTTTTAATAAAATAAATATTAAATTTTATGTGATTTTGTTGAAATTTTTTCTAAAATATATATATTTTTTTTGTCAGGATGTACTATGAATAAGAAAAAATCGATTTTGCCCCCTGGATTTTTACTATTGGTTCCGTCACTGGCCGGTGCTTCATCTCGACGTCAAATCAACGAACGTACTTCTCGACGAAAACTACGATCCGAAGCTGTCCGATTACGGATTGGCGAAACTTCTACCTCTACCGTTTACCGACGCCGACAAGTGTGACGTGTACGGTTTCAGTATGGTTCTTTTGGAATTGGTGACAGGGAGGAAGCCGGCGGACAGCGTCGACAGCGCGTACGAAGTGGTGATTATGTCTGAATACGTTAGGGGTGGTGCGATCGAGAGGAGTTCGGCTGCTGGAGAATGAAGTTATTCAGGTGATGAAGCTGGGGGTGATTTGCAACTTGCAGCTCCGACGCGGCGGCGCGGCGGCCGAGCATGGCGGAGGTTGTACAGATTCTGGAATCTGTAAGAAATGGCGCGGAATCGTAACGGCTAGTTTATGGAAGATTCTTTTGGATATTTTTTGTCATTTGTTTGTTGCTTGGAATAATGTCTTGTCTATTTTTGGTACATAATTTTGATGCAACTCTTTGGCATAAGAGAAGTGAGCGTTTTTGTGACTCATTTCTGTGTTCGAATAGGCATTTCTAGTGTCTGTTTGATTTGTAAAATAGTTTGAATGAATTTTTATTATTATTATTATTATTATTATATGTAAAGTATAAAAAATTGTGTAGGTAATATAAAAATAAATGAATACGTGTAATTAATTAAAAAAAAATTGTCTTTTATACTTAAAAAAAAATATTTTTAATTATAATAAAACTAATTACACAATAATATAAAAAATATTCTTAATTTTATACTCCCTCCATCCCATGTAATATGGGTGTATTACCGTAAACACGGGAATTTAGGTAAAGTATAATTAGTAAATAATTAAGAAGTAAAATAATTATTATTTAGTAAACATAATTACAGAATTAAGATTAAGATAAGTAAATAGTTTAATTAAAGTTAAGAAAATTATAAAATTTAAAATGTGATTAAAGTGCATAATTATATTTTCAAAAATAGAAAGGACAAATTATATGGGACGGACAAAAATAAAAAATAGAAACAAATTATGTGGGATGGAGGGAGTATAAATTATAAATATATGTTTACATGAGTATTAACAATTTAGATACTCCACTATAAAAATAACAAATTTATTTTATATTTTCATTAATCAATAAAATGTACGACAAAACCCAAAAGTTACATTCGGCTGAAAGGAAGCTACTATGTTCTATGAACAAATATGATTTGTATACTTCGGGCGTTGTTACAAAAATCCGTTACAATCGGATCAACCTCGTACAATGTCCGAAAACCCAAACAAATTCCGATCAGTTGAATTTAGCATCAAATAGAACTTACCTAGGAGATCTACCGGCATCCGAAACTGTTCGAATTCGTCGAAGAACGATGTCGATGTCCTCTTCGCGCAACGACGCGAAGCAAAACCCGAACCATCCAAGCTCGACGGAATGACAAGAACATCCCGGAACCGCATTAATCTTTGCCACGCTCAACAACCTATCGAACATTTCAATTTCTCCTTTCTCGCTATACGACCGAATCAACGGGCTCATATCCGCCCAGCAATACAATCCCCCGTCGCTCCCGACGCACTCGATTCCCGATTTCCGCAACCCGTGCGCCAATCCCGCGCGCATTCTCCTAATCCGTTCCCGGGTGACCTTAACGGCATTGCCGACGAATTTCGTATCCGAGAGCATCGATGTAAGCACTCGTTGGGTCGGAACGGAGACTGACGAGAATCGAGCGAGTTTTTTTACGGAGGCGAGAACGGTCTCGTTGCAAGTGTAGATGAATTCCGTCGCTAGCGACGGAACGGATAGATCGTTCGATAGCGCGTGGACGATGTGGACCCGGGTCTTGTCGACGTCTTCGGCGACTTCTGTCATGCTGACGAATTCTTCGCTCGCGAGAACAGATTCGATCGAGATTATGTGGATGTTTTTCTCTGTCGCGAAGTCGAGGAGGGTCTCGAGGACTTCGCGGCTGTGGAGAACGCCAGCTGGATTCGACGGGTTGGATATGATGATCCCACGGACTTTTTGTCGACGATTTTTGGCTTGGTTGAATGCGCGGTCGAGCGCATTAATGCTTATGGCGAAGGCGTCGGTTCTTCGACAAGGGACCGGTATGAACTCGACTCCCGTTCGCCATTTGACTTCGTCTAAACTACAAACAAAAATCAGAACGATGTTATTTGAAAAAATCGAAATGATATTTTCTTGTAACGGTAGAACTACTAATCAAAGATCACTTGATTTAACTTTGTTTACTTATTCAAAAAAATTTTACGTTCAATATCTAGTTTTCATTTAAAATGTTATATCAAAAACTTATTATATATCGAAAGACGACAGCTGCACTGCTGAATAACACACAATGTGCTAACAAACAACATGCGATATTATTATTGGCAGCACATCATTTATATTAATATTATACAAATACAACACATCATATAATCTCAGACAATACATGCAGTAATCATGAACAAACCGCGTATATCTTCATTACAAACAACACATATTATGTGTAATAAAAACATTTGCGACTGTTGATTTCCAATTAAGCACGGTAAGACCCTTCTTCGATTCAAAACATCACATTCAACACCAATTACTGTTTATGTCAGGTTAAACGTTCAAATTTTTACTATTATCATAATTCTCCAAAACTTCAAAACACTTTCAAAATATATCTAAACAAACCCTAAATAAATGAGGCTAAGTTCAATTTAACAAATACAACTACCAAATTTTCAATTCGAACGAAATACATCCAACCCAACATGTGCGAAATATGATTCGTTCTTACGCCAAATTTGGCATAGGAACCGTAAAATTACTCCTACGCAAGACACGATTACTTCAAACTACGATTCTTTGTAATGACCGTGCGAGTACGTTCTAAGCTCAAAGATGGTCACCTATAGTTAACAAGCAAACCTTTATCCAACTTTTGAATTGCTCGAATAAACTAACAACAACAACGACACTATGGAAGATATGTTGGATTAAAATTCCAACCGGGGATGATTAAGTATAACTATTTAGGTCGGCAATTAATAATAAGGTGTATATATGTTATGGTTGTAGTTCTATGTCTAAACGCAATGTACATTATTTTTGGTATCTTATCGTAAAAGTAACGACAAAAAATCTAGAATTTTCTCAAAAGTGGTTGTGTAATAGGTTTGAAGAACACAATACTCTCAATTAATTCGTAAATCTGAATTCAACTACACTAATAGAATCATGTCTAGATTTATTTATTTTATTTTTTATGTCAATTATTTCAACACGACACATCCTAAACTTAGAGTTTAATTCTTGATAAGTTCCAGCAAGATAAACAATGGATGTCCAAAAATGATAGTACCTTGTAAGAGACTTACTCGGGACAATATGGCGATGGCACAAGGAAGGCGTTCCCGGTATCAGCTAGAGAGAAAACGAGCATCTCGACTGCCGGGGCTGCACCACTTGTGAGAACAATGTTTTCCGGGTCGAAAAATCGACCCTTTCCAGTGTGCCAGGACATGAACCGAGACGTAGCCTACATCGATGGCAACCGTAGTTAAATTATATCGATCAAAGCGGATCTAGATTTTGTTAATTCGAAATTTTACTTCAAAATTTTTACTATATAATTTATGCGATTTCATATGAAAAATAGTTTATTTATCTAATAAAACATCAAATTTAAAGCCCTATTTCAAACCAAAATCTATAAAATCAAACTTCAAATAATTAGTGCCTTTAGTTACCAATTAGATTATTTAGTTGAAAGTTAAGTTGAAAGTAATTGAGTTAATTAATATGTTATTTATGATATAATATATGTAAGATTAAAAAATTTTAAATATATGTTTAATTATTTTAATAATAAATTTTTAATAAAATATATACCATATATATTTTGTTAAGAATAAAATATTATATAATACAAATAAATATTAAAAAATATAAATATTTATTTATGATTAACAGAAATTAATTTATAAATAAATAAAAAAATTGCATGTAAATAAAATATACTTCTCCGTCCATTTTATAAATATAAATTTATTTTTCGACGAATTTAAAAGAATAATAGCATTTTAATTGAAATAGTACTTAAAATTTATGTAATGATAATTTGACTTTACTTTTTAGTGTAAAAATAATAATGTGAAAATAAAGTTGAAATATTTATAGAAAAAAAAAATCAATTTAAATGCTATTTCAATTTAAAATTCAATTTCAATAAAATATTAAATTAAAATACTATTTAAATAATACAAAAAATTCAATTCATTAATTTATTTATATGGTAAAATACCAAATATTAATTAATTTGATAATTATATAATTTACTAATTCTAATAATAATATACCCACTCTGAGCATACACATAGATATGATCAGTAAATTGAGTAATATATTAGCATAGTAGTTTGAATATTTTTAAATTTAAGAATTAATTGCATATCACCATATATTATTAAATTGAATATTAAAGTAACAATGTAAACGAAAAACTCACCATCTTCAACTCCATCAAGCCATCGAACGGCTGATATGCAGCCACGTCACTCATGTTCAATTCCTGGCCAAACAACGATTCGGCACAGTGATCCGCCACCCATTCTCCCACCAAATCCGACACCAACTATCGACCAAATCGAATAAAATTAAATTAAAAAATAAAAATAAAATCAATTTATTCGTGCAAACCAAGAATTAATTAATTAATAATAATAATAATTCAAACGGAATCCCCACCGTGTTATGACTCAAGGCAAGGTGGATAACGCCGTCGGGGTTCGCCACGTCATCATACGGGTCGTCGTGGGCCCGCTCCAGACCCGCGTAGTACGGCCCGTTACAGTTCTGGGCAATCGCAGCAGCGCGTGACGACACGTGAGGAGGCGGCGCGTGGCCGCGAGAAAAAAGTAGAGTTCTCGAATGTACTCTCTGCAGCGCCGGAGAAGACTGCTCCGCCTCGGCCGCCGGCGGCGACTTTTCACGGCCGTCGCCACCGCCGCCGCCGCGGCTCCTGAAATACAGCTGGATGAAGTATAAAAGAGCACAGGGAATAACAGAACCTAAAACCAGGCCGCCGCGGCCCTGAACGACTCCCTGTAAAGGCACAATCACTCTCATCGCCGCCGCCGCCTCCGCTCCACCGCCACCGCCGCCGCCGCCGGAGGAGGAGGAAGTTTTATTCTTCTTCATGACGTCATCCTGACCTCCCCAGCACGGGAATGGCGTGCTCCAGAATTATTTTTTATTTTATTTTTGTATCTTATAAATTTTGAATGTTTGGAGAAATCTGAAAAATAAATAAATAAATAAATAAAATAGGGAAAATTGAGGAACAAATAAATTGGGGGAAGAGATGATAAGGGAGCGAAAAATTGGCGATGAATTTTGCGCGGCTACTTTTTGGTGGGATTAATTTATTGGTTTTTTTTTTATATGGGTAATGAATTTACTATTTCACCCTTCGTGTTTTTATTCATGTGTATTTAAATCATTGTGAATTGAGGTGTAATTTAATATGATAGTTCGTTTAATTTATCTTAAAAATGTGTATAATTAAAAATATTATATTAAATATATATTTAGTAAATTTTTATTATTTCTAAATTTCTAATATTTAAAAACTGTCAAAAATATATTGTTTAAATGGAATCATAGTTATTTGATGGCTTTTTTATGATATATTCTTTGTGATTAAGGCTCTGTTCGGTTCAAACGAGGGGAGCCGAAGGGAGGGAAGAGAATATTAAAATTGTAATAGCGTGTTTGGTGGTTTATATGAAAGGAAAACGAGACGAGGAAAAATAATAATATTTTTGTGTTTGGTTGGACAGAGACGGGAAAAGAAAATAATAGAATAATTTTACTATTTTATTTCTATATTATATAAATAAAAAAAAATAAAAATATTTAATAAAATTTGATTAATTTATTCATAAAGCATGACATATAATTTCTTTGTTTAATATAATAATACAAAACCTACATTATAAAGCATCGGGAGAGCCAAGCACCATATACATAATAACCGATCGATCGTAATCTAACCACATTTGGTTAGCTATAGCATCTCTTACTAGAAAGAAAGAAAGAAAGAAAATTTATAGAAAATATATATATATGATGATACGTTTTTTTTTTTATTATTATTATTAAACACAATACTTCATAATAATATAATTAAATAAAAAAAATTCTATAATACAACATCGAACGTGGAAAAAATATATAAAAAAATACAAATCCATGTATGTGAAAACTAAAATGATAACAAATGTTCAACGTACCTTTTCACTATGTGTATTCGATTCAGAAAAAAAGTGATAATTCCAAACAATTCTTTGATTTCACCAAAATCTATGAAATGCCGTAAAGAACCAAATTAATTCAAAAATTGAACTTATCTATTTATTTGATAAAATAATAATAATAAGAAGAAAAAGAAGGAATGGGATAATAGAATACGTACCTGAAGTGGATTGAGAGATTGAATGATAATTTACTTAATCATACATTATATATTTATTAACATCATTAATATAGATAAACCATAACAATATAACAGAAAATCATATATAAATTAAGTAAATAATAAAGACCGAGTCTTCATATAAAATCCAAATCTACTTATATAAATTAAATTAATTATTAATGTAAATCAAATCATTTAAACAGAATTAATTAAAATATATACTAAATTATAAAATAAATTCGATTAAATTTATTTGAAAGTTTTTAAAATACATTTGAATTAAATTAATGTGATTTGTTTTAAATAATCTAAGTATTTATTAAAATCAAAATAAAAAATAATAATAATTTTATATACAAATATAACAATAGATATGGTAAAATTTATATAATGTTATAAAAATTTAATAAAATATTAAATATGGTATAATAGGCAAAAATTATTTAATAAAATTCTTCATCTCCAAATTCCCCAAAATTGGAGGAGAATAAAAATCTAAACAAATTAAATTCCCTCCCCTCCCTTCACTTCCTTTCTCCTCCCAAAAAACTTGAACCAAACACAAAAAATTTTAGAATTTTATCCCCTCCCCTCCTAAACCATCGAACCAAACAGACCCTCAAACCAAACAGACCCTAAAAAAAAAAAAAAAAAAAAAAAAAAACTTATTTTTTTATTGTCTATTATATTAAAAAAACAAAACAAACTTTTGTTTAAAAATAAACTATGGAGTACTACTGTTTTTTTATAATTTATTTTTTTACTATAAAAAGATAAAAAACTACATATTATACATAAAATCATATAAAAAATAGACGAGTTTACTTTTTTTGTCAACAAAGACATAATTTTATAGGAAAAAAACTAAATAAAATAAATAAATAAATAAAAAAAGCTCCTAAACCCAAGATTTATTACTTGATAATTTTATTTTTTTTAATAAAATACATCCCTTCAGTCTATATGAAAAATAAATATTTATTTTTAATAAATATTATATTTGAGTGATAGTTTTTATATATAAAGAGTTTTTTTTTATTATTATTATTAGAATCTAAAGACTATTTTATTCGTATAATATGTGGAATTAAATGTCAAGTTATTGATGTAAATAAGGTAATTTATAATGTGCAGTGAATTATACATATTTAAGACTAATATTCCTCCGTCTTATAAGTAAATATTTATTTATTTTTTGCACGAAATTTTATGTATATTAGTATTATATTAATATATAGTATGAATAAAGTATAAATGATTAAAATAACTTTAATATTATTGTGTGATATAAAGGTAATGACATTTAGATAATATACGGTAAGTTGTAAGGGTATTTGTAATGTTAAGTAGATAGTACAATTACTAAAAAAATGAAATAGATAGTTTGTTATGGGACAGTCCAAAATAAAAAAATTGATAGTCTGTTATGTGATGGATCAAAACGAAAAAAATTGATAGTTTTCAAGAGACATGGGCGTAATGATAATAATAATTACTCCCTCCGTCTCATGTAATATTGGTGTATTACTGTAGACACGAGAATTTAGGTAAAGTATAATTAGTAAGTAATTAAGAAGTGTATTAGTAAAAATAATTATTATTTACAAAAAATAATTATAAATTAAGATTAAAATAAGTAAATAGTTTAATTAAAGTTAAGAAAATTATAAAATTTAAAATTTAAAATGTGATTAAAGTGCATGATTATATTTCCTAAAATAGAAAGGACAAATTATGTGAAACGGACGAAAATAGAAAATAAAGACAAATTATGTTAGACAAATGAAGTATTTTATTTGAACAATAGAAAATAACAAAATATATATTTACCAAATGACAAAATTACAATAGATATACATTTATATAATATCTATAATATTATATTTTATCAAATCATAAAAATTAATAATTTAATATAAAAATTATTTTTTTTTTATATTAACTGGAGGATACCTATTATTAAAAAACACAAAGTGAACATACACGTTACTTCCTGGTGTTCCAGAGAATTTAAGAAAAGTATAATTAATAAATAATTAAAAATGTATTAGTGAAAATAATTTTTATTTAATAAAAATAATTTTAAATTAAGATTAAAATAACTAATTAGTATAATTAAAATTAAAAAAATTAAACTAAAAATAAAATAAAATAAAATTAAAGTATATAATATCTTTTTTTTAAAAAAAAAATAACAGAATAATGATGACTATGGACGGAGGGATATTATTTACCAAATTTGTTCAAGACATGTGTTGTGTACTTCATTCATGATTTAAGGATTTTTTTCTCTATTTTCTATAAATAAAAATAAATATTAAATTCATTTCTTCGTTAAAAAAAAATAAATTGTATATAAACAATATATTTTTAAAAAAAATTAGAACATAAATAAATAGATTATTCATTATTATTTTAAACTAACACAACAATAATACTATTGTTTAAATTTAAATTTATATATATATATATAAATTCTCATATCATTAACTCGTCGTATATTTTATAAAATACATTTTATTTTATATCACAATCAACGAATATAATAATATATTCATTAAAATTTGTATCAAACTCAAACAAATATAAAATTATTAAACATGGAGAATTTCTAATATACAAAATAAAATAAAATGCACCACATCAATTCACTTATTGTATTTATATAATTATATTTGCATTTTTAAGTAATAGCTTATATATATATAAAAAAAAAAAAAAAATCAACATATTTTTATTAAAAAAGTACATTGCATAATAAACAAAATTTTAAAAATCAAAATAAACAATTATTTCATACTCCCTCCGTCCCAGATACCGTGTCTGCTACACCGTAGATACGATATTTTAGGAGGAGTGTAATTAGTAGATAATTAAAAATGTATTAGTGAAAATAATTATCCTATAATATAAATAATTATAAATTAAGATTAAGATAACTAATTAGTTTAATTAAAATTTTAAAAAAATAAAATGTAAAAATTTTAAATGAGATTAAAGTGTGTAATTATTTTCCAAAAAAAAGAAAGTGACATGGTATGTGGGACGGATAAAAACAGCAACGTGGACATGATATATGGGACGGAGGGAGTATTATTTATTATTATATATTAAATTGTCCTATGCAAACCTTAAAACTAACAATGAAGTTGATATGAGTCCATCGTTTTTAATCTAACATTTGTTGGAAATTCGGAAATTCCTAGTTAACTATTACTTGTTTGATTTGTATTTAAGTTTGAATTTTATTTTTTTTATTTAAATATTGATTTAGATACCATCTTAATGAAATATTTTATAAAATAATATAGGATAAATTATATAACACCTCCTTATATTTTAGTAAAAATACATAAAACATCCTATATTTTATTTATGGCGTGAAACTCTCTCGTGTTAATGTAAAGTTTACACAAAATATTATATTTGTCCAAAACTGATATTTGGGTATAAATAAAGACTTAAATTACGCAAATTTTATACGAATAAAAAATGTAAAATATTTTAAATAATTTTTTTGAATAAAATAAATAAATAATCAATCATTTATTTTTATAGTTTTTGTAAAAATCAGATAACAGTTTGTCTCCAAAAAAAATTATAAAACGAAAGATTAATCAATTATTTTTTATTTATTTTATTCAAAAAAATTATTTAAGATATTTTAAGTTTTTTATTTGTATAAAATTTGCATAATTTAAGTTTTTATTTAAACTCAAATATCAGTTTAGGATAAAGACGATATTTCATGCAAACTTTACATTAATACAAAAAAGTTTCACGCAATAAATAAAACTCATGGTGTTTTGTGTACTTTTATTAAAATATAAAAGGGTGTTATATAATTACCCAATAATATATTCTTATTAAATATATATATATATAAATTTGAATAATAAAAAAAAAAGGCAAAATTGTTCATAACTTCCTTGTAGTTTCGAAATTCAGCGTAAATTCCCCCTCTACTTTAAAAATTGTATGGTACCCCCTTATACTTTAAAAAATATTGCATGAAACCACTTTGTGGTTTCGAAACTCAGAATAAATCCCTATTTTACTTTAAAAAATTGCATGACGCTCACTTATACTTTCAAAAATATTGCATAAAACCCCCTGCCATGCAAAACATATAGATAGGAAATCATCTTCTTATCACATGAGGAAAGTTTCACGGTGGTGGGATTTCATGCAAAGTTTTTTAAAGTATAAGGGGGTATCATGCAATTTTTAAAGTAAAAGAGGAATTTACGCCGAGTTTCGAAACCACAAGGGAGTTAAATTGAGGATGGGTGACCCTGAGAAGTTTCCAGAGTGCGCATGAATGAAAACCAAATCAGTCTGCAATCCTGACACGCTTGATTTTGCTTTGCGGACCGAAGTGTCACAGCACAAAGCAGAGTAATAAAGAGAGACGAGAGTAAGAGGTGAAGACAGGAAAGAACCATCTACATTGCCTCGTGTCAATGCAATGGCAAGGCAGACTTGATTTTAAGCAATCGATTTGGTCGTCGTTGCATCAGTTTTTGTTTTTAAAGGAAATGAGAGATGACGCCTAAATGTAGGGCAGTCATTGTATATAGGGTCGGGGCTCAAAATTTTGAACTCCTTTAAGGCTTTGTTTTTTCTTAAAAAAAAAAAAAAAAAAACAATAATATTTATAAATATATGTATAATATATATTCAACTTTTTTATTTGTATGGAAATTTAAATTTTTTTATTTAAATATATTTTAATTTAATATTTTATGAAATAAAATAATACTCCCTCCGTCCCATGTTCTGCTGCATTGTAGAGGAGTGTAATTAGTAGATAATTAAGAATGTATTAATGAAAATAATTATCTTATAATGAAAATAATTGTAAATTAATATTAAGATAACTCATTAGTTTAATTAAAATTAAAAAAATAAATTAAAAAATTTAAAATGAGATTAAAGTGTGTAATCATTTTTAAAAAAAAGAAAAATGACATCGTACGTGGGACGGAATAGCAACATAGACATAGTATAATATGTGGGAGTGAGGGAGTATATGTTATTGACAATAGAATTAAATAAATTCCAAAAAAAAAAATAATAAAATAAATAATTAAAAAATATTAATTATATATGCAAAAAAAAATTAATAAGGGCCCATATATAATTTTTTTTGCTCTGATCCTTTAAAAACTCAGGCCCTGAGTGTATATGCTATTTATGTAATGCTACAACCAAAACTAACCAACATACTCCTCTGTTTGATGTGATATTTTGTAAAAATATATTTATAATACTATTTGTTTTAAATAATTTAGGTTGATGAATAATGTAAAACCTTTAAAAATATATCTATTTCTCACATTAATTTATTTTTCCCATAATTACATAAACACATTCTTCATTTTAAATTATACTGTCTCCGTCCCTATTGTGTCTACATAATTTAATAAATAATTAAAAATATATTAGTGAAAATAATTATCTTATAACAAAAATAATTTTAAATTAAAATTAAGATAACTAATTATTTTATTTAAAATTTTTAAAAAAAATTAAATTAAAATTTTTAAATGAAATTAAAGTGTATAATTCTTTTTAAAAAAATGACAGAATAAGTGAAAGATTCCGAAATAAAAAGATGAACATAATAATTGGAACGGGAGAATATATTTATATCAGAATAAAGACTTAATTAATTAATTAATTAATTTTTTTTTTCACTATTTCAAAATAATAACTCAAATCACAAGCACAGATCAAACACAATAAAGCTTATGAATACATAATTGGTTTATTGGAAGAAACTTAAAAAGCAACTGTAAGAAGGGCCATCATACACTAGAATCCAATTAAAGGTCAGCCACTTCATTTTAGTTATATACTACTAATTATCAAATTATTTATCTCATCATCATTCAAATAATAATCCAACTTGTCGATCAAAAATTGATGGCTTTGACCCTTTTTAAATATATATTAATAAAGGGTACTTCTTAATTTCATAATATAAATCATGAAGTTACAAATAATAATAATAATAATAATACATAATAATTTCATCACATTCAACTATTATTTCATCTAAAAAAACAACAAAAATCAAATTTACAGAACTTCGAAAAAAAAAAAACATACCCTATGTACTATATCTATCTTCTTTATAGACTTATAGTTGGCAAAGTTCGTCGACAAATATACCAATAGAAGAAGTTTCCTTGTGCCTTAGCAGTCGGAAGTCTAATATACGAGCATAGTATCACTACATCATATGTTCTACGCGAAGATTTCATGCACATTCGAGGAAACCAATACGGAATTTCTACACTAGTTCCCATCTTATAAGTACTTAAAATACATCAATAAGTAATCTACCTTTGGAATTTGAATTCGTCGTTACTCTTAATTCCTAAAGCACCATTGTTGAGGTCAAGCATTTAAGCGAGAGCTAAGTTGCTACGAATGTCATGTAATAAAAAGAGGAGACTGAGTGAGGATGGTCCGTACCTTACATCAATAAGCATCTCATTACTACCGTGCCGAATAAAGAGTTGCCGAGATGCATCATTCCAGAGTTCCTAATCATCGAGATTTTACAGCATCTTGATCATGACCAGATATCATAGCTACATTTACCGTGAATACCTTTGAAAGTTTTGACATTATTCATCACCAATAGATTTTTCTAACATCACATCAAATATTCAATTTCTTAATATTTTTAGAAATTTCAGAATTGCAAAATATGTAAGGGACCTCATTAATCGAAAAACAAAATTTTCAACAGTCCATACCGTGTTGTCTAGAGCCGTGCACTTATCCTGTTTGCGCTTGCTGACTCCTTAGTTGCAGCTGAGGCAGTTTGCGCAACCAATAATGGTGATTTTTTCTCGGCTTCTTGAGTGCAGAGGTAAGACAAAGACTGCACCCATGAAACCAGAAACGGTTTTCTTACAACATCATCAGATTCGGCAATCTGCTGATACAGCTGGTTCAGGATCGTGCTCTGGCCCTCCACCGGTAGCTCAACAATCACTTGGGCCAGTGACTTCATCAAACTTGGTAGAACCTAAACAGCAAGAAGACCCTGGAATTTTACCACTTTCGGACACCGGTATAAATAAGAAGGCTGAAGATATATGACCGGTGCAAAAGCATTGGATGTATAGTGTACTTAGTGAAATGAATATGGACTTGATTTCATCAACAAAGTTTAGAAGGGTCAGCGTGTATCAGAACAACAAATCAATAATAGATGCAAACAAAATGGAGAAAAGTACAGAGAACTTGGGACAAATTCAAGAACATTGCGACTCTGTTTACTTATATTTTCAATTTTATTTTTCGCAACATTCATCAACAGTTCATTTTTCAAAAATATAACATCAAAACACCTATTTTATATTCAAATTTGTACTACTTTCATACCACCACGAATTTTCAAAACATTTCCGAAACATATCCAAACACAGTTACTAGTTTCTGGGAGTGTTAAGTACATCTCTCCCTTCCCCCCCTCCCCCCCCCCCCCCCCCCCCCCCCCCCCCCCCCTCTCTCTCTCTCTCTCTACTGTAATTCTGAGATCTCAGTGAAACTAAAGCCATTTTAGAATACACAGGAGTATTATTCGCCTATTTAGATTTAATGTTTTCCTTTTCCCCAAACAAGAAGTTATACCTAACCTGTTTATGGAACGCATTTGACAGGTATACGACTCCACAACCACCAATCCAACTGTGAGTTAAGTTAACAATAAAAACGGTATTGTACCTGTATATCTATAAGAGCAAGTAGACGTAAAAGCAGATCCAGGACCTTCTTAGGATGCTCCAACTGCCCTTCCCAGTTCTGCCACAGATCACAGTCGTCATTCCCGACTGCACTGCAGAGGCTAGATGCTTTCTCAACAAGCTTATGGATGCAATAAAATGTAGATGGACTACCGGCAGGAAGATATCTAACAATTGCAGCAACTCCAGATGCCATTCCCTCGAAGGGTGTTATCCCAGGATATCCCTATATTTCCATTTTAATTAACCAATATTATAGAAATCGTTGAACAGCATCAAATCAGATTAAGTATGCAGTTTACAAGAAATAATACCTCTAAAGATCTCTCTAAGTAATAAAATACAAGTTGCTCCTTTAGTTGAACTCGGTCATCAACACAAGGGTCCTTCCCGGATGACAAGAATGCTACAAACAGTGAATGTGAATATCTGGCAACTTTACCGTTGGGATGTCCCATATATCTAACAAAATTAAATTAAGGAAATGATAACGATCAAAATCAGTTCAGGTTAACATTAGTGGTCTGACTGAGGATACAGGAACATGATTGGAGCCACTGACTGCTTAAATACAGAGGTTGGTAGTCGATCAACACAAGTAGGAACAACGCGCAGATAAAATACAATACGAGCAGTCTGGACCTCGTCAAGGGACCAAAGATACTCCAATTTTTGCAAGCTAGAAGAACCTGCCAAATACACGTTAAATGATTAAATTCAGCTTGTAGGACTCCCTACATCTGTGAAGAAGGAGGTAATAAAATAATTCAAAGTTAGTACCATGATTGTTAATTAAATTGTCATATGAGGGCATAGATTCGACAAATGTGACACAAGCTGATTCATTTTCCTGAACACTTCCAATAACAGCTCGAACTGTGTCCACATACTCGGGCAACCGTAGACGACGGAAAAATTCCATGCAAGAGAATGAGACCAATATTTTTACTGAGACTTCTAATTGAATTTCTTGGTTCACTCTACCATCCAATCTGTGTTTCGTTACGCCCAGTGCAAAAACTACAACCATGAGGAAAGCAGATTCAGCAATTTTCTCTATGTTTCCAATTAGACTGTCATATCTTCCTACAAGCAGTGTCCTTGCTTGCCGATGCCACAAATAAACTTCCTGACAATAACCCCAAATTTGCGTCTCCACTGCCATTCTGCTATTTTCATCTGCTAATGCATACTGATTGCAGAAAGCAGCAGTTATTGCACCCCCTTCTTTGAAAATGACACTATTTAGATGGTCTTTGATCTCATCTTCTATAGCTGCCCAAGTTTCCTCTGGAAATTTAAGAAGCTTACCATAAATACGTGGCAAAGGGAATACTTCAGTCAACAATGACAGTGCAAGGGTTGCGAGTACAGAAGCTCTGAAAGAGATTGAACCGCTTCGAGCCAAAGCTAGTGCCATACATTGGCAGAGAGGATTACACATCGACTGTGTGTCAATGTAACTGAGAGGTTTAGTTCTAGAAACAAAGTCTGCTGCCACAATCTCGATGCAATTTTCAGCTGAAATTTTAAGATGCATGAAACCACTAGATCCAGATCTATTCACAGCCCTCAGCACTCCAGCTGCTACCATGACCACGGCAGATGAAGAATAATCCATCTTAACTTGTTCCAAAACCTCTCTTACAAAATCAATTTTATTCAACGAACGCGAATTCAATGAATTAGATAGAGCCCATTCAATCACATGAAGTAGCATGAGTCCTTGTGAAATGTTGCAGGAGTAACCACTTTTTCGACCCCAAATTCTGAGCAATAAATCTAAAATTCCTCTGAAATATACATCCACAGAGGAAGAAAGAGCATAACCAGCAGCCGCAAGAGCACTTGAAGCCAACTCATCGGTTGAGAAAATAAATTCACATGTTTCTTCCAGTAACTTAGAAAGCAATTCAACACAGAGCCTTTTGTATTTATCGGATGCAGAAGTTTGGAAAGAGAGAGCACCAAGGAGAAGGATACCTTCAGAGAAGAAATATGAGTTTCTTTCAACATTAGGCTTCTGAGAGAATAGCCGTAAGATCACATTGGCAGCAGAATCAACAGCTTGTGAAGTTTGCCTCGATTTCCTCAGCCAAATATAAAGAAGCCTAAAGAATAAGGAGTAAGATTCTGGTGGTACAGACAGCTGTGAAGATAATATAGAAATCAATAGCTTTGCTTGTGGATCAGCAACATGAAGAGTTGCTTGAGAATCGACAAGCACTTTTAAGGCTTGAACGTGGTGAGCATGGAAAGACTGAGTTTGGAGAGCATCTCTAAGGTCAGCCCAAGCCTTGATTATTGCCTGAGCAGATGATGAAGAATGCACTGAAACTTCCTTGTTGCTGCTGCCAATAATAATGCTTCGTAGCCATTCTTCAAGAAAGAAAGATTGAGGTTGTCTTGCCATTCGTGAATCTCAACTGCAGTAAGAACTGTGCATTAACATAAAAAACTGTTAAATGATTCTCATCCAAAGCATTACAAAGATATTATAAGAAAAACTTCACTCTAGAATTTTTTCCTTGAAATCAAATAGGGCAACCACAAACGCACATGATAGACAAGGCAGAAAAGTTTTGATCTATAACTCATCTAAGTTAACACTCACCAGAAGCAGCTTTAATTCTCAATGTTAAGTAGTATAAAAAAAGTGAAGTTTCATATCTGAAAAATTAACTAAACAATCAAAAAGTGATTCAAACTTTTCGCAAACCGAGTTTTGTATCAGCAAGAAAGTTAAGTTAGTTATAAACAAGTTGAAATTTCTCCTCAAGTACCAATGACATCTATGGTATCAAAATGAAATCTCATGATGTTATTCATAGGTAAGAGTGGGGAAGCATCAAAGGGGAATCGTTAAAGGATACACTAATTAACGATGCTAAGCTTCTTCTTCCTTAGTAATCGAAATTCAAGTAATATTGTGAAGTTTACTCTATATAATAATAACAGATTACTCTTTCTTCCTTAGCAATCGAATTTCAAAGGCCATAGAAGCAACTTTGGTTGTTTCTCTACTAATCCATTGCAGACTACACAAAGCTATAAACTTCAAACTATTCTCCCCCATCATTGTTCACCAAAAAAATATGCACGATGACAATGATTCATTGGCTCACAAAATTAAGAGATGGCAATTCAACAGATAACAAGAGCACACCAAATTCTGCATAGCATCAAACCTAGTTTTAATCAAATGTCAACAATGCAGACTTCAGGAAAGCGCACAGAACATGCCTTAAACCCCAATTCAAGTAAACCCCAAACACCAGCTCGACTTAATTTCCACCATCTGTAATGCAATTCTCCAGAAACGAATGCAAATTTTGGATTTAAACCAAAAAGGAACATATGGAAATTCATCCGGAAGTAAAATTGGAAAATTCATGAGCCAAAGTGAGATTAATTGAAAAAGACCTTTAGGTCGTGGGCGGCTTTCCTAATGGAGTGGCTTTGATATACTTCATCGCCGTCGTCGCCGCTCTGATGAGGCTTAGATATGCCACCGGTGGTTTCAATGAAGCTCACTTTGTTAGGGAACAGATCGATGGTTGGATTTTGGGTAAGGACGGTGGAGGTGGAGCGAGAGAGAGAGAGTGACGGAGGCGGCGGTAGACCTGCCCAATCCGGCGGTTGGAACCGGTTCGATTCTGAACCGCCATCGAACCGGTATCGGTTTTCACACGGTTCGATTTCCATTCCTCTTTTCTCCGGCCGGTTAGAACCGTCGGTTCACCATTTTTTAAAAATATATACATATATATAAATACTATTCCATCCCACTCTTACATTTATCTTATGGTCATTGTACTTAACATTACATATATTCTTATATTTTTGTATAAATTTTTGTACAAATGTATTTTTTTCATAATGGAATTGCATAGAAATGACAGTAGAGAATAGAATGGGAGAGAAATGGAATTGAGTAGAGAATGAGAATTAATTCTCTTGTTTGATAAAATAGAAAATTCATTTGAGAAATCTTAAAAAAAATTGCAGATATATGAATGATCAAACAAAAATAAATGATTAACCCCATAAAATGAGAGTTTTAAGGAATGAGAATTCATGAAAAATATTTTTGTTAAATTTTTTAAAATATATATATAAATTATATACGATTTTTTTTAAGATTATATTTTATTACAATTTCTTAAAATATCGTAAAAATTAAATATTTTAAAAATAAATTAAGTTTGTTTTTTGTAAAATTAAAATAATATAATTTTAAAAAAATTATAAAAATTAAATAGTACAAAAAAAATTTAAAAATTAAAAATATATATATTGCAATATCATTTATCTCTATTTCTCTGCATATGAGAGAGAAATAAAAATAGAGAAATAGAAATGATTTATTTTTCAAGTTTCATTTCTCTTACTCAAACAAATAAAAAAAAATGATACAATTTTCATTTATCTGTCTCATTTCTCTGTACCAAACACAACTTAAGAATATTTTAGAATTGAATTTGTAAATGTTGGTGGTATATACATTTATAACTAAAGTATTGAAAAATATAAATTAAAGAATACCTAAAAATTATTTGTTAGAGAAGAAAAGTACATAATTTTTTAACAAAAATATGGATTTATTCGATTATTGCTTCTCCTAATTTAATTGTATATTTTTATGAGGCATTATTCCAATATTTATATAAAAAAAATAAAATTCTATGTTACTTTAAATTTGAAATATTAAATTTATTAATTACTTTTGATATTTAGTCTTAAAGTTTATTCAATCATATATCGAATTAGTTAATTTGTTCTTTTTAGTAAATTTATTTTTTATATTATGTATAAAAAATTATATTAATAATATAAAAAATAATATTTCAAATTAAATTGTTAATTTTTGTGAATAAGTAAAATATATTATTTCAATATAAATATTATATCTTTTTGTAATATTCATAATACTCGAAATAAGTTGAGGGAATTAATAGATTTACACATTTAAAGATAAAAGTATATCCAAAACATGTCATCAAAACCCTTAGACATGCGCTCTCCCATATGTGACATTATTATGTTCAATCTATCATACATTATAATTTACATACACTCAAAGCTCGATAATAATAATAATAATAATAATAATAAAAAGCAATTACAACAAATATTTAAAATATATTTTTTCATTTCAATTTCTTTTTTTTTTTTTTTTTTTTTTTACTATTTAACTATCATAATTTTTAATAAATATATATATTTCATTAAATACTTCTTTTTTGTCCGATAATAAAAACCACTGGCAGAACCAAAATCCAATCTGGGACGCCCATTTTGCTCCAATCTAGTTACCCCTAATAAAGAATAATCAAGTTAGTGTAGCAGATAAATTTATAACCGTAAGATCATAAATTCAAATTTGTCTAACTGTCTTTAATTTTGTTGGAATCTTAATATGCAATATTGCACAAATTTTATTAAAAAAGTACCATTATGCTCGACAGAACGTTTATTTAAAGAAAAATATTAGTGTGATAACCTGGAGTTTGGTCGTTGTTTGGCCAATTCTCGTGTGTGAATGGGCCGGTATTAGGTAATTCAAAGTTGATTAGAGGTTAAATAGATTGGATAGACTATTCATATCAATAATGTGCATATTCATTTTCGTCAACCCTACTGAAAAAACTCAAAAATTAAACGTGCTTGCTCAGAGGTCAGTTTGCAATCCGGACACACCCGACTTTACGTGGATTACGAGCCAGTGTGTCACAGTTAGCCAATTGTTTGTCCAAATCAATCATTTTCTTACGACACTACAATAATAACAGGCCAACAAAAATCTTACACATAATCAAACCACGAAGTGAGAATTCAGAATCCAACGATCGATCGATCGATCACTTTCGACAATCATGATCAATCTCCATTCTCGGCTTCGTCCTCGTCGCCGAAGCCACAACGGCCCTCACATGGCCAACCATTGACACCTGTAATGCCTCCTCTTCGTAAGCCCTTCGCTCGAGCTCGTCGATTCTCGCCTTCTTCTTCGCCTTCACGAACATCGCTATTACAAGCAAACTAAGAAGAGAAGCCCCCAATGCGCCCCCCACCGTGCTCGCCGTCACTATTTGCCAATTTCTCGCTTTCCCTCTAAACGGCGCCTCCGCTGCCGCCGCCAAGCCGAAGTGGCCGTGGCTCGTTGCGGTACACGTGTTAGGTCCTGATTGGTTGGAGAAACTCACTCTCCCATCTTCTTGGAACAGCACACATAAAGGAATGATCCCTAGTGGTAAAAATGGAGTGTGAGTTAGAAATGAAATAGTGGAAAAAAAATGGATTTTTTACTAGACTACAAAAATATTAAGTCCACTATGGTTTGTTTACTTTGCATTTTTTTTCGATTTTTTTATATTCAATATGTGATTTTTTAAAAAAAATAAAAAAAATAAAATGCATCTAAGTTTTAATTTTTATAGGAAATACTATTATATTTTCTCTGTTGTAGTCCAAAGTCTCATTTTTTAGGTTTTTTTTAGGAGAATAAGAAATTGTTGTAATTTATAAAATGTGTAAGATGATTTTTTGATATTTTTGTCGTTTATATTTTATGTATAAATTCATTGTATATATATAATAATATATTTATGATTTATATGAAAGTTAAACAGTAATTTAGTATCGATATATAATTATTTTCATAATAGCAAAAAAAATAAATACTTTTAAGCGAGATTGACGAAAATGATACGACTAGTTTCAATTGGACGAAAACAACTAAATCATCTGAAAATATACACAAAAAAATACAAAACAAACAATTATCAAAGATGTGTTTAATTTGGTTTGTATATAATTTTATATTTTTATTCAAATAACATTACATAAATATTTTGTAAAATAAAATAATACTTCTTTCATCTCGTATAATTTGGTCGTTACCGTATCTTTGATAAAATATAATTAGTAAGTAATTAAAAAATATATTAATAAAAAGAATTATTATTATATAATAAAAATAATTATAGATTAAGATTAAAATAATTAAATAATTTTATTAAAATTAAGAAAAAAAAAAAGCATTAAAAGAGAACATAACTCAAATATTTGATACCTGATGAACTATTAAGTAGAATCGCATCTCTAAAGTCGATCTTGATTGGTCTAATCCCGGCCCGAATATCGAGTCGGGATGGAACAGTACGATTTTTTTCATCGATAGCATCGTACGCAAAAATACCCAACACTCGAGACACGAGTTGGTATCCGGAAAATCGGTAACTGTCGAAGTACATAGGCGACCACTTGGCTCCGAGATCTTGCCTAACAAGAATGGCTCTTTTCTTACAAGGGGAGACCGTTACGCCGCTATTTAAATAGAATTCTTTGATACGGACGCCGCTTCTTTTAAGGTTACGGCACCGTAGTCTCATCGCGTCGACGTGTACGGTCGAGAGATTTCCCGGCAAATCGATCCGTTGGAGCTCGCCCGTTTTGAAGCTAGTGTTGTTGTAAGAACTAAATGTGTAGTCGGCGACGAAGAGATCGAGGGTTCGGGCGAATTCGACGTCGGGTTTTCGGGATTGCGAGTGAGTTAATGAAGTGAGAAAAAGAATGGTTAGGGAGAAGAGGGATTTGTCCATTTAAATATGGAAATGTAAGAAATGGAAGTGTGATTAGGTTTTGTAAGAAGTGTGTTTGGAGAAGCTGAGGGAGATGAGATATGTCTAAATTTATGATGGTTTTGATAATTTGTTGGTTAATTTGAATAATGTTTAGTGGGAAAAGGAAGAATTTTAATGTTGGGTAAAGTTGTAAGAGGCCATTATTGGTGCTTTTGGGGATTGAGGATGAAGAAAAGATGGGGCTTGAGTCTTGTTTGGAGTTAAAATTTTAAATTCAAATACTCCCTCCGCCGTCCCGTTGGAAGGGTGACGTTTGTTTTTTGCATGTAGATTTTTTAATATTAGTATTATATTGAATTGTAGTAAAAAAGACAAAAATACCCCTATTAAGTATGGTGTAATATAAAAGTAATGACATTTGTGTAATATATTGTAAGTTGAGAGAGTATTTATTATGTTAAATAGGTAGTACAATTACTAAATTAGAAAATGGTAACCTTTCAATGGAACGGAGGGAGTAATTGGTTGATATTTTGTAGTTTTAAATTCAATGAAGTAAAAGGTAAATGTGACACTTAAAGAATGAAGTGTCTTAGAAATATCCATTTGTTTTTTGCACGTAGTTTTAAAAATATTGGTATTATATTGGGATATAGTAGGAATAAAGTATAAATGACTAAAATAACCTTATTAGTATGTGTGATATAAAGGTAATGACATTTGTGTAATATATTGTAAGTTGTAAGGGTATTTGTAATGTTAAGGTAGATAATACTGAAAAAATAGATACTTTGTTATGGGACGGAGAGAGTATAAAATTAAGATATAAATATTTAATTTAATATTTAAAAAAACCTTTATATAAATAATAAAAATAGGATCTAGAACCTACAAAGAAAACTTTTTGAGTGTTCATTATTATTTTCGAAAAATTTTCAAAATAAATAAATAAAAACTTTTGAGGGTTCATTCGGTGGAAATTATTTTTGCAGTGTGGGTGTAATCATGAAAAGTGAAATCAAAGGCGTGCTTCCATTATTAATTAATTTTTATCATAAATAAAAATTAAATTAAATACTATTTCTCACTCTAAGAATTTTATTTATTTATTTATTTATTTTTTAATATTTAAATATTAATTATTATATTAAAATACAGTATAAATTAAAAAAAATTATAAAAATACTTTTATTATTGTTTTATAATACTAATAAAAAAATATTTGTACAAAAAATTATATAAAAATATTTTTAATACTGAGTACAATTAAAAAAAGAAAGTAAATGAATCTGATCCTTACAAACGGACGGAGAGAGTAACTATTTTCACTTTAAATTATAAAAAAATAAAAACGAAGGTTTGATATATTTTATTTAATTGTGATTTGAAATAGAGTTTTAATTTTTTTTTTTTTTTTTTAAATTGTGTTTTGATTGATGTTTGTAAAAACAAAAATAATATATTTTTATTAAAAATTATTTAAAATAAATAATATTGATTGTAATTTGAAATCCCACAAAAATTATTTTTTCATAATCCATTTGACATTTGAGTTTGTTCTCACAGTGTTTTTAGGTTAAGACATTTCGAATAAATATTATTAAAAGATATAATATATATATATATATATATACACATATATTAATACAATGCCTCTATTTAGCTAGTGTTTTTAGATTAAATAATTTTTTTGTGTTACGAAAAATTGCGTTAAAAATATAAAATAGTACTTCCTCCGTCCCAGATACCATGTCCACATTGCCGTTTATGTCCGTCCCACATACCATGTCACTTTTTTTTTTTTGGAAAATGATTACACATTTTAATCTCATTTTTAATTTTTTAATTTTTTTTATTTTAATTAAATTAATTAGTTATCTTAATCTTAATTTATAATTATTTATATTATAGGATAATTATTTTTACTAATACATTCTTAATTATCTACTAATTACACCCTTCCTAAAATATCGTGTCTACAGTTTAGCAGACACGGTATCTGAGATAGAGGGAGTAGTATTATTTTAGGTTGAACATTTTATTTTTTGTAATTATTTTTTGACTTTTTATAACAATTGTTTGAAGTTCTTTTGACTTTTTAACTTTTGTATAATACTGTATATTTTGTACTTTTATTATTATTTTTGAAAAATCGCAATTAAAAAATACCGCTTGAAGAACAGAGCGAATATATATAATTAGTTATTTTAATCTTAATTTATAATTATTTATATTATAAGATAATTATTTTCACTAATATATTTTTAATTATCTACTAATTACACCTCTTTTAAAATACCGTATTTACAGTGTAGCAGACACGATTACTTGCTTACAAAAGGTCACAATTTATACACAATATTTTCTTTATCATTCAATAGTGTATTCAAATAAAAATAGTATTTTATTTATTTATTTATTTATTTATTTTAATAATAAAAAGTAGTTAAAAAAGAAATTAGAATCTATTTTGTTTATATAACAACGCATAAAACAAAATGAAAGATGATGGAATGAGTATTTTTTATATTATTAATACAATTTTACGTCTAACATAATATATATATATATTTAAAATTACAAATATTTATTTGATTGTAAATATTGATTTAAAATAAAATAATGAATTATATTTTTATTTAAATAATATTTTGATATAATATTTAAAAAATAATAATAATACTTATAGTATTATTTCAATCTAATTTTTTTATAAAAATAAATCAAAAAGTGGATACTATCCTTCGCTCAAATTTTCTCCTACTACACCGATCCGAAAAACAAATTAATAATATTGTTAATAAAAATATAGGTTATGTTATTTTTTAAAATATCTAATTTTAATATTCAATTTCTATAATTTATATATATAAAAATACATTAGTTGTTATCATAAAAATACAATCAATATTTAAATATATATATATATATAAATCAACCAAACAATCAATATTAGCATTTACTTTATTGTCTAACCATGCCCTTTTTTTTCTTTTCTTTTTTTTTTCTTTTTTTTTTATGAGGTGGAAACCGCAATCGTTATCTAAAATGCGCACTGAGTAAATATTAAGTGGAGTCTAATACTTTGCAAACTAAATTCGATAAGACAAATCACATCCCATTTTATTACTTCTAGAATTATTATTTTTATTTAAATAATATTTTATTGATTGATGACATAATTTTATTTAATCATATAATTCTTTTCATTCAATACACATAAAAAATGATTCATTGAACATTTTATTTGAATTTTTTTAATAACTATCTAATCAATTTAGAGTTCGTTTGATTGTGATTTAAAATTAAATATTAATTTGAATTTATGCTTAAATAATATTTTATAAAAAAATAATTTATTTTTATCAAGAAATCATTCAAAGGAATAACATTGATTTCAATTTTAAATTGCAATCAAACAAACCATAATCATTGTCCAAAGCTTTTTTTTTTTTTTTTTTCGGCACAATCCTTAATATATATTTTTTATATTCTCATAAAAATCAATATTCATTAATATAAAATATTCTTTTGTATATTATCAACACGGTTATATAAACTTCACATTAAAAGAAAAAAAATCAAATAAAAAACTAAACAAGCAAACCTATATTTTGGTGTGTTTTTGTATTTTTATTTTTTTGGAATAGTAAAAGTTTTAAATTGTAATATTTATTTAATATGATACAAATAAGTATTTAAAGTGATATTTTGATAAAGAAAATTACATATAAAATTAAATAGAAATAAATGTAAATTTCGATATTAAAAAAATAAAAAAATAAATGAATTTTATAAACAGAGAATGGAAAACACAAAACAAAGCTAGAAATTGATTTTATAAAAAAAGATCCAATATATATGAACCTTAAATTTTAGCCCAATAAATTATTAAGTGGAAGGCCCAAATTTGAGCCCATTAAGGAGATCCAATTCTATTTCTAAATTGAATTTAAACTATTTATCTAAAATGTTAATATTATAATAATAATAATAATAATAATAACTTAATGGAGATTTTAAATATAATTGGAACAATAATAACTTTACTTTATTTTTTTTATAACAATAAATTCATATTTTGATTGCACAAATCCTCATTTTTTAAATTGGAGTGCATTAATACTAATTTAAGGAAAATTAATGGTTGTATTTATTATTTATATGTATAAAAGCAAATATATTTTTTTTATTAGTGTAATATTTTAATAAGCTTAAATCGCACAAAATTCACATGTATTTCACGAAATTGCGTCAAATCCCTCGTACTGTTAAAATTACGTCAAATTTTCTTATGGTTCCATAAATTTTGCGCCTAACCTCTCGGCGGTCCTTATTTAATGGTATTTGACCTAAATGCGTCGAAACGGCAAATAAATTTTAGAATCTCAATTTCTAAACCTCTAAAATTACAAATATATTTATTTTTCTTATATTTAGCCTAAAAACAGTAAAAATAAACTTTTAAAATCTGAGAAAAATAACTATTTTTTAGTATTCTTTTTTAGACTAAATATAAAAAAAGAAAAATATTTATAATTTTAAGGGTTTAGAATTCTAAAATTTATTCGCAGTTTGGGCGCATTTAGATCAAATACCGTTAAATAAGGACCGCCGATGGGGTTAGATGCAAAGCTTATGAAACCGCGAGAGAGTTTGACACAGTTTTAGAAATATAGGAGACTTTGCGCAACCACAAGTAAATTTTGTGCAATTTAGTATTTCAATAAAAATGAGTAATGTTCTTAAAGAAAAATGATAAATTATGTAATGATAATACTCCCTCCGTCCCAGATACCGTGTCTGCTACACTGTAGACACGGTATTTTAGGAGGGGTATAATTAGTAGATAATTAAGAATGTATTAGTTAAAATAATTATCTTATAATATAAATAATTATAAATTAAGATTAAGATAACTAATTATTTTAATTAAAATTAAAAAAAATTAAAAAATTTAAAATGAGATTAAAGTGAGTAATGATTTTTCAAAAAAAGAAAATGATATGGTACGTGGGACGGACAGAAACGGCAATGTGAACATAGTATCTGGGACAGAGGGAGTAATAAATTAGCAATATCAAAGTTAAACTGATAAGGTTTCATATAGTGAGATGCAACATT